ATAGGCAAATTGTAATTTATATCCAATAATATTGATCAAAATAAAAGAAAATAGCTTGGAATTCAGAAAAATATATCAAAATTTTAATGCCCTATCTGACCTAATAATATTTTACAAAAATTAAGAGATTTGTGAGGACCTACCTATTATTTTATGTATAAATGCGGCCCGGCGCGAAAAAATTTATGCACATTGTCTGTCATGTTAAATTTTTTGCTTGACCTAGTCCTTACTCGACTCGCGGGTCGGGTTTTGCCTATTTATGATTTAAATACTGGCATGGAATACTTATGCAGGCTATGATTCAGTCATTAAAATGTACCGTTGAATGCAACTGCTGGTGACACCATTATTGTTTTATAAGAATTTATAAATCTATTAAAATTTTTGAATATTTTTCTTCTTAAAGTTTACATAAAGTTTTACTATAAATTATTTATATCGAAAAACCAAAATTTCACTATTAGCTATATATATTGATACGCATTTAATGAATGAATTGTTAGTCTGTGTAGTATTATTATGTCATTGAATGTAACATAAAGAGATTAGAATATCGGTTTATTTTCTACCATGAATCTGATAAACTTATAGATATTTTAAAAATATTTTAAACAACTTTGATGCAAATACCCCTCCCTTCTATCTTTTTTAAATTCTACCGTAATCTATATTTGTGCTATAGAAGAATTGAAATTGTGTCATAAACCTTATTGAGACTTATTAAATATAAGGAGGGGGGCTCACTCCTGTCCATATTTAGTTTAAACAGATAATTAGCAAAAAAAATTGACCTGAAATATTTTTGCTAAAGTTTAGATTATATCTGTGATGATAGAGGTTTTCTAAGTTTTTATTTTTAAAAAAAATTTATTCTTTCTTTCTTAAAATTATATAAATTTTTTTCTTTTTTTATTAAATCAAATTTTGGAAGGTTTTTTTTAGAGAAAGAAAAGAAATATAATAAAAATTATTATGAGAGAATTTAAATAATAGGAATAAAATTTTATAAATAAAACGTGTCAGATTTTATAATTTAAAAAAAAATTGAACAATGTAAGAAGTATAAGTTTACCGCTAAAAAAAATTTACCAAAAGAAGGCTTTAAATTAGAATAAATTATGTGATATTTTAATTTTTAAAAAAAGGAGCAATGAAGTACAGAAAGTAGTGTTGTTAAACGGCCCGATTTGGGTCGATATTAAAAAAATTTTCTAAATCGCGAGGCTTACATAATATTATTTTGGCTCTGATCATAATCTGGCCGTTTTTAAAAATCGACCACTAACAGAAAGGTACATTTGTAGATTAATAGTTTTTTTTCAAAAATTTTATTTTTTATTTATTAAAAATATAAAACCATTAAAGTTATTTTTCGGTTAAATTTTTTAGTTAAATTTAATTTACACTCAAATGTAAGTTGCTAGAGTTTAAATTTTATCTAAAATGTAACTAGTCATGTGTAGCTATCTATTTTAACAACACTACAGTTAAGGTGATAGCTAATACAAAAAAAATCAAAATTTGAACTGGTATTAATTAGAGGTCTGCAAATTGCAAAATATTTAGGTCCAATCCTGTTGAGATTTAGTTTTGATCGGCCCGGTTCCCATTTTTTTTAGCCTGGCTCGACTCACCTTTTTAAAATCCAGAAATATATCCTATGGAATAATAATCAGTAATGATTAGGTTCATTTCCATGATTTTATAATTAAAACAATGAACGCTAAATATAGGAAAAGAAAATTGAATTAATGAATGAATGAAAACAGCAGCAGGGTCATTTAATCATTAAAATTATAAACAAAATAAAATATAATATTTTAACAAAATTTGACTTTGGAAAAATTTTCTATTTCCTATTAAGCGTGCCAGACATCATTACTTTTTCCCTACAGTCAGGTCCGGTCTATTAATGGCACCGGGTCGGACATTGCATATCTCTAATCTTAATGTCTCCCAATCTTTCATTTATTTTTGCAACTTTCTTAATAAAAACAAATTTTCGATTTTCTTAAAAATTAACCATTTATTTAAAATTAAATTTTAAGGCGGTATATTTGTTTGTGTAAAATCTAAATAAAATAATAGGAACAACGTTCATTTTAATATATAATTATATTGGCCCATTTAAATCTAAAAGGAAAAAAAATTTTAAATTATTAAATCGCAAATTTTTTGAAAATTTACCTGTTTATTTGTTTAAAATAAATTTTTTTTGCTATACTCTACAAATAAAATAAATAAAATGAAATTTTTTTTTTATTACACACCTTAGTATAAAATTTTTTAATGACTATTTTTACCTTTATAGAAATAAAGCCGGAAACTTTATAAACAAGGTATATATTCCTTATTTATCAATTTTTTTTAACGATAAATAAAAATATATTTAGGACTTTTCTTCAAAAAAAATCTCTGACCTGGGGCCTTATATTTTCTAATCTAAAATTTTATTTATTAAAAAAATGACCAATTATTATTTTTTATGAATTCCTAATATGAAGGTAAAATATTGACATTTCCTTTATTTATTGAATTTATATTATGATTATACACAAGAATACTATAAAATATACAAAAAAATTATTAAGTACTATTCATTCGAATAGTACTATGGAAAAAAAAATTTAACCATTAACATAATTTCAAACACTTGCAAGTTGCAATTGTATACTAATTTCTTTTAATTCTTTCGTTATGTTGTGACAATTACTTACAAAAAATTTATAGTAGTAATAACTTATACATCTCTTTACCCTTGATCCATAGCATAAAACGTTATTAAAAAGGCCCGTGTCTTGGTTCGCCTTATTGAAACTTATTTCTGTTCAAACCAGTCTATTCAAATTTTGATTTGTTTTTTTAAAGTGTGTATAATTAAATCTAAAAATATTTTAATAAAATTTTAATTAAATATCTAAAATAATTTTTTAGTATGAAATCAGATATAGACATGTTATTGGATTTATAGAAAATCCATTTTTTAATCCTTAAAAGCTTCTTTTTAGTCAGAATCGTTTTCCAGCAGGTATGGAGAAGGTACATACCTAGTGAATTCCAGGTCTTTTTGCCATAAAATTGTTGTTGAACTACTTTTAATTTATAAACATCAAATTTTCATACATATATCCCGGTTTAAATTTTGATTTTTTAAATAATTAAAACTTAGTGTTGATAAACGACTCGATTTGAGCCGATTATTTAAACGGCTAACTCAATATTTTAGCCAGAAAAATATTGCTCAAGCCTCGAGATTTTGCTAATAGATGCCTAAACCTTTGCTATGACCAAACTCATCATTGCATAATGTTTTTCAGGATAGAATAATGAGAATAATGAGAATAATTGGCTCAAATCGAGCCATTTAACAACACTATTAGGACTGTACGTGCCTTGATATTTTATCATACTATTTTATTACCCACTTCATGCCTAACCTAAAGGTAGCTAAATACCAATAATTTATTAATTTTTCCTTTTCCATTTTAACTATTAATAAATAATTTTATTTAAGTAATTGTTTTTTTTTAGAATTTTTTTCTTATATAAATCCATTACAAATTCTTAAAAATCGAAATGAATATTTTTTTAAAAAAATTAAAAAATAGTCATTTTTTTAAAAAAAACTAGATAAATCAAAAATTGGATATTTTCAGTGAATCAGACAACGGAACACGCGATGCATGAAAGCTCCTTTGACTTCAATTAAATTGGGAATTTCATTTAAATAATTATTGATCTTTGTGCAAAATTTTGGTCGAGTTGATTAATTAATGTACGCAATCAATTTGGGATAAAAATACACAAATGTTTATTTCGAAATCATATAAATAAGAAATTCACAGGGTAAATACCCTTTACTTATGCAAATTCGAATATAATTCTGGCCAAAATCATTCTTTAAAAACTAAAAATTAAATAATTTAAGTTTTAAAAATTTTCTAAAAACCAGGTTAAAGCCTAGCCTTGAATTTCGCTACACCCCTACAATATATATAGTTGTAGAATCATGTGTTAGATATCATTATCCCTTTATTTTTAGCCTTTTCTAAAATAGATATACCCAAGAGTTTTTAGTCATAACTTAAAAATGGTTTATACATGGCTAATTTTTTAATAAGTTTCCCGTGACCTAAACGGGAATTTTTCCAAAATATGAAGAATTTTATATAATAGCGGCATAATATATTAACAAAGAGTATTTACTTTTAGATAAATATTTTTATCTATAAAAAATATATTTGTTTCTGGGAAAAAATGTTTTAATCTTGATCTGTTAATTTTTGATTATCCCAAATTGATTGTGTATATTAATTAATCAACTCAACCAAAATTTTGGATAAAGATCAAGAAATTGTTACAATGATAATTCCCAATTTACTAAAGTTAATAGCGCTTTTATGCATCGCGTGTTTCGCTATCTGATTCACTAAAAATGTCCTATCTTTGATTTATCTAGTATTTTTTTAAAATTTTTTATTTTTTTTATTTAAAAAAAACTATTCATTTCGAATTTTTTAAAGTGATTTTATATAAGAAAGGATCTGAATTTGCAAAAAAAAAATTATTTGAATAAAGTTATTTATATACATTTATTGTAATAAAGTCAATATGGAAAAAGAGAAATGAATGAATTCTTGGCATTTAGCTACCTAAAGTTCTGGCATGGAATGGGTAGTAAAATTGTATAATTTAAAATATACAGGCCTGTACAGTCCTAATTATTTTAAATGACAATTTTTTAAATTATTTCTACTACATAGTATATCATAATAAATTTAACAAAAATATGTGTGGTTGTAAGTATATCTAACTATATTCAATTTCATAAAGAATACCTGATATAAAGTTGTTTTTTTTTCAACATTTGATTCGAATAATGCATTTCTATGGTATACTATAATGCCTTTTAAAAAAATATAAAAAAACATATAAACAAATCTTCGAATATTCTTGCAATTTTTTAAACTGCTTTACTTTCTTTTATTTATCTTAAGATATACACTGATTGGGCAAATCATTACCTGAAAGAAAATAATAAATCACGGTTGGTGGTTGATCTACAGCAGGAATTGCAGGATGGAATCTTATTATCAGAAATCATTCACGCCATCAGTAAATAAAACTAAAGCATATGTATTTATTAATCTATTAAATTAAGATAAATTCTGTTCAGTGTATGTCAATGATGTATAAATACTATGAGATTGGCAATTCATTAATTAAAAGTGTACATACACAGGAGTCAACTGTAGGGTCATTTAATGTTTGCAGTTCGACTAATTGTTTTATTAATCATTAGCATATTAAGGTTATTTAATCCATATGCAACCACCAAATGGTGCTAGAGGTGACTTCTATGTATGGACTCTTATAAAGGTATTTAAAGAATGATTGATGTATGATTAAGGAAACTTAGGATTTTAAATTATTAGCAAAAATTTTAAATAACCAAATAATAAAAAAAGCGAAGCAAAAGGTGGAATATATCGATCCTCAACCCAAAGATGAAAATCAAAAGGTATTGCTTCATTTAATTAATATAATTTTCATATAATATAATTTTTAATATAATATATCTTGCTTGCTTGTTTTACGTTTCTTGAAATTATCCTCTTCCTTAATCTAAATAAAAATTCAAATGAGCTCGGATGATATATATAGTAAGAATATTATATAACTCCGCCTTCTCTTATTTTATTAATTCAAATTTATTTATATTCGTCATTTTTTAATTCGCTTTAATTTTACTCAAAATAAGATTTTACCGGCTTCATATTTTACAAATCCTTTTCATAACTAAGGTAAGAAGCGTAAAATTTTGATTTTAAAGTGAGTCCTAATTTTATTTAAAACCGTATCATTCGATGTTCAAAAAATTATTCCCCAGGCACAAAAAAATTATAATTAGTCCTAAACTTTAATGATAACCAATGTTATCACCAGACTAGTAAGTGACAAATGCACATATAGCCAGGATCTAGAGCAAACCTGAAATTTATTTTATATGGCAAAAACGTTTTTTTATTATGAACACGCGCATTTATAAAAAATAATAACATTTTTAACGTCCCTAAATAAGGATTAATGAAACGTCATTGCGTGTTATGATGAATACAAGGCGATTTAAAATAATTTGATAACAAACTATTTGGTCTATTTCGATTATTAATTATCAGAGTTTGGAATAAAAACCGTACAAATATAACATTGAATGGAAAATTATATCAATATATCTTGAAAAGTATTTATATAATTTAAGACTTTTCTAAAATATCTTTTGCCGTTAACACACTAATTTTAAAATTTGTTTTATAATATGACAAATAATCATCATTTAAATTTATATAACTTTCATATGCTAAACATGACAAATTATTTAGTTCTCAATCTCATAACATCCCCAAGCATAGTGGCATTCTTCCCGGGTATTTCTAATCCTTTCCCAAATTTTTTTTTCGGAAAAATTAATATTATGGTAGAAATTATCACATTTATTTTAAAACTAATATTTTATTATTATAAAAGTAAGGATAACAAAGTAAAATATACCTATTTTTGATTTTATTGGTGTTTATTGCAAATTTACAAAAGAGCGCCACCCCCCCCCCCTTCCCCCCCCCTCCTTTATTACGCCAATAAAATAAATTTATATTATATTTCATTAAATTTATATTAAATTATAACATACATACCATTCTTTAAATTCAAATACTTCCTTTCTTTCTGTTAAACTCTTCTAAGGTTTAAAGATTTTAATTAAATAAAAGATCTATAATAGTCCTAGCCTCTAATTTAAGTGGAATTTTAGTATTAAGTGATTTCATTATCAGATTATGATTTCTTATCATACAATATTATATACTATGTCTTTTATAATCGTCATCTTTTAATTTATATAATAAGCAACCAAATACCCGTAATGCATCACATTATTAATCTATTGTAAAATTTATTAATTGACCTCGCACAATTTAGTGTATTGATTAATCCATAAAGCGCCTAATATATTGAATATCTTGCCTTTTAAAATTTAATGATCTTAGGCCGTTTCTTAGGTCGACTTATTACTTAATAAGGGGCTATTTAGTATCCATTAAATCCAAAAGGCAAAAGAAAAAATTTAAAAAAAAGGAAAAAGAAAGAAAAAAAACATAACAAAAAACGAGAATAATAAAGGAAATATAACAATGCCACCAAATACTTAAAACAAACCAAAATAGGATGTCCTAGCTCAAAAGTTTTTTAGTCTAAAAACAATTAACGTATCCAATCGACCCAGGACACAGCCTTAGTTTGATAAAAGTGGAAATAAGATTGTTGTCAACTAACTTCATAAAATAACATAAATTTAATATAAAAATAGAAATCTTTTAATATGTTTTGTAACCAAATAAAAATTTGATTGTCCTCGTACATGTTTACTGAGGGTAAAATTTTTGATGATTATATAATTAATGTGGGTGTAGATTCAACAAATATTACACAAAAAAAAATACAAAACGAAAGCTTTCCAATATCCAAAAATGTTTACGATTTTTGGAAAACCTCGGAATCGATGTCGCAAATTTCCCCGCAAAAGGTTTACAATATTTTCACAATTTTCAAGATATTTTTATAAGTATATATATAAATTAAGTTTATTCCAATCGATTTTAAAATTATCATCGACTTGAATTTATAGCTAAGAAGAAATTTAAAAGATTTATTATATTACACCACCGGATGCTTTTATAAACACATAATTTTAAATAACCAAGCTTTATACTTAACAAAGGAAAGGGTTCTTTTTATATTTTATGGTTAATCAAGCTGATAAATTAATTAGCAATATAATTTAACATAACTATAATTGGAATTTATTTTTAAACAATAATATAATTATGTTATTAATTAATAATCAATAACTACGGAAGATTTTTGTTTAATAATGAGTATTAATTCAGATAGAAAATATGTCATTTTTTTAAAGAAAAACATTTGATCTCCACACACTTCAATCCTTTTTTATCATTATCATAACAAATTAATTAAAGAAAATATAAAATAATTTATCGCTTTACTAAATAAATGATTTTAAAAATAAATTATTCTAGATATCAATGAGGGCAATCTGAAGGCTATTCTAGGCTTATTTTTCAACCTTTCCCGTTACAATATTTCTAACATCGACGAGTCATGTAATTTAGAACCTAAAAACAATTTATCTGACAAAAATAATGGAACTTCTCATGGGACTTCAACGGTTACTCGGTCTAAAATAAAGCCTCCATCTAGAGCACCAATTGCTAAAGCTACTAACTATCTCTACCACGGTAATCAAAGGTATTTTTAAAAAATATCTTTTTTTACAATTTTATCAACCCCATTATTCACTATTATAAAGTTATTCATTAAATCCCAATATATATAACAATATTTTAATTAGCTGTTAATTTTAATATTAACTATTTTATTTACCATAAAAATAAATTATATATACTTATTAATTTGTTTTTAAATCTAAATAATAAACGTAAATTCTTTTTAAAAGGATCAAACGATCAATTTGAGTTGAAAACCAATCAACTTGTGTATTTTACATGTTGAGAATTTAAAGGCTTATACATTTTTTTATATTGAAGAACTTTGCTAAACATTAAAATTGGAAATTGCAATATTTTTCTTTTTATATTTGCCTTTTTTTATATTTCTAGACCTGTTTTATCCCCAAATTCGGTCTCTTAAAAATGCCACTACCAGCATTACATTTAATAATAATTTACCTCGTAAGTTCTTAAATAATAAACTATACTTATTGGCGATTAAGTAAGTAAGAGTTAACTTAAATCCTGGCCTTTTCTCCTGCAATAAAAAATATTTTTCCTCTTCTCTCACTTAGGTTCAGGGTTGTAAGTATGTCTGGGCCAATTTTCTTCCCGATAATTTTATCCTCATACCTCTTCAACATAAATTTGCCAATTTAAAAAAAAATCGCTTAGTCTACTACACATAATAATTCAAATAAAAGTTTGTGATTATATAAAAAAAATAAACAACCTCATCAAATAATAATGTGTTATGAACCTTAGCTCTAAACTGAATTGTGATCTTAATCTCAATGTTTTAACCTTATAGCTTGATATTTCCAAACCTTATTAAAATAGGTATAAACTCACTCTATAACGAATCTAATTTCAATCTGATTAAACTAGCTATCCAGAATATTGCCTGAACTACTCCAAACTTATTTTTAATTTTAATTACACATCTCGTGCTACTTGAAAGTGATGAAAATATAAAAAGTAGAAAAAGTTAAGTCTCTTGATTTAAAATGAGACGTATCAAAACAACTTATTAGCCACAACACACCATCGTTTTTTATTTTAGACATGTTAATAATCCTAACATCAAACTGAACTATAACTTTAATCTTTTTCGGCTAAACTTGAATAACTTTCTAAGTCGATATCCGCAAAGTCTAATATTAGTAAAAATTGGTATTAATTATATCATCTATAATCAAAGATGATTTAACCTATTTCAAATTCCAATAATAGTAAAAATCGGTATTAACTATATCATCTATAATCAAAGATGACTTAAACCTATTTCAAATTGCTGCACTATTCAAATAGATATCCATAATTTAATTTGAAATAGCAATGGAGCCTAAAACACCCTCATACCAGGAATCTTTTCTGCATTTTTCCACTTCCAGTAAGGGTCAAGGTTGACGGGACTTAATGAACATAATGATTAACATATTTTTCTAACTCGGACTCCTAACTATTGCACGATTCTCAATATTTAGTAAAAAAACGTCGGTATGATTGGATAATATATAATTAATTTTTTGAACCAATTCTAAGTTAGAGATTCATGATATGATTAATTAATAGCTCTATCATTAAATCGATCTTTCAACCTATTTTTTTTAGTATCTCATTTATCTTATAAATTGTATTTCTAAATAAAATATTCACTTGGGTTCGCAATATAGGCTTCGCACGCTATATTCTTCGTGAAATAGATTTCGTTATTTCACTATAATGCTTTTTCTATAAAACATTTTTCGCTTAAAAATTTAGCTGTTTTGCATTGGCTCTGAAAAGCTTGCGCTAAGAGTTTAGCTATAAAAGAATTCGCGATATTTCATTTCGCGATATAGTCTTCGCGGAAGAGTATTCGCGAATGTAGATGCACCATAAAAACTTAGTTATAATATGACATCAGGTTTGCCCTTGCCTGTTCTCGTAAATATTATTTTAAGCAAACAAAAATTTCCCACCTCACCCTTTCACACCCACTCTCCATAAACATAAAAATAGATAATTAAGAATTACCATTCTAACACATACTTTATTTATATAAATAACCTACAGATGAGAAATGAGGAGATTTTAGTGTAGGATTCTTTTCGTATGCTTTGTATGAATAATTATAATTCAATTTATTTTTATTCTTCTATTTTTAGTGGTATCTAATTATAAATTCTTTTACTTCCTGTGGAAAGTTCAATTGTAAAAATAAATAAACTTTGATATGCTTATAAATGGACTTTTTGATTTCTGGTAGTGGTGAAATCATTTTTTAAACCTCAAAATTACGTTGATTTTAGTCACAAAATTATGCACTTCAAATTATGAGATTTCAAGCGTTGATATTAAAATCTAGTTTAAACGTCTCTTGATAAAATAGTTATAAAAATTGTTTTCTAGGACCATAAACTAGATTTAGTGTAAAGATAAAAATATGTAGAATCTTCCATTTGAATTATCAAGAATTAAGTTTGTTTTATGAATACTTATGAATTTAACATTAAATTGTAGCTTTATTAGAAAAACATTTTATCAAAAAAATGGTTCTTAATTTAATTAGAGAATAAATTTTTAAGATTAATTTATATCATTATCTAAAAATCATTTTCATAAATTTGATTAACATTTTTTAATTCTAATAATTTATAACATATAAAACTATAATAAAATAGAATATATACAAAAGGAAATATTGGTTTTTCTTATTTCATTTTGTAGTAAAATATTTAAGGTAGTTAACCGGATAAAAAGTTCTGAGCAGTAGAAAAACATTGCAAACTTTTTGGTAATAGTTTAAAATTAATAGTGACAATCCTCTTTACATATGAGAAAAAAGTGAAATTTTTTAAACAACTTTGTTGGTATTTAAACAATATTACAAAACTGTTGGAGAATTTTAAAATTTATTTACTATTTGTTTACTCCACGGACAATGGGAATTTTTAAAATTTTGGGCTTGGACCGAATAAAATGCTTTAATTAATATTGCATAACCTTTGGGAGGAGTTATGAATACAATTTTTATTACTTCGTGAGACAGAAACGTTGAATATTTAGACAAAATTAAATAATTTGGTAAAAATTTAGATTATTGGCACTATAAATTCTAAACTACTTCTAACTGTTTTGCAATACTCTTCTCCTACGTTAAGCTTTTTACCCAGTCAAAACCCCAAATTATTTAAAATATTTCACTTTTTTGCCTTATGAGGGCAATTCATAATACTCTTCTCCTACGCAAAGCTTTTTACCTAGTCAAAACCCCAAATTATTTAGAATATTTCACTTTTTTGCCTTATGAGGGCAATTCATAATACTCTTCTACTACCCAGTTCCTTTTATTTAGCAAAAACTAATTTTTTTTTAAAAATGTAAAAACTTTAGCACCAACTTGCGTTAGAAATTATATTGCAAAATATATAATAATAATAACTTTTTGTATATTTTTAGTTAAAACTAAAAGATATTAATATGAAATTTATAAAAATGATTTTTAGAGATAAAGATGATATAAATTACTATGAATTATTATTAATATTTCTAAATTTATTTTTAAGTTAAAAATTTAAGATCCATTTTTTATTAAAATATTTTTTCTATAAAGCTACATCGGCTAAAATAAATCAACTCTCACAATTACTAATATCCCACTAAAAAGATCAATAACTTATTATAATAAGAAAATAGTTTAGTTTTTTTAATTTTTCATTTATAATAAAAAATAATGATTAAATGAATGTCTATGTATAATATAATTGCAAGTGCTTGACTAGGTAAGAAATCTTCGACTAGATTTTATATCTTACTGTTATTTTATCGTTGTGTTATTATATTATTAATTTATTCCTCATTAAGATGCTTAGTTTGCATATGACCTAACTCATCTTAATTATTATATAATTATAGAATGATCATCTACTGTATCTTGCTCTTTTACACAAAATTAAATGATAATTAAAATTAATTTATGATTAAAAGCAATAAGCAATTTTAATAAAAATTTATGCTCTATCAGACTAGGCTCAGGCCAATGCAGGGCTCTACTACCTACCAATATAGTGTCTGCCCTATTTTAAATAATTATATCCTTATGAAATCATACGAAGAACAATTAGCTAATAATTATTTAATGATTAAAACTATAAAAATTAACTATAACATTATCTATAGTTAAAAATGAACCCCTGACAGTCATTTTATATACAATTAAAATTTTAAATTTTTCGGGGGATATAATCAAGTCTTGTAGATTAAAATGACAATTAATACCTTGGGTCAAAAAATGGGGAATTTATTTGAATCTAATTAATGATTTTGTTAATATGTGCAAATAAAAATTCTGGTATTAATTTATCATCAATGGCGTAGCCAGGATTTATCCAAGGGATGAGGGGGGGGGGTATGATTTTTCTAAAATAATCTGAATAAGTATTTTTGATTTCCCCAGTGTTATTTTTTTATCTTGTTTTTCAAAATAATAATATAGGAGCTAGAGATCTGCAAAGTTAGGCCCGGCCCGTACCCGGCCCGAACGGGCTTCGGGCCTGGCTCGGGCTTTATTATATTTAAAATAATCGGGTTCGGGCCGGGCCTAAATAAAAAAATCGGGTTCGGGCCGGGCCTAATATTTTTATAAAAAAATCGGACCGGGTCGGGTCGGACCTTGGAAATTTTTTTAAATATATCTAAATTTATCAATTTTATATTGAATTTTTTATGTAAAATAAAAAATTTTGATTTTATTTATTGAAACTATACTCCATATAACATATGTCTTTTATTTTGAGTAATTATTAAAATTAATTTCTATATTTAAATAAATTCGGGCCGGGCCGGTTAATTTTTTTAAAAAATTTTCGAATTCGGGCCGGGCCTACAAACTTTTTTAAAAAAAATTCGGGTTCGGGTCGGGCCGGCAAAACTATTTTAAAAAAAATTTCGGGCCGGGCCAGGCTTCAAAAATTAGGCCCGATGCAGATCACTAAGGAGCTACTAGCCAGTATAAAGGAAAAAATTGTTGGGAAAATTTTGGCCAAACTTAAGATTAAAAAGTGACTAAAAATATTTATTCATAAAATTTTATCGAAAATAAAAAAAAATTGACATTATGCCAGATTGGAAAATATAGAACTAAAATCTGATTTTCTCTAATGTTTTGACTAGTAATTATTAATTCCTCAATTAGTTGAGAACCACAAAAAAAGAAATTATAAACAAATCGAAAACTATGACATCATGCTTATCCTTAAAGTGAGCCAAGCTTTTGGAAACACTATGGGAATCTATTCCAAACAATTAAGTAACTTAGTAAGGCTAAATTAGTAGAGTAGACCGGGAAAAGTTATTGCCACCCTAACAATGTTAACGCTAACCTTTTAACCTTTGAGCATAAAAACCTTAAATTTGGTATTGAAGATTTATTTTTATACCTAAATTCTTACTTATGTTCATTTTTTCAAACACTTTCCTGGGATTATATTTGCCAAAAACCTATTTTTTTACTCAAAAATTATAAAAATCAACTTATAGTTTATTTTGCTTTTAACAAAATTTATAAAAATTAAATTTATATACATGTTCCTTAAAGCCATAGCTATAAAATAAAATTTATCGGTAGTTTATAACTTAACTAGAAGTCATGCAATAACGATTTATATAAATTATCACCTTGGGGTAAAGTTGTTAAAAACGGTTAAAATGTTGCCCCTGTCGGTCAATTGATCGAATCGTATTTGATCGGTCAAATACACAACCCTGGGTTTAGTGTTTTATTTTATTTATAATTACACATATAAAATTGCATTTAAAATAATATTTTTTTAATTGTATGTTAATTCATTATATTGTAAAGACGAATGTTTTGTTATTCAAATTGAATTTGGTCCACTAGTTTACGTTCTGACATAAGTAGAAGTGCTTCTAATCTGTCCCGTCTAATACTGGCACGCAATCTATTTTTTATTGCTTTAAATTTACTAAAACTTGGCTCACAGCTTGTTTGAGTAACTGATAATGTTAATATAAATTCGTAAGCAAGTGTATGCCGCAGTATGGAGACTGTAACTATGTAGATCATACATACAAATTAGACAATCTTTACATTTATTAGTTATTTGCATATATTTTAGTAAAAAATTAATTCTTGTCGCAGTTCACAACTGGGGACTGTTACTACATTATGTCTAGTGATTCTTTGATACCCGCGTTATTCATATGCTGAAATTTAATATCAAACCTCTCATCAAAATTTTAATTATTTGTTTTATTGTAGGCCGAAACGCCGCATTTCTATAGATCAATAGGGTAATTAGGTCGTTCCTCTACTTTCACCCGAATATATTCCTTTTTTACGACTATCTATTCTGTGAAATGGTATTTCAAATTCCATGACAATATTTTCAGGATTGATTGATCAGTGAATTGTTCATTTAATTTGGGTTGTCATATTTTTTGCTTTACTTTCAATTGAAATAAAATCCAAATTAGGGATTGAAAATTTGAAAACCTCAGCCAGGATCCATGCAGAAAGAATATCAATGATTTTATTTAAAGATAGGGCAATAATAACCCTATTTTTTCTAAATTTTAAAAAAATGTGTGCTGTTAATAATTAAATTTTAATAAATTTTCAATAATTGATTGTGCCCCAGAAGAAATTTTAACTTCAAATATATGTTATTCTATAATATATTGTAAGGGTATTAAGGATTCTCCACCATATACCCATATGGCAGCTTTTTCTCTAGATCACCATCTTATTTCCCTGATTCTTTAAAGTGTAAATTTTTTTGGCTTACAAAATTATTTCTGTCCCCCCGCCATATTTATAGGATTCTCCAAAAAATGTTCCAAGTCTTTAAGGAGTCCAAATAAATTCTTAGTTTCAAGATTATTGTATAAATCACTTACACAGAAATTAAGGATACTATAGCACCATATATACACACAGTTAGGAACTTTTTATTTAATATGAGCCTGTAATCCTTTAAATCCACTGTTTATATCTGCAATTAAAATTTTTTGTTTGGTATATATATATATAAGATATAATAAATATTTTCATAATTATGATTTTTTTAATATAACATTTCTTCAATAGGCCTCCAAAATTATAGGTAATTTAATCGGCCTATAAAACAATCTGTAGATCAATCGGCCAAAATATTGATATTTTAACCGGTTGTTCCGGCTCTGGGCATTTTCGTCTCTGAATATAGAAGTAAAATAATAAATCTCATAGTCCTAGGCATGATTTGTTAAACTTTTGAAAGCAATCATTCTAAAGCTAAGGTCAATATGTAATGCTTAGCTAGCAAGCATTTTGTTTAATACTTTAATCCGTTTGGTAAACAGAAATTTAAAAAGTGAATCACAAAATGGGAAAATTTTTAAAATATATATCAAGGTTTGAGATAAAACTAGATATATTAAAGCAAATATAATATATAAAATTTAATAACGCTAAAAAATTACTATCATCATTATTAAAAAATCAACTTTTTATTGTATTTAAGTTTGAGACTCAATATCTATGGTTTTCGCTTTGATACTTTTATAATCTAGTTGACTTGTGGCATCTTTGGAAAATGTGATACCAAAATATGAATGGAAAAACGATTACAATAGATAAAATTTTTTACCCCTAATGCTAAGATTGAGAGATAATTTAGTAAAATATTGTTAATATTAAATGCGCGTTTTTAATTAAAAATAAAAAAGATCAAATGTCGATCCCATTCGAATTTTTGTTAAAATTTAATTAAAAATTTGAATGGGTCAATAATAATGTTTATTCATAGATTTTCGGATTTTGCAAGCACTTTTTTGAATAGGAGAAACAATTTCTGATTTTATTGAAATAGAAAATTAAGGAGGGGAGTTTAATCAATTTTTATTGATATCAATATAAAAGGTATTATAAAACATTAAATTTTTACTAATCATATTTTCCTTGGTACACCCTCCTGTCAGCTAAAATAATAATTTAAATTAACAAAAAATCTAAGTATCTGTATCTTAAATTTATTAAAATAGAAATACTTTTCAAAAATTTGGATCTTCATGACAAGATACTTTTAATTTTTTCATAAAAGATGCAAGATAGTTTTGTACCTAACCCTGACTACAATCATTTATAATGTTAAAATCTTAAGCACTAAATAAAACAAGCTTATTCATGAATGTTAAGATAAAAGACCTTTTTTGACTCTTTGGCTTCTTGAGTAAACTAAGTATATGTGTATCTATAATTCATACTTCACCCCCGATCTCCTCTAATATTTTATAAAATAAATTTCAATTTTTAAGAAATAAAATTTTTTTATTAAAGAATTAAAGACTGAATTGAATTTACAAGATGAGATGGGGTCACTTGTATTGCTATATAAAATCGTAAATAGCAATGCAACGGTTTTGAAAATGGTGATCGAAAGGCTTACTTTATGTAGAAGGTTTCAATAACGATCACCAGTCATTTCGTTTAATTCCCTACCTAATAAGTAATTAATTTTATTAATTCCTCACCAAAAAAGAAAAACAAACACCAAGAATATTGGTGACAAATTGGATAAATATTACATTCCCCATTTCAAATAAGCGAGCAGCGACTCTAAATATTTTTAAGATGAAAATGTTTTAAAAAATAAATAGTATCTATAAAATAAAATTTGTATAATTGAGGCCAAACCTTTTTTTTAACTTTATTTATAATCCACACAATTATAAAAAAAATATTTGAAAATGATAGCAAATGATTTTAATATTATTTTATTTACGGGATTAATATATGAATGGTGAGATTGTTGTAATATTTAAATTACAATTTATATTGCCCTAAAAAAATTTTCTACTGTTAATTTAATCTAATCAATCATTAAAAACAAAATCGAATTTACTTAGTAAATTGAACAAATTAAATATTTATCCCTATTTACCATTTTTTTTATTTAATTTTATTTTAGCGATATTTTAGCATCTTCAGAAAATAAGAATGATTACGATTCTTCCTCCAATAGTAGATCTTATCAAAGTCACATTAATCTTAATAACAAAAATATAGCTAATAATAGAGTTGACAAGAGATATAATAAATTTCAAAATTCATTTTCGAAATCTAAAACGATAGATAAAACGTTTAAAAACCATAAAGACAATGAATATAAATACGAAAATCAATGTGCCACCAAATTAGATTATAAGTCAAAAGCCGAATATAAATTTTCCAAATATTCTATACAGGAAAGTGTTCCTTCTGCTACCAATAAGCTTTATAAAGATGAAATTCAGCTCAATAATGAAATTGTGACCTGCAGCAATATTTCCCTTGATTCTAATTTATCAAACAAATCAAATTACTCAAATTTATCGAATAAATCACATTACTCTAACGTATCATATCATTCATCAGAATATTCTAAAAATTTTAAACCTAGCTTTCAAAATCAAAGCAGTACCCAAATTATACCTGGTAGCACACAACCTACTTTTGTTTCTTCCACCAATTATCGTTATCACAAAACATCATTTCAGTCACGTAATATACCAAGTAATAATTTCATTATTTTTTCCAAAAAAACTCGAAATATATATGGGGAGAATTTAATAAAATTCTCTGGATTTTGTTTGTTCGTTCACAGGGGCGGAACTGGGAAACCAAGGGAAGGGTTTAACAGGGGCCCATACTTGAGAGGGAAGCTTAATAATTTCCCCTTTGCGCAACAAGATTTTTTGGAGGTGCTCACAAAGTTAAATTTTTAAGAAACGCGGGTCAAAAATACCCTAATTTTTTTTTAAAAATATTGTATGCTTACTTAAAATAGGAATTTAAAATCACTCCTTTAACCAATTAAATTATTTTCTAAAATTGGACTATTTTATTTGTAGGGGATCTTTTTGTCTGTGAACATTTTTCTCCAGTGTCTTTATGTCTGTGATACTTTTGTCTAGGGCATTTCCATTATGAACTCCAGACTAACTTACTAATAAGGAAGATAATTATCTAATTATTTTTTGGCCATTTTGAAAAAATAATTAAATTAAAAAGAATTAAACAAAAAATAGATTAAGATTAAGAAGAAATAGATTAAGAATGAATAAAAAAAATGCATCATTGAATATAGTTTATTATAATTCCACATTTTTTATTAAATAATAAAATTGTTTCGTCCGAAAGATATAAATATTTTTTAGCCAAAGTTTGATAATCCCTTCCTTAATTCATTAGCAATATATTATTTTGAAACATGAATAATTAAAATTCAAATAAATATTTTGTAAATAAACATCAATAATAATCTATTTCTATACTAAACTTACCTGTTTAATTTTTTTTTTAATGTTCCATAAAATTTTATTTTCTTTAAAAAAATGAATTTGATAAAAAAATATTATATATAATTTTGTCTAAATAATTTATAAGTAAAAATCGTTTATTTTTTTTTTCGTAATTTTTTTATGGTTATTATTTTTCAATGCGATCAGACACAACACAAGTTACGGCAATTAAAGAGCTTGATGATGGAAATCATGTAAAAGATGCCGCAATTAAAGGTAAACTATTATTAATTAACTTTAAAAAAGGATTACCTTTTATTATATACTTGATATGTAAAAATCATGTCCACCAGGTTGACATCGACTTTTTATCTCTCCAATCAGCACTCTGCCGAGACTTTTGGAGGCCCAGGGCAAAAAATAATTTGGCGGCCCCTTAAAAAAATTTAAGCTTTTTTGATAATTTTTCGAAAAGAACTAATAGAATATATATACCCTATTAAATTTTAATCATAAATGAGTAACGAACAGCACATTATAAAATAAATATAATCATAAACTAAAATATTGCAATTTTATATATTCTCCTCGCCTTTTTATATGCAAAAGAGGATAATGTCAGTGTAATCTAATGATGATGCTATATCATTTTTTATTGAAATTAAGGTGTGATTAACAAATCGATAGCTGCATTCTTCGGATGCTAAAGCAGTTTGAGAGGGTTAAAGTATTCCTTAATATAATGGATATATTTGGTAGAGCCTCCTTTGACCTATTATTGCTAATATAGCGTAAAATTTCCATTGGAGTTTTTATGGGATACTTGCTTAACATATTCACTAAAAAAATTTTAATTTCAATTAGTATCTTGCGGATTAATTTAGCTTTCTAACGTATCCTAATCTGTAAACAAAATATATTTAATAAGAATCCAAAATGACCTTTAAAGAGCTTTAACTGCTGGAAACGTTTCTCCAACGAACTTCTCGCTTGGTCTAGTAATGCATTAAAAATTTAGTATTATATTCTTTTTGAAGATTATGTATTGGCATGTCACATCCTTCATAAGATAATAGTTTCTGAACTTTCCGTTTGCGAATTAATTTATTGAAGGAAAGCACTGCTCTTCTAAGCTCATTTCCCGAGCTCTTTCGCTGAGTCAAGGGAATTCTAAAAGCCGTTTTCTTAAAGCGATCTAAAAAATATTGCCTACTTCTATAAGTGTAATGGCTCTTTCCAACTCAATATTGTCTCTTTGTATGACCTAAGGTCAATATATCAATACTGATGACAAAGCTACCAAAAATGGAAATTGTTTTAATTCTTTAGCCAATGAAATGGCTTCTGTATAGCATTTAGAGTCAAGTCTTTTCAGATAGGTTTATTAGTGCATAATAAATATCATAAATATCACTAACTTGATTTCTAATGGCATTTTCACTCTCCACCTTATACTCCCATCGCGTTTCATGTAACGGGTTTAACATAAAAATATTTATATGATACTTCAAATTTTGCCATCGCTTGAGTCGAAACAGAAAAGAGAATATATAATCCTTTTACAACTGAAAAAATTATTTTGCAACTAATGATGAACGTGCCATATCATCAAGTAACAGATTTAAACTGTGACAACCACAAGGCACTCTCCGATTTATTTGTAATATTCGAGCTTAAACCCAATTATAACGTCCTCTCATATTTTATTCATTGTAATAAACTTGTCTACGACATTTTTTTATGTCTAATCCCAATTTTTAGATAATGATAAAAATAATTCTACCAAGTCCTAACCATACAGGAATCGATTTTTAGAAGGCAAACAAATAGCTCATTTATTTTCAAATGAGTTTTTATTAAGTTTATCTTATAACGGTTAATTTTTTAAATGGCTTATGCCTGATATACAGTCTAACATTACGGAAAAATATATTGCGTTTTTAATAGCATTAACAATTTTTTCTACGATTTATCTCCTATCAAGTTAATGGTAACTCACTGAAACTTGGGGAAATTTTTAATATTATTATTTTTAAATTTTTTTTTTTTATTAAAAATAATAAATATGCGATCGCACAAATCTTAAAATTTAATATTTTTTCAAGTTATAACGATCTTAATGAAAATGACTATGATCATTTACACGGTCAGTCAATCACAGAAGAAACTTTTTAGACTCAAATGATATATCGACCCATACTTAACGTGTTGAGCGTTTATGGAGGGATCATAAGGCGAACATTCCTAGAACTGGAAGAAAATTTTCCTCTCATTTATATATATGTGTGAATATTCTTATTTTCTTAATATTAAAAATATGTCAAATTTTAAGTAAATTAATTAAATTTTTATAGAACTATTTATGTTTTTCCTTAAGATTTTATATATATCTATATTATCAGTTTATATATTATGTTTATTCAAATAATTTGCTTAATTATCTAATATAAAACATCTTATTTTTCAAGATGCTAAATAATTGAGTAAAATTACAAAATCTGTCGGGCTCTAAAATTGTTTAATTTCGGCTCCCCTCCCCCTTTCCCGTTTGCATGGCCCTTCTTCGAATATCATAATAATTATAAGTTTCTGAATTGAAGAGCAATTCCTTTTATAACTTTCGAGATTTTCTTAATGATCAAAAAGTTTATTATTTTATTCTAAAAAGTTAGTGAGACTCTCCTAAGAATAATATACTTTGTATTCTGTTATAGATCCTATTACATATGCGCAACCTGTGGCGGGGTTAATATGTTTAAAATTTGTCAGAGAACATTTATTCAAAAATTAAAAAATCTTCAAAGATTTTGATTTCGGAAGATTTTTTTTTAGAATGTTTAAAACAGGATTTTTGATAAAATTTTACTAAAATTTCTCTTACATGATGAAATTATAAATATTTTGTGAAAGATTTTTGTTCTTTTTCTTTAAAAAAATTCTTCCTTTTTTTTATTTGATTTTCAAAGATTTTGCACAAAATTTTCAAATGCTCAATTTGAAGATTTTTGTCAAACCTTTTTGAATATTTTTATTCAACTTTATATTTTCACATTTGTTTCAGAGATGAAATAATCATTTTTTATATCTTAGTTTTGAAGAATAAATTGTATAACCTTTTGCATGATTTTCCGTATTTGGAATAGATTGCAAAACCTAATAGGGTTATATAATAAAGTAGAGGGTTCTGAGCCTGATAAAATATCTTACGATACAATTATTTCTGACTTATTTTTTAAAATATCTAATGTAACTGATTTATTTGATTGATCTAGATCGCCTAAGGGCTCATTTAGAGGGCGTACTAGCTAGCTTTTTATCCTCAAATTTTTTTCATCCTTTTGATAAAAGATAAGTTTTGAAATTTTGATCATATTTTATTTAATTTTTAAACAGCTGATTATAAAAAAATATAATTTTTCCGTAGCGTTAATAAGATATAAATTTAAATCCTTATATGCAATTTAATAATACTTTATGTTAATTTATCTATGTTAGATTTTATATGAATCATTTATTTTATTCAAGAAAGTAACCTCACAAGTAATTCTACCGACAACGACTCTCGTATTCCATTGGTACCACCCACTACGCACCTTGAAAAGAAAACCAATGCTAATAATACTCTATCTTCTACTTCCCATTTAAGACCTCCTACAGCTTCCTTTAAAACATCAAATAACTGTAATTTCTCTACCTTGAGTCGTCCCAATAACAAATTTTCAACTTCTACGAAAGAAGGAAATACAGGTTATAACTCTTTTTATTCTATAAACTAAAAAATTTTAATAGTTTTTTTCTTATCATTGTTACCTTCGAGTCTACTTATCCTTCTATATTATTACGCCCCATTTTTTTGAAATATTTTTACAATAAAATCAGCTATGCATTATATGTATACTACTTACCTTCCTTATTTGGAAATACGAAATAATGATATCCTAAACATCTCGCCATTTTTATTAACATTTTTTTTTTAAATAATCGATGATATCATTGCAAGGCATAATTACAAAATGTTATAGAGGCCGAATCCCTTCGTTTAAACTCTGTCCCATAAAGGTTCTTCTTGGCTGGACGTTTTTTTAAATGATAAAAAAAAAATTAACACAGTTAATAAGCTTATAAACATTATTTCTACATTCGTATTAAAAAACGTAATATCTATAAGTCCCCCAATGATGAAGAAATGCTATTTAGAAAAAGAAAATCTTACTTTTCTCTCCATAATATAAAATTATTTATATTTTGTTGCCAAATTATGTAGGTTTTTTAAAAAAAATTTTCGTTTTTTCCTCTATTATAATTTGAGGTAATTTATATATAGGATTATATTAATTTTTATAAATTAAATGGGCTTATTTGAATTTTATTCTCTTGTATACTATGTATTTTAATTTATATAAGAAAAATTGGAGTTTTTAGTTAATTTTAATTTTTTTTAAAGGCTTTCTTTGTCCAAAATATCAAAAAATGAAACTCGAAACTTTCAAAACCTAAATGAAAATTTTATATATAAAAATAAAAACATGTCCAAAACTTAGTTTTAAGAAAATTTTATTAATTTCAAAAATTATTCTTTTTATTTAGGTCTTAATTACGCTCGAGGTTTAACAAAAATCTTCAAATGTCGCCCAAAATTTTGAGCAAAAATCTTTAAAGATCAAAAAAATTGAAATCTTTTCGTAAAAATAAATTTTGAGCAAAATAAGATTTTTGCGCAAAATGAAAAATGTTTTTTGTAAAAAAATCTTCCTAAAAAATTCCCAGATGTTTTTTTAAATAAAATAGCATAGAAAGAAAGAAAGAAAGAAAGAAAGAAAGAAAGAAAGAAAGAAAGAAAGAAAGAAAGAAAGAAAGAAAGAAAGAAAGAAAGAAAGAAAGAAAGAAAGAAAGAAAGAAAGAAAGAAAGAAAGAAAGAAAGAAAGAAAGAAAGAAAGAAAGAAAGAAAGAAAGAAAGAAAGAAAGAAAGAAAGAAACAAAGAAACAAAGAAACAAAGAAACAAATTTTAAAAATCTGGGAAAATTTTTTTCATTCTGTTTTAAAAAAAAGCATCAAAGGGAAAATCAAAGAAGATATACTCTGCTCAGAATTTTTTTTAAAAAAATCGTCAAATTTTTTGATATTCAAAAGCGCAAGGATCTTTGAAGATTTTTGAATTTTGAGCAAATGTTAAACACTGGTTACGCTATGCTAACCTCTATTAAGAATATATCAGTTTGTTTCTTGAAAATGCCATAATATTAAAAATACCCACAACATTTTAAAAAATAAATCCATTTTTCATGCTTTTTTTGAAATTTTTGTAAATAGTGTCGAAAATGAAGCCAAATTGCCAATTTTTACTATAAAAATCTTTTTAGAACATGCCTTAATCAAATTTTTTATTAAATAATATTTAAATATTAGAATAAACCTATTTTTAAATATTATTATATTTTTAATAAAAATTGTAAGAATTAAAATTGGCGCTTTTGCCTCCAGAAATGTTTGTATCCTAAAAAACCCATTCGATAAAAATAAATCAAACTTTTCAGAAACATAGTTTAGCACAAAATTGATGCTACTGAAAGAAAAAGTGGGTTACCATATATTTTTTTGCAGTAACAATTTAAATTCGCTATTAATATTGAATTCTTTATGTAATTTTATTTTTATAAATTTAAATTATTAATATAATAAATATAGATGGAGTTAAATATTTTATGGTAATTATTATTTATAAATTTTACCTAGGATATTTATTTGTTAAATTATTAAATTTTTATTATATTTTATTATTACTATCCCAAATATGTTTTAATAATGACATTTTTATTAACATTTAATATCATAATACTATATAAAACAAGAGAGAACATATTGTGATTTTTTTGGATAGAAGTTAATGATGTAATAAAAAATCTCTATGGAGTATTTTCCCTTTTAACTGCTAAAGTATTCGAATTTAACTTCACAACAATAAACTATGTTTTTCTATATCTTTGTCTTTATGGTAAAAATACAAATATTGACTCATGTTAGAAAAATAATCATTATATTTCCATGGATAAACGACATACTATAATGCGGACCAAGAGAGCTATGGCAAAAGATAAACAAATGAATCGAATTGGTTGATTTGGTATAGAAACTTTGGAGAAGCACTAGAAGGCTAGGTCTTTAGCCTCATGGGATATCTCTTAAGGGGGATCCCGAAATTGAGAGCTTTCATACTTATTTTAAGTATTTTGAATAATGATATTCTTATTCTTACAAATATCTTTCAAATAGGTGTTCAGTGTATATAATTTTTTATTTATTATAAAATATCATACAATTAAATGTTTTAAAGATAAGTTAATATGACATTCACATATGGATATTTAACATAATAGACAATTATATAGAGTATATACTTAACAAATTTTCTAATAAAACATGTTCCGACAAAAAAGGGTCCCTATTCTTAACTTTAGGCCCGTTTATATGTAAAATTTTTGTAAGGTGCCATGTGGATTGCAGAGTTTTCTGTTACGCCTCCATTTGTATACAATATCTTGAAATGGACTTTTTGAAATATTTAGTTTATTTCTTGAAAATTATTGATTGCAGCTGAAGAATATAATACGGGAATTGGGTGAAGATTTTAAGTGATTATACATAATGCATATGAATCAAAATGGAACCGATTAATAAATTAACCATTGGGTTTTTTTTATGAAAAGCATATGTCTGGATCGATTATAATTATAAGTAGCTTTATTGCTGGGCAAACTTGCTTTGAAGGCTTCAGAGAATTGGACAAGCAAGATGCGTGGTATTGGAATACTAAGTCGCTTATATGGATGTATGTAAAAAATTTATCATTACCCAAAACTAGTGTTGATAAAACAACTAGTAGTGATTAGTTATCCCAAAAATAGCTGTAGATAGTTACTTGAAAAAAATCTATCTATTAACTGTAATTTAAAATAAAATTTGAATCAAAGCTCTATTTATAATAGTTTATGAGCTATATGAGGTTATGTAAAAGCTATTTTTCTGGCCAGCTAAAATATGATATGTATTGACTGGCAATTACGAAATACTTGTAAAAGAAAAGACCTATGTCAATATTTCTTCATTTTTAGGTATAAACTTCTCAATTTATCATCATCTATTTAATGATAATATTTTATAAAATATATCTTAATTATATTTTGTTAAGCATTCTTAAGTTTGTTCATCATTTGAAATTTCACCAAATGTTCTTTTGCGTGAGCTTTTCATTTTATTATGAATGTGTGAATCTTTGAATTGTGGCCAGTCAGTACATGGCCAGATAATACTCACCTGTTTATTATTATTCAGCGCCTTTATATGTCTCGCAAGCTCTAATTTTTTGTGAAATAATGCGAAATGCCTAAGGGTAATATTTATATAAAATATCAGTAATCTAAATGAGTAATTTTTAAACTAAACAAAAAAATGATTTTTCTAAAACAGTTTATTTAAATTTTTATATTAGATTGATCTATTCAATAAATAAACTTAGGTAAGGTATATATCATAAATATACATATTTTGACCAATTTTGAGAGAAATTGGTCCAATAGATAAAAAGTTAAAGGATGATGACCAGTCTTCAGACATGGCATTCTGGCACATCTCCCCTATATATATATTAAAAAAAGATTTATTGAAATTTTCTTCAAAAAACAATTTCTGTTTATTACACGTTATTTATCTTGAAAATTTCAGCCAATGTTCATATTGAAAGAAAAAATACTTATTGAGGTTTTCACTAAAAAATTTCTTGTCAATTCACGGAATTATCTTGAAATAATTCGGCCCTAGAGTGAATTTAAAGAAAAAACATGAAATTTTTTTAAATAAATATGCAAAAACCTCCCCCCCCCCCACCCGCCCTATTTAATTGCTATGACAATTTAATTTTTTTTTAATATATCATTTTACCTTTTTAAGGATGTAGCAGTAACTAATTACTTTTCGAAAGAATAATAACACTAATTTTTGATAGGCTGGCACATTGATTGTTCACGCTCCATTATTGATCATACACACTTTTAGTTTATAATTCGCGAAAACTAATATTCCGAATTTTTGCTTTAAGTTCTTCCGCCAGCTTTGTTTTTCATAATTTTTTTATGGCTAATAAACAATTGATTTACCTTATAAGAAGTTTTAAGCACAAATTGATACAGTATGTTTTTTCGAAAAAATTAGATTTAATAAGCAAAAAATTATGTATATTCATTCTGATAGTTGAAGGATATTCCAAAAATTCCCTCATGTGAAATGGCGTTTATATTATTACAAGGGAATCATTGAATAAATGAAATATTTATGCAATATATTATTGTCTCTTAAAAAAAATTAAATATAGCTCCAAAAGCCATTTCAGACTCTAAGGATAGTAATTTGGCCCATGATAATTTGAGCTTCACTTTACCCCGCGGTCATAAAAACAAAATACCTCAAGGGACAGAAGATCACTTGCCAAATAAACACAAAAAAAATGACGATCTTGAAATTAAGGATAAAGATTATTATAATACCAATAAAACTATAGCAGAGGATACATCGGATAAAGGTTAATAAAATTCATTTAATTGACTTGTGAATTTATATAGTATAATATTATGATTTTTTTTGTCACTAAAAAGACAAAACTTAAATTATTTTTAGGTTATTAATTTAATAAATTTATATTTTTTAAAAATATAAAATATATTTAGTGTTGAATGAGTTAGTATATATATATCATTTATATTGTTTATCATAAAATATTTATGGCCTTCTTTAAATAAAGCACTTATTCTTTGTTTTTAATTAATGGTAGATAGACCTGTGTGCTGGCTGGTCTAACATTCATAAAAACCCGCCTTTATTTTTAATTATTAATTTAATATTTTGTTTAAATTTAATGATAAAATTAAAAGCTTTTATTGTGAACATTTTTATTGGTGATTTCAATGATGACATAATCAACAGTACTCAAATAAAAACATCGCAACGAGATAGCATAGTCTGGGACTACTGAAAATGATTGCTATGTTTTAAAAAGAATTGACATATTATCCTAAATCTTTAAACTATGAATGAGAAGCTATAAATCTTTCGGCCAAAATTTAGGAATTTTTTCATCACAACCTTATTTTTCAGGAATAAAATAGAATCCCAATTAAATTTTTTAATAATAACTTGAACTCGGAGATTATTCCACATAAAGAAATTATCTATGCTATAAAAAATTTTTAAAACCTCTGGGCATTATAAGACTATCGATTTCATTCAAACGTTATATAAAAATGAGTCGACTGAAAATATTATAAATAAAACATTTTAAACTTATTAAATTCAATTAATAACTAGAAATTAAAAGCCAACAGTATAAATTATCTAACACAGTTAGCAAGTAAGCATTACACAAATTTTGTATCACTCCGAATAACTCGGAACAAAAAATCCTATATTCTTATATAGAAAAAAAACGTCATTCGCATGATATGTATTTTTGAATTGAAAGAAGATCGAATTTCCACATCCTCCCACGCTAGCCAAAGACTTTTTACATGCTTTATCAAGTAGCCCGCGTTGTGAAATAGTTTTCTATAGAAGTTAGCTTAACCTAAAATTAATGGAACATAATTATTCTCCAAAAATTTGAAATAAATTATTTATTATACTATAAAATTATAATTAAATTTTCATTTCATGATAAAATAATATATAACAGTTCGAGTACCTGATTTTACTGCACGCCTATTTCTTTTTCTTTTTAAAAATAAAGTTTTAATTTCTTCCCCTTACTCAAAAATTCTTTACCAAGAGAATAGATAGTGAAAAATAATTTAGCTCAATAATAGTCATCTCGTTCGAAATATTTATGATGTCTTTGTCGATAGTCTTAGTATCATTTTTTTTTCTCATTATAAAATGATAATTTAATACATGAAATTAACGTTATGCATTTATAAATAGATTGTATAATTATGATAAAGTCAATGAAAGGGGATATGAAGGGCTTGTAAATCAGATAATATAAAGGGAGTATAATTTACATAATCATGACCTTTAATGGCTATATTATCTATATTTGCTTATTTTTATATTACTTCCAAAAGTAACGGTATACAGGTCATTCATATTGAATTATTATAATGACGATGGCAATAATCGAGTTACCTTTGTACGCATTATTATTAAACTCGTTATTTTTACTTTAAAGGTATTTTCCATGTGTTGCAATATGGCTATTATATTATATTTTTTTTAAAAAATAAGGTATTTATTGTTCAATTCATAAATCATATTTAAATTTAATTATTTTTAAAAACATTATCACGATAAGTTGCCTTTTCTTGTTTGTTTTACCAAATAATTATCTTAACTTTTATTGAATTTCTCTGGAATCTATCAAAAAAAATAATATTAACTTTTTTTTAGTTTTCGTAAACTTATAATTTCTCTTAAATTTTTTTTATAAGTGTATATTCTACAATTTAACGAGTAAAAAGTAGAAGAAAATTTACTATCATTAAATTTCTTTAAGATTTTATAATTAAAGAAAACCATATGGATGGGATATTAAATATTAATAATATTTTGACCCTTTTACATTAGTAAATTAAATATCTACTTTATATATACTCATTCTCAAAAATTAAAAACCATAAAGTCAATAAATTAATTATTTTTAACTTTAAAATTTATATAACATATTTAAAATTAATGGAATTGTATATACATATAAAGTATCTAAAATAATTGACTGTTTTTTTTTCATGTGCCGCATATTTTTTTTTTTTAAAAAAAGGGATAAAAAGGAACTTATAAATTACTGAATAACAATAAATCGATATAAATATTAATGAACCCTATTCGTGGCTAGAGGTGTTGTTCTCGCTATCTCGGCCAATACCTCTTCATTCTTTTTACTTATTTATTTTATTTATTTGTTCTTTATTTCATTCTTTTTTTTATATTCATTTGTTTTTTATTTCATTCTTTTTTATTTGTTTCTTTTCTTTTGAAAAAATCGAAATTGTACGTAACACTGTACTTGTGTGTGGTACGTAATGTTCATACCTTTATCAATAAATAAAAAAAATCATTGTCAATTCCTTTATAAATAACTATTTATAATCATTTGATTGCGATTATAAGCTTAAAAATATTAATATGATTTATTTAGTTATTTGATTTTTTAGGGAGTTTCTTTTTACAGTTATTTTTTTCTCTTTTATTCTTAACTTTTTATAGATTTATTATTTATTTAACGGTAAATGAATGGATATAAATTATTTAATTGTTTTTTTTTCTTTAATCCCAAATTTTCGAAATTTAGTATTCTCTTCTTTTAAAATTATCTTAATTAGAGAAAAAAGCCCACAAAAAAAATTAATAATTTGAAATTTAGTGAAGCACAAAAAATATAATAATTGAAATTTTTTTTTAGAGGCTAAAAAAAGGGGATAGGGATCTCTGGAGAAAAATAATTTTTTAAATATTGATTTTTTCGCCAGCCCTTAAATGATATAAAATATTTATTTGCATTATATCATTATAATCTAAAAAAATTTATAAGTAATATATATTTTTCCTTTCAATTTATTTTAAGATGTCAATGTTGTGGAAGTCGATATTCATGGTAATTACTTAAATAGTGTCAAACCATTAAAAAAAGTGAACCAATCTGGAAAAAATAAAAACCTATTGATTAAACCGAGCACTATACCCTATTCTTCAATTCCATCGCTAATTGCGCACTCTAATCCATTTAACAAAGTCCCATTTTCTCGAAGTTATTACCTTGAAACGGACAACAAACTCGATTTAAAACGTGATAATAACACTATAATAACTACTAATAATAATGATGATGCTACTCAATCTTGCACCAAGGCTAGCCTTATTCACAGCAGCGTATACCTATCGAAATCAACCAATAAACACAAGATCAAGGTAACGCGTAAATCTAGTATTAAGCGTTCATCTCACAAATCAAACATGAATACGGATTTGAATAAACATAAATCAGCTGAGAGTTCATCTGAAAAGTTATTTGTATCCAAGAAAACATCGATTACTAACAACATTAAGTGTATTGATAAAGTTACCTCAGAATCCTTAAACTCCAATCAAGGAAATAATAAAATAGAAAACTTTTCGAAATCCAATCCTTCGATTCCCAACTTACGCCAATATTCTCCTTCTCTTGGTTCGTATCATAAATCCAAAACGGTGAACAACTATGTTCATAATATTACAGATGAACGCAATAGATCCACCGGAGAATTGGCATTAAAGGAATCTTATACTAAAGTCGGGCTTAACGCTAAATGTGATAGTCTAAGCGGAATTCCCAAACCAACCGCTGCCATTAAAGGCACAGCAAGCAATACGGTCAGTAAATAATTATAAAAATATACATTATCGTTTGTTTTTTCTGATTAGTTAAAAAAAAGCTTGTTATTTCAGTTTTTTTAAAACAAATTAGTTTAGTGGGAAAATAAATAATCAAAATGCTACTATTAATATTTTTTAACCATTATCGACTAATTTATTTTAACCCAACTCAAAAGAATTATTTACATTTCAAAATTTAATAGTAATAAAAAAAAAATATCTTCCTTTTTTTAAAATAAATCATTTCGAGGATTTGCCGATCTTGGAAAAAAATATATAACTCAATTTATCGTAATGGCGTTTATAAATTTTTAGTCACATAGTATACCCTTTTCCAATACTAATTAGGTTTAGAATAGTGACTGTTGGCAAAAGGACACTACGTGTTTGCAACTGGGCACTGAGATAAAAGCTATAAATCGTTGGTGGTGTTAATAGCTTTATTTATGGAATAAAAATAATTAACATCTATAAGCGACCTTTATAATAATTTAATTAAAACTACATTTATTGTAAGCGTTAAAAGCTTAACACTCGCGGTAGTATTTCTAAATTAAATCCTGAACTGCAACCTTATCCGTCTGAATCGTTTGTCTGATTTCAGCCCACAAGACCGTCCGCTGATTGTTAAATATAGCTTGCTTAAATTCATTAAAATATGCAATATTTAAAAACAAGAGTAAGCTCGTTCTATATCCCTCCTTTCAAATATTTAGCTAAGCTACAGGTCCATTGCTTAAAAAAATATTTTTCGCCTGTCTGTCACCAATTGTTTAATTTTTTTATCTCGGTGGGTGGGTTATAAATCCGCCCATAACAGACCTTTAGTTAGTCTACATTATTTTTATTAAAAATATCAGCTTATTTCGTAAAAAAATTTTAATTAATTTGCCCCTTATTTTTTGATAAATAAATAAAACTCAAATTAAAATTTGCCTCATAAAGATAATTATCTCATATTAATAATTATTTTATTTAAAGTAATTAAATATATAACGTTTTTTTAATTATATTTTATTAAATTTTGTATTTATAATTCTTGGGTGATTGATTGATTATCAATTACCAGCTATGGATATGAATTTAATTAAATTTTCATTGAAGGGAAATAAATATGGAAAAAGATAAGGAAGAAGCTTCTAAATATTTTATCAATCGAAATTTTCTTTCATATTTTTTTTTCCAGTAAACAAACATATTAATTTAAATGAATATCGAAATTGGACGCACGTTTTTTAACGCAAATAAAATTAAAATATTTGCCTCATGCGATTTTTTGCATGAACAATAAATAAATTAAAGGCCCTTTTTATTTATTCTTCAAATTTATAATAATTTTTTTTCCCCTAAATATATATCATGGTATTTTTATTTTATTCAATGTAAATTATATATATAAATAAAGTTAATCAATATAATATAATATAATTTAAGAAATTGGGTTACTTAACTTATTAAATCATTATCATCTTCTAACGAGTTTTAGTTATCGAAAACTTAAACTTGGATTTTTAAAAAAATATGTTTTTTATTGTTATCATTAAATATGTAAATGTTTTTTCAAAAAATTATTTATACTCAACCCATCTTCATCTTATGTATAATGAAAGAAAAAATTCATCATTTACGCCGTCTATGAATTAAGTTTTGTGTTTTACAATTTGTAATATTATGTGATAATTATTATCTTAATATGTTTTAAACAATGTGTAATGTTTAAAAAAAAATTTAATTATATATATAAGAAGGAAGAGAAGATATAAAAAGTACATTCACATAAATCTTGTTCTGCATTATATTTTAATATTCGAGATGATATAATATAAAATTTACCCTCAAATCAACATCTATTTTTTTTTCAATTTTAAGAATCCCCCAACACCCAGTAATACTATTTTGAATGATGCCATAGCTATATATTCAAGAAACGTACCAAATTATTCATCCGCCGAAAAAGAAATCAATTTTAATAAATCTAAATCATCTGCCACGAAATCCGACATTTTACCAAGTTTACATTTAATTTATTATTTCTAAAAAAATTATTATATTTTATTTAAAAATAACTTAGCTAACTTAGTTGATAATTTTAACCTTTAAAAAAATCATATGTAAATGCCATAAGTGTTGCCTAATTGAACCCACCCCCCTCTCGGCAAAATAAACAATAATTAAAAATAATAACGCTCTCAAAATAATTTATAAGGGAAAAGTGACACAAACGCCCCTCTCCCCTTGCTGAGGGAAACTCCTATCCTGGGTAAATATCCCTGTGATAAATTTTATCATGGCTTTTGTTCTCATATATAAAATTTATCTTTTGTTTATAACGTAATATCTTTTTTTCCTCTTTTCTTTCTGTGAGAGATCTCTTATCTTAATTCGTAAATAATGATTGGGATATTTAGTTTGTCGTTGTTTTCAAACAGAAACTCTTATTATGAGAGCTCAAAATACGTAAACATTTTTTATATTTTGTTCTCATTCAATTCGAACATCGTAAGAAAAAAACTATATAAAAATGTTATTATATCCCTATTACCATTCTTCCAATAAATTCTCATTAAAATAAATATTTGTTAAAAAATATAATTTTTACACTAAACTTATAACATGAATATCTATAAAATTATTTAAAAATTTCTAAATAAATTTATTTTCTTTAAATAATTTTGATGATAAATGATATTGCATAAAATGAATCGAAATAATCATGAAAAAGTGCGTTTATTTTGAGTATTTTATAATATGTTTTTATGCAATACCAATGCTACATAAAATTATTTTAAATAACTTTATTTAGAGTTTTTTAAAATAATTTTATAGATATTCAACTGATTTTTATTGAATGAATTATAAGTTTAGTGTAAAAAATTATATTTCTTAATTACTCGTTTTAAAGCGAATTTGTTCGAAAGAATGGTAAAATAGGGTATTGTATTGGTATTTTTTAAAATTTTTTTCTATGATGTTCGAATTGAATGAAAAAAAATATATTAGTTAATTTAGTCCTCTAAATTTTTCACATTTTAGCATGAAATTGCATATTTTTATTTATTTCATAAAGCCGATCGATATATGCAATTTCTGATCAAAATCCCTAAGATAAAATTTCTAGTTACGGGCCTATTTTTTGGTATTGCTATAGGCCGATAATGTATTAGTATAGGTTTTGGTATCGATATCAAAAGTGGTGTCGGACATATTCTGTACAAAATTTATTTTGTTTAAGCTTTTTGTGATTCCCAGACTATATTTTTAATCAGATCGGCAGTTAATCAGAAAAAGTTAGTTATACTAAAAACACCCCTATCCTTCTTATCTTATAAACATTTTTTTTTAACTCATTTGAATTTAAATTTAAAGAAATAACAATTTTATTAGATTTTCAAATTAAATTTAACAATATATTTTAAAAAAAATTTTTTTATAGACAAATTAATAGCACCATCGACTTCGAATAGAAGTTCTAAATTAACTCATCAGAATCTTAAAAACCTAGAAAATCGATTAAACAAGGAAAAAACGCAAGAATTGTCACCGCACGTAGAACAAATGAACCTTATAGACGTTGACTCTCATTTGTACACTGTTCCTCGCAAGATTTCTCATCTCCATTCCAATAATTCATTTGCCAAATCTCATCACTTACCTTCCGTTGCCTTGGTGTCACCCATGACCAAAGGTACAATCTTAATAACCATTTCTGACATTTGTAAATATAAATACGGCAAAAATTATCTTAATTTGCTTTCGCTTAAATAATCAATTAAAATTGAATTAAATTTAAAAGTATTCGGCATTTAATTTTGTTTTGATAATTTTTATTTTATACACAGCAGAAAAATCGAATAAATCTGAAGTCAATGTAGGCATAAATAAACCATTATATTTTTTTGGGGAGGCATTCAAGCAATCCAATAATCCGGTAACTAATTTTTATAAAAGCAAAAACATATACATACCATCCCATAAAGCTATTGTATCATATGAGGGATATAAAATATTTTAGGAAAAGTAATATTGCAAAATTAAATCTAAAACTTTAAAAAAAAATTTGATTTAAAATTTCTAATTAACTATAAAAATTAGTAATTTTTACCGACGAAAAAATTATCCTTTGATTTTCGATTTGTCATTGATAAGGATTGTATTCTTCTCTATCCAATAAGTTGTTTTCAAAAAATTTGATTAAAATATTACAAAACCAAAAAGGATGTGTAAATAGATAAATTTAATTTTCGGTTCTCGAAAATTTTGCAAATTTGAGACAACATTTAAGTTCTGTACATGTTAAAGGTAAATAATTTTCTAATAAACAAATAATGAATTTTTTCAAAAAAGCAATATTTTATAAGTCGTTTGACAGATATGTAAGAAAAAGTAAATAAGCACAATAAATCATAGCCTTTAAATGTTTTTATAAGGATTTGTAATGAAAAATTTATCTACATACTAATTATGGTTTGATATAAGAGATCTGCAAAGCCCGGCCCATTAAGAATTTTTGCACAAGTTGCATGGCCCGCTAAAATTTTAAGAAAAGTCATGCCCGGTCGGTTAATTTTACGAAAAATCCACTCCGATTTGTTAAAAAAAATTTACGAATTTTCCGCCCATTAAATTTTTGATATCTAAGTCTCTTATATCTTTCTCTATGTCTATCTATTTTTTTCTACAACAACCGTTTCATACACTTGTTTTTGATATCTTTATTGTATTTTTTTAATTTAATGATATTTTAAATTGTAGAAATTTTTTGAGTATTTTAGTTAGATACCTAAAATAAAAAGAAATAGGCATACTGTAATTTATTATCAAATCGCATATCTTTTTTATTTACGAATTTCCCAGCCCGTTATAATCTAAAAAAACATGACGTGCTTAAAGGCGGGCCGGGTTTTGCAGAATTCTATTTGGTATTAATTAGTAACTATTTAATCCGAGCCTATAAATAATCTGATCATTTGCTTGATATGTATGCAGTTCCAAAACAAGGTGTCAAAAACTGAACCTTTATAGTTATCGGTTCGGTACTCTGGTTAAAAATCATTACTGATAAGCTTGCAACCCAATATAGTTTTTCCCAGTTACGTAATGTCCTTTTCAGAGATTTCCTTTTTTGAAAAACATAATGTCCCTTTTTAAGGTCTTAAAAAACTCACTATGTCTCTGAAAGGCTATATGAGATAGTTAACACGCAACTAGAAAACTAACAGAACTAAAAATATAATTTTATACCTGTATTCTTATAAATTGAATTAAAGAAATTAATAAAATGGGAAATGTAACATTAGATTTATGACGCACAGCAACTATCACATCCCCTTACAAAAGATATGGGCAATGAAATAATGGGAACTACTAAATTTACGAGAGGTTTATCTCAAAGCCCAAAATATCCTAATCATTATAAAACTACTGGGAATGGTCTTAAAGGTCATTGTCTTCAAAATGGTAATAGATATCATTTTATTTAAAAAAAATTTCTTTTGAGTTTTAAAACTTAGTATATCACATATAGAGTGTAATAAAGAGTATATATAAAGAGTATATATAAAGCTTTAAAAGATCCGTCTAAGTTGGTTCTGATCAAACTTGTATCGGTCGACGAGTTTGACAATGATTTACAATTATTTATTTGGGCCGGACTTTAAAGGTTCTATGTCTGACAGAACTCGGATCTCATCAAAAAAAATTTTTTTATTATTTTGTTTTATTAATATTTCTTTTTCGACTAAATTAGCTACGAATTTCGTATTAATGTTATTAGGTGCAAGTGTTTAAGTTGCGTGACTAAAATTCGTAACTAATTTTCGCTAACTTAATTTTGTAATCATATGTTATTCGTATAATATATTAAATGAACACATACGAGTTATGTGAATTTCATTTTAAAATGCTTGGATATATGAATAAATTAGTTCATTGAATTCGTAGCTAATTTAGTCACTAGGGCGAGGTATTAGAGAAAGAAAAAAAAATTAACTACTTTCCGCTTAACATCGGGTCCGATTGATTCAGATAGAAAATTTAAAAACTTTTCTAGATCAGGGTTGAATTTCAAAATATAAATCATAGGCTCTTAGTATTCTCATTTTGTTTTAATAAAATATAAGAAAATTTTATTTTTTATTATGATTACAACAACTATGTTTTTAATTTTTAAGGTTATCTGTCTGATGGAGAAGCCCTTAAAATGAGTAAAAAGCATCGTAAAATGATTACATTGATGCAATTACAAAATTGTGAGAATATTCTCTGTGCTGAAAATGACTCGAACAATGTTTCTCACGAACATAGATCGGAGGGTTTGAATCAAATCAACTATAACAGGTTTCTTAAAAATATTTTTTTTATATCTAAAAAGAAAATATGATAAGTTAAAAAATTTTTAAAAGCTTACAAGATTTATTTTTAAATTTTTACATTAACTTAAATTTAGACTTAGGTATATATAGTTTAATTTACTTTTATTATCATTAAATATTTTTAGAAGTCTGAAAAAATGCAGATAAGAATATTTAAAAATTTAATTAAAAAGAATTTTTCAATAAATGAGAATACAAAATTAAATGTTTAAATTCGTATAATAAAAAATATTATGGTTTGTTGTTTAATCTAATTTAAAGTTTCGATTATTTTTTATTTTATTCATTATATTGTTTACCTGAGAATATGTATATAAAAAATTTTAAGAATTATGGGACTATAGAAGGTGAAAAAATGAAATAAATATAGGTTGTATTGTTCCTTGCATTCTATAATTGGAACACTCGATTTGCACATTTAGATTAGGCGTAACCTGATATAAACCTTTTTCATTCAAGCCATTTAATAATCAATATAAGTCTTGGGTAGGAACAGGACCTGAATCAGTCCACTAGGCGATTGTATACTAAGATTATTATTATTCCAAAAGATGTCTATATAAAACTCAAAAAACCAGAGTTGTTAAACGTTACTTTTAAAAATAGCGCGCTACCGCTATCGCTATTTGTCAAAAAAAGTAGCTCGCTATTAGTTTCTATTTTTTAAAAGTAGCTTTAGCTACTTTTTAAGCTACTTTTTATAAAAAAAATTTACAAATTTTTTAATTGTCTATAATGTTATTGTATAGTAAATATATAAAAATCAACATTTATAAATATTAAAATATAGTTAGTTTTGATTATAAAAAAATTTATGTAATAAAAATAAATATTTATGGTAATTTGTTGCATTTTAATAATAAAATCATTACAATATTATCATCCCCAAATCTAGAGCGACTATCAAAAAGTATAAGTTTTGCCTTATTAAATAATCTCTCCACTAGCACTTGAGGGTAAGGGCGTATTTAATCTTATATACATATTTTTAATATAAGATAAATAATTTTATTTGCAAGTACATATATGTCTGGCATCCTATTATCATTTTGAAGGCTAATGCCACAGATCTTCTTTTTAAAGTTCTAGGGTCTAGTCAATGGCCTGTGATTCCCAAATAAGCTTAAAAATATTTAATCAGATCAATTTATAAATATAAATAAGTTTTTACCTTCTGTTATGTGTTCAACTATTTCTATCTCTGATAACTCTACTATTAGAGCATCTTTCATCATAAGGTTATCTGCTATTTTATTCATTAGTGTCTGGCGGCATAAAATTGTTGTACCAGGAGATAGAGTTTTAATTATCAACTAAGGACATTGGCTGAACTGTATAAATGATAAAATCAACAATAACTTTATCAGCCAATTTCTGAGAAATATTTTCATTTGCATTATTAATTAATTTGGTTTGAATTGAATTAGTCTTTTTGGATGTATAGTCACCTATACCAAAATTATTTAGATGTCTCTCGATTTCCTTAAAACTCATGAACAGTCTTATAAAATAAATATTATTAGAATGTAAAAATGACAATTTACCTTTAGCAGGCGCGTAACCAATGGGAGGGAGGGGGGAAGGGGGAAATCCCCCCCCCCATCGCAAATTTGACTGTTTTTATATATATCTTTTTAAGCTAATAAAAATTTTACCCCACCCCTCCTCACCCCCCCCCTCCCCCAATCAAAATTTTACAAATATTTGAATATCAATTTTACAACATATTATTCAAAAATATTAATAAAATGGAAAAATATTTAGTCAAAGAGATTGAAATCAAACGATAATTTATTTTATTATTATATATATTTATTTTATTAAATTCAAAATTATTAGTGAGTTAGAATTAATAAGTATTTTTAATAATATTTTAAATATTAATAAATATCTATAATTTTTTAAATATTTTTCATTTTTATTTCCATTTTGTAGAACAGAAGAAATAGAAATACAAAAGTTAAATAAGGCTGAGCTTGAAAAAAAGTAATGTGTCGTCAGAAGCGATATCATTATTGAATTCAATTGATCAATCAGAGTTTATCATTGCTGCAAGTTGCATCAATAAATTATTTTTAGCTCACTACTTTGTAGAAATTTACAAAAACCAAATTTAGATTTCAGGTTATTGATTTGGCGGAAAATATATATGAACAGGTAGATACAATAAGAATGAATGTAGATAAATATTTTCATAAATTATCTAGAAGTTGAATCGAAGGCTAAATTTTATGATATAACACTAATTAAACCTCGTCTAGCACCTAGGCCATTATTGAAATGTAAAATAAATATTGGCTCAACTGAAGAATATTATAAAATATCCATTTTCATTCCATTCTTAGATACTTTTATATCGTAAATAAAAGTACAGTTTTTAGATAAAAAACAAGTCTTTAGCAATCTTCAAGTTTTATTATCTAAAGATCCTTCTTCGTTTTCTAATGCCACTATTGTTAAAATTAAATACTTAGCAAAATTTTATTCCTATGAGATTGATACTGAAATAAATTTAATAAGTGAATTCGAATTGTGGTATAAATATCTACTACGTTTAGCTATTTTACCTGAGCATGCTATTCATGCGCTCAATTGGTGTAAAGAAACTTTGGCTCAATTTCCTAATATTTTGAAGTTGTTTTATAGTCTTGCATGCCTATTACAATACGAATGAAAGCACTTTTTCCAACTTGAGAAGGTTGAAAACATATTTACGAAGTTCTGAATCTCGACTAAATGGGTTAGCTTTGTTAAATATCCACAGAGATTTGGTTCTAACGACAAACGAAATTCTTGATGAATTGGCAACATTCCCACGAAAATTAAAAATCACATTATAATTATAGAAAATATTTTGTATAATATTGTATTTGATAAGAAGTTAAAAAAAACTTGTTAATTTAATTATTTTCTAGTCAATATTTTATACATTCTACTATTAGTATTTTAAATAAAAAAATTATATTCTACTTATATTGTATGAGAATCTAAGCTGAGGCTAGTTTTTAAAGCAAATTTTATAAAAAAAAATGACATTACACTTTATTTCAACTTTACATTTAAAAAAACTTTAATAAATATAATATAACTAACTTGAAATAATAAAAAATAGGCTTGTAATATCCATAAGCAAGAATTAGTAAATAATAGTTAAAAATAGAAATATGATTATTATTAAATTGTGAATAATTTAATAGAATAGCTAAAACATAAGACCCGGACGAAGGCCGGGGGAAAGCTGGCCGAAGGCCAGGCTAAAGGGGTTTGGAGGCGAAGCCCTCAAAAATCCCTCCCCACCCCCCCCCCCCCCCATAAGAAAATCCTGGATATGCCACGGACCTTTAGGTGTTTCTTGAGGTTATAGCTACTGGATTGATTTGAGGAAATATTTTTTTTACATTTAAACAAATAAATTTGAAACCAGTTTTGGTTATATATTTATTTAAAAAAAATTTCAAATCTAGGGAATGGGAAATTTGTATTATAGCTATTAAGAACATTTTCTTCCCTGGTATCTTCCATTTCATTAATATCATTGTCTGAATCACTTTCAACTATTTGGATATCCATAGGCGATGATATTTTAAATTATTAACACGTGATTTAGGTATATAATACAAATGAAAATATAAATTACAAATTGAAATTATATTTTAATTTCAAAATTAAATAATAAATCTTAAAAACTATAATTAATTAAAATATTATATTTTAATTTTCATGTTTACACTTACCTTCATTATATTTTTTAAAAGTAGCGAAGTTGCGGCTACTTAGATACTTTCAAAAAAAGTAGCGCGCTAAAAACTTACATAATTACAAAAAAAGTAGCCGCTTTAGCTATAGCTACCAAAAAAATTAGCGCACTACTTTAACTCCAAAAAACTAATAATATTAGTTATATTAATTGAATATAATTCAGGAATATTCCGCATATTATAATATCATTAGAGTAAATTTAAATAAATAAACATAGACACTGATTTTTTTATTCCATTGTATAAAGCCAAATAAAAATTTACTAAGCCCAATTTTATTGAAAATATATTATATAGAATTATATATTTTTCGATTCATATAAATATTACATTGTATATATTTCTTAGTGCAATTATTTCTTCATTTAAATTGTATATTTAAATTCCTTTGATTAAAATGGTAAGAAAAGAAAATTCAAATAAGAATATTTTTAAAAAAGGTTGACAACGGTGTACGCCGTTTTAGTCAAAGTATTCATAGAAGGGTAAATAATTTTCGTATATGAATTTATGAAATACCTCAAGTCTCCTAACCTATAATAACAAATTATACCTCAAATTCCATTTTAAGGGAAGGGAATTTTTGTCTCAAACTGAAAATCATTTAACATGATCCCTTTTTTATAATCTAAAATATAATGAATAATAAGACCGGAGCTAAACAGAATAAATACAAGGCACGCTAGAAAATTTTACTTTATTTGAAGAAAAATAAATCAAAGTTTAGAGAGTGAAATTAAATTTCACATTATAGACAATTTTGACATAAATCTATGACAAAAATATTATATCTCTATATTCAAACTTGGTCTACTTTATGCTGTGTTCAAAATTCTTGTAATGATAAAAATTAAAAGTGAGAATTTTATTTCCTATCTTTTAACATCCCCGCCCCCTTGTCTATCCACTGAATGAAATGATGAACTCTCTTTCATTATATACAACATATATTTTATCATGATATAATTTTAATATTAGTTATATTAACTTATATAATAAGTGACATTAAGGGCACGTTGGGGCATTATTTGTGTCTATCTTATATATTTTTTGCAATTTTCTGTTCACACTCAACATTGCGATAATATATTAGGAAAAAGAACCATATATTTTGTAGATGCTGCTTATTAAGCTTTATACACGAAACATTAAAATAATTTATTATTAATAAATTTTCATTTATACTTGTTATGAAATAATTAATTTTTGAATCATTATTTTTTTAATATTTTAATTCGGCCAGGACTCTATTTTAACGTACCCTGGCCTGTTCTCATGCTGATTGCCTTATTTTTTTAGCGTACAAAAATTAACAAATTAAAAAATATCAAATATCGAAAAGAAAGATATTATATACATTAGGTAGAAGAGTTAAGAGACTACCGTTTGAGATTTGTATCGATCATTAGTCAATGCTTATATATTTTAGACATTTTTACAAAATCTGTTTTTTGGTCTTCCCCCACCAAGATATCCTACTCATAGAAATTCTATTATTTTAATTTGATGATAGTGTTAAATCTTAAGATTCATAAAATAGTATTTTCATTAATACTTATTTTATAAAGATATCCAATTGAATGATATCCTTTTTGTTTTAGCAATAAATCTATCAATTTTAAAAATAATTTAATAAATCTTTTTAGATTACGAGTGGGATAAATTATCAATGTGTTATTTCATTAAATTCTATCACCAGTGGTTAAGTTATGCAATTCGAACTTCTCAACATGTAAAAATTCATTTTCTATTAAACTTAACATCAACATTTAAAATTAATTTGTGTCAAATGTTGCATTAGCAATCGATTGGCTGCAACTTGTTTTTTCTCATTTAAACTGCAAAGTACATCCTGCAGATTTATCGGTGAAGTAATTGTAAACAGTTATCCATTTGTGAGCCAGGTGAAATAAACTAACCTCTGAGGATATTTTCGAAGAAGTGTTTACGTGCCAGACGGGCAGTCTTATTCGCATTTAAGTTCTAGGCTTGTTTCTTTTTTAAACACTTAAGCTACAGCTCTTTGGATAACCATAAGTACTGAAGTTTACGAAATAACTTGACGAATTGTTCTATTGGTGTCAGGTGGGACTTCTTGGCTCAATACAAGTGTTTCAATAGAATTAAAATTTTCCATAGTACGAGCTATGCGTGGTCACCACCATCTTATTTTGTGTTGATCCGGAAGCATCCAATTTAGCAATCAATTGATTAAAGGCTGTGATAGACAATTCTGTTAGGAAATTCCTTTAAAAATCTTTTGGCTCCGTAATATTTTTCTTGTTTTAAAGTTTTAATCAAACTCAAGTCATCTTTAATGAAAACCATTTTTTGTTATCGTTATAAAAAATAAATTTTTAAGTGAAAAGTTCTAATTTTGTTTGTCCAACTTTGAATGGGTAAAACTTTTACTCTGTTGGTAGAATTTGAAGATGTAGATTACATTGATAATTTATCCTTCTCTCAATATATAAAATTTTATTGCATTAATTTGGAATTGACAGATTAACTGCAACGGGTATCGGTTCAATTAGAATACAGTATATTTGTTTAAATTAAATTCAAAATCCATCTTAAAAGAATGAATGAGCAGAACCCTTTTCAAGGTGATGCTTAAACATTGTTATTTAATAACAACATTCTATTGCATGTCATTACTATAGTAGCTAGCCTAGCACAACCTATTTAGACTATTTGAATAATTTCCACTTTTTCTTTACTTCATGTGACTAAATAATTAAACCCTATCTATATTTTAGATATATTTTTATTAAAACAATAAATAATAAATAAGGAATATATAAATATTTTCAAATTTCTTGTTTAAAAAGTAATATAGACGATGATAAAAAAACTTTTTACCATATAATTTTTTTAATAGTTGACGCTAGAAAATAATTTGGTTACTTGTCGGCGTAAAAAGACTCCTTGAAAAAAAATAAGGTGAAGCATCATAATATTGTTTTTAATAAGGTTCTTCTAACCCAAAGTAAAACATGCAGAAACATTATATTAAGTAAAATAATATGGGGAAAAAAAATTGTATAAATAGCAAAAAAATTAATATCATTTATTTTTTCTTACATAATTCGTCACCTATTATAAAGTGTAATAAAATTGTAGAATAAATCTTCATTAAAATTTTCAGTTTAAATATTAATCGATTCGATATTATTAAATTTAATGTTTTCAAGAAAAAAAATCCAAAAATTGTTGTGGATTGAGAAGATGCTTTATGAATACAATTCTACTCAAATGTGATATTACATAAGATATTTCAATCTCTAATTGTTGTATCATTTTTGGTGAAGGTTAACCAGAACTTCAAAAAAGGTGGTTGGCAGCTATCGATCGAGTTTAGAAATCATATGGAATTATAGTTATTTTATCTGTCAATCCGCCCAGACCAGAAAGATACATAACTAGATTCAATTTCGTTTATAAATTCGATTTAAATGCAGCTAATCATTTTTTAAAAAAATTTACATATGAAGCGGTGTAAACCGGTCCGGTTGACCTTCATTAAATATTTTTATTGTACAAGTTTTTATAAAAATAAATAAAATAAAAATCAAATTGGAATCAATATTAAGAGTTTTTCCTCACTTAAATCTATCTATTAAGGGCCATGCGCGTTTCAAGAATCAGGCCTGGCCAAAATTTTTCTTCTTGAACTAGGTTGAGCAAGATTCAGCGGAGTTTGGTCAAAGATTTAAATTATTTTGTTTTTCGAATGCTTAGATAAATCCTTTTTTTGTTTAGTTTTGTTGGGTTAAACTCGGATCTTAATTTAAGTCGGGTGGTATAGAATTTATTTATAAAAAATTAGCTTGGATCAGATTCAGGCCTTCGTATCTAAAGTCTGGTCAGATTTGGGGTCAAAAAAAGAGGATTGGGTTGGTCCTGGGAAAATTTATCTTCCACAAAGCAGGGTTCTATTATCTTACAAAATAATTTTGGTTTGTAAAAAATAAAACTTATCTTGCTCTATAAGATAAATATTATAATACATGATATAAAAATATTTTAATTTTACGATAGTTATATAACCTTCATTGTTAATTTATTATTCATGATGATATGAATGCTTAAAGATGAATTTAATTTTAAACTCATAAATATGATACAGAGTTATATATTTAAAATAAAATGATAATTTACGTGTAATTTTATTCATTTTAAAAGTATTAAAAAATAATAATTTGTTATTTATTATTAATTATTAAACGATGTGGTAAAAATGTAGAAAATTTAAAATCTATATAATATTATATTTAATCAATTATCAACATAAAAAGATTTAAATCTTTCCTATAATTAACGATTTCTTTAATTGAAATTGCTAACGGATATGACTAACGACAATGCTTTACAAACTTTAAATTTTATGTCACTATTTTGTATAAGAAGTCTGGAATTTTTGTGGGAATTATTTATAGGCTTTTGGAAAGCGTATTCCTTATTGACCTATAACGACTTTATTTGGTTTTTCCAATACATTTTCACGGTATCTAGCGGAGATTCAAATTTGACTGAAAAATCCTCTTCTAATCAACCCTTTGATGAAACTAAAAGGGAATTGATTACGTCAACAGAAAATAATTATCGCGAAAAAGTTATTGAAGGTATTTGTAAAAATGATCAACCGATTGAAAATGAAAAAGTATTTAATATTAAGTCTTCGATGACGTCATTGCATATACAATCTATAACTGTTTGCGAAGATGTTAATCATATAAACCCACTTTCAAACATTCTGAAAGCGATTCATAGAAAATGTTCTAAAATAGAGGTAAAGTTGATAAGGTAATTTAAAACTAATACTAAATATATATTCTAAAAAAATATACTTAATCGTACCAATCAAAGTATTCATCATTAAATCAAATTTAACACGGTTCAATTGGGTTAAATATTTGATATATTTTATGTTACCCACTTTAAATATATCAATGTGAAATAAAGTAGTTTAGAATGTTGGATGGACTTTTTTCCTTAAATTTTATTAGAAGGCTTTAGGCCCATTTATTTAGGTCGTTTTTTTTGAAATAACACATTTTATCCATCATTTTTTGGAAGGGGAGGGGCAATATTTAGGGGGTAATTTTTATTGACCCAATAAAGTGATATTTACGGACATCTTTAAATTTACAAAAGGGGAGGAGCGTTAACCTTTTTTACTCCTCTTAGCTGCAACTATGCACTTGAACCTGAATAAGTTTAGATTTACCTATCGGTTGCCTTTTTAAGGTAATTTTCCCCTATCCTATATTTATTAAAATCATCAAATTTTTCTTAAAATAAATTTCACCTTTTATATTGTAAATATATTTAATATTTTTATGCAAATATATTTTTTTTCTCTTAAATATATATTGATCATTATTTAATAGAGAAAATGTGAATTTTGATGGTGGAAGATTTTATACCCACAAATTTGAATGTTAAATTTTTTGTAAAAAAAAATAATTATGTAATAGAAAAAAAACGATTTCCCTTTCTCATGCAAACCTTTATATAATATATTTTTTAACTTTGATTCTTCGTTCTGATTCTAACCTTACTAAGAAAGTTTAACAAAAATTTATTATACAATAAAGGTAAAATAAATTTCATTAAAATTTGTAACTCAAAACACAGCATCCAATGCCTATAACTTAATTTTATATTAATCATTGCATTTGATTGATATCTTTTTAGGGTAGAGGATATTAATCCATATTATGCAAACACTAATAACTTGTTAACAAAAGATCCATATTATGCAAACACTAATAACTTGATTACTAAAGACGGTTTTCACCGCAATGATTCGAACAAAACTTTACATCTCAATGATCACGCTATTACTGCCGATATGAATAATGGAAATGGAAAAAAGGCCTACAAAATGGAGCCTAATAGGTAATTAAATTAAAAATATAATTAAAAATTGACAGGATCGTATTAGTATGAGTATTAAAAACTTTTTTCTTTTAAAAGGGTCAGAATATTTTTTGTATGTAATATTGTAAAATAATGTTTCCTCTTTCGCGTTTTGATATCGGGTTTACATAAATCATAATTCGCCATGTTTCTCTGTTTAAACTTTTTATATATTTGGTCCCTTGACGGAAGTATTGTTAATTAGCTGTGTAGAGCCAAACGATCCTACACATTTGGAGGAGCTAGTTATAAAAATCAAGCCCAACTTTACTCGAATAATGAATATTATTATTTTAGTATAGTCGAGGTGATTAAATCCTATAAATGGGCACAGCCGTTTGAATCGATCTGATTAATTTATAACATCACTTGGCGGTATATATCAATAAAATAATGGATTCCTTCATTTAAATAATAAATCTAAAATGACAAATGTAAATATATTTTAAAATGACATATAAAATTTAGTTACGTTTCTCATATGAATGGAACGTCAATAAATGATATATACCAAAATTCCCAAGCCATAATGAACCGAGAGAAAAGTATGGATCTTAAAAGTGAACAAAATGCGTCCAAATTAACTAACGCTGTTAATCCATTTAATAATAAACTGGCGGAAAACCCATATAAACAATCGAATTCAAATACATATGAGGGAAAGGTTTAAAGTTAATACTTCTTTTTTTAAAATTATATATCAATTTATTAGGAATAGGTTTAAAATTGAAATGATAATCCTCATATTTTACAAAAAATATATTTACTTAAGGCTCCCATCTTACCACTTCGACAAAATCTTATTTCCGATTTTTCAAATAGTGGATTCGATTCAAAATACTTTTATGGTGCCACAAAATCTGGGCATACTCCATCCGTCATTTCATTTAAGTCGACACCGCCGAACTATCTCAAACACTCAAAATCGCGCTTCAAAGTTCATGATTTTCAACTTACTACCGGTTTACCTTTTATTAAAAATAACAATGACAATGTCACTGAAGGAGAAAGGGAACAAGATGAGCTATTATTGAACCTAAACATGGGACTAAATATGCCTGGAACTCCTAAATCCTCGTTGGGTCGCCATCAAAACCAGTCAAATCCAAATGATTATGTGCATACTACCGACTTAAACGATGATGAGTCAATAATGCAAGCTCTAACACGTCAGTTGGATCTCTTAGATCGCGAATTAGGCCCTGGTTCTAAAGGAAATTTATCTGCCAATCAATCTACTGGTAATTATCACACGTTAAGTACTTGGCATGACCCTGGACTTTCTCGTGGTTCTCATTTGAGGAGACAGAACACTCAACACAGAGCAAATAGCTTGTTCGATTACAAACTTTCCCGGACAGATTCACGATTTCTTCAACAACAATATCTCCATTCACCTAATCTATATTACAACCATCGCACAACCCCCCTTAAAATTACACGTAAATTCATAATATTCGATTGATTAAAACATATATAAACCTGATGTTTTAGTGATTTTTGTTTATCCCCATTTATTTATATATACATACCTATTCACGAAACATATAGGGTATTCGTCTAAATTTCCCCTTACTGTATATTTTTAGATATACAACTTTATTTAAAATATAATATTTTACCTCTAATAATATAATGTAATTTTATATGTTTAATTAAAGGAGGACATGGAATATGTCCATTGACACCTAAATTGCCCATACCATCGCTACACGATGACAAATCCCAAGATTTTATTGAAAACAGAGATATCAGCAAGGTCACTGAAAGAAATAATCCCTCCGATTTATTGTTAGAAAGTTAGATAATATTTAAATTTTTGGAATACATTAGTTACAAACTATGAATATGAAATGGAAGAATATATAAATGATCTTATTTTTTGCTTATAGCACCTATCATAGGATCAACACTCTCTCTCTACTCCAATGTGTCATCTCTATATTCAACTGTAAGTCAATCGTAAATTAAGTTAACTAATATAATTTTTGCAATATATAGCCCGAAGAGAAGTGTACCTACGAGATTATGAAACTTAAAAAGGAATTGGAATTCGCACATGATAAGGTGTATTCTTTGACTAATCAACTCAGCACCAATGTAAATTTTGTATACTTTGAAATAATTATATTGTTCACAAATAATTTTTAAGGCCTCGGTAGTGGCTGCTTTTGAGCAAAGTTTGATGAACATGACTAACAGATTCAAAGATTTAAATGCCACTGCTTTGGCTAAGGACGATGAACTTAATTTTTTGAGAAACACCATTCAAGCGCTTAAACAAAAATGTCAATTAACGAATGTCGAACTCCCCGGGCTGAATAAAAATATCTCCATGACGGAAGGTAATCCTCAATTGCAATTTATTTTTAAAATTTGAGAAATTCCCTATAAATTATGCTTTTTAAATTTATTGCGATTTGAAATATTTTATTATCTGCTCCATGTGAATTTTTTTTTAAAATTGATATTTCTTGACGAGAATAATAATTTATTTGTTCTATCTCCATTTTTAAATGCAAATAAATGATTATTCTAAATTATATTTTAATCTTTTTTGTTGATTTGGAAGAATGGATTTTTCGAAAAAAATGTCGATATTATAGAACTTTAATCAGACGATTTTTAAATATATACTTCTTCTTTTATGTAAATTTACAAGCAGATAATACAAAATGTGATTATTCAAATGACAAAAAGATGATAATGAATGACACACTAAACTTGGAAGCAAATTCTAGTAGTTTGAGTAGCAAATCAATTTCACGTCATTATGAAAGTGACGGCAACAATGATAATGATTTTAATTCTCTTATAAATGATAAAAAGGTCAAAAAGAAAAAAAATTGGGTAATTATTTATCATTTTCATTTATTTTCCAGGTATTCTTTTCTCTCCCCAAAATATCAAACTCCAAGTCTGTATCCTAACTCATGACTCGTCTTTTTCATTTAAAATTCTAAATAATATGTTCTGAATAGTAATTTTTTTTAAAAAATAGGAATAAGTAGACTATTTAAGTATATTTAAAAAAATATCATCATGTCAAAATCTTAAATTTAAAAAAAACCAAAAAATAGTGGGCGATCTGCTTTTCTGAATAGAATTATAACAATAATTAAGTCAAGCTAAGGGTTAATTTTTATGAGACTAAATTTTTTTTTTTAAAAAAAAGGACAACTATACAAATTAAACCCTAAAAAGTAATTTTTTAGAATATTATTCGGACAAAAATAAAATTATCTTGAGGCCGGGCCGTACAAAATTTACGATCCGGGCCGAGGGTTTGATAGTAAACACATTTATATCGTTTTCCTTCATAAGACATTAATATGGCCGAAACCCCCAATTTTCCAGGCTAGTTATGGTCGACCTCTATCCTAAAAAATACGATTGGGAGGCCCAATCCGTGAGAATATTTCCCATAAAATGCCCAGCTCGTACAGGTTTACTAAGTAAGGCAAATAACGCATCTTTTATTAAAATAAACTGGCGTATTTAAAATTTATTGGCATTTGCGTTTCCCAATAACTCCTGCCTCCCCTACTTAAAAAATGTATAAAATTACTTTTATAATTACTTCCAAGTCTTTAAAAATGAAATTGTGCACCTTATAATTATTTTTTAAGCGCTCAGCCTACCCTAGGCTAAAACCAATGTTTGTCTTTTTTTTATGTGGTGCATCTTGCATTTTTCATAGAACGCGAGCTGAAAATCTTCTGATTAGATAAATATCTCGCTTGCAGGGCACTTAGACCTACTAACATAAATTCTAACTGTCATTTTTAAAAAAATATCCAAGTATGAAAGTATATCATTCCACCTTCGGAATAGTGTGCTTAAAAAGATGTTACCAAAGATTTCCAAAATAAAGAAGCGGTTTAATACAGTATAATTATAGATTAAAACAATATATATATATACACTATACTATAATGTATAATACTAATTTAATTTTCAATAGTTATTATATCATACTATAAACCTATCAAGATGACAATTCATTTTATAATATTTTTAAAAAAATTTGTTTTATGCTTGCTACCTCAAATGAATAACTTAAGGATGAAAAATGGGTAAGCATTAATTTATAAATGAATGTCGTGTAAATGTAGTGTATGAAGTATAGGATTAAATACATAATTATTTTGATCAAATAATTTAATTTTGAAATCATTTTAAATTTTTTAGTGAGGTTGATTGCAAGGTTATTTTTTAATGTTCAATATTTTCTGCTAAAAATATAAGGACTGTATATTTTAATTCTATATTATAATGACTTAGTTAAGAAGTTCATTCACCAAAGCTTTCTCCAGAAACAAAAAGGGAAAATTACAAAATAAAGCTACATCAACTGTTGATTATAACAATCATGATAAAAATGATAGAAGCACGGAGACTGGCAAAAATTGCTCGACCTGGTAGATGATTTTATATTATTTTATAGATTATCTTACCTTTGTATTATGAGAATTGTAATTATAAATATATTTCTACATTTCAAAATAGGAAAGAAATTTCCAATAATTGCGATAGCACGAGTTATTCTTATCGATCATCAATCTTATCATCAAATTCAACTCATTCCTCTATAGCCACTCCCTCAAAAATTCTTATAAACGTTAAAAATAGTATTAATGCCAATTCGCACGTTGATAATGTGTGCTCTAAAAAAGCCATTGAATCCGATATAAGTAAATTTAGATTTAAAATTTTTTTCAGAATTATATTGAATTATCATGTTTTTTTAAGAGTTATCGGTTCGAATTCCAATTTTTGAAAAAAATATAATCGGACCGGACAAAAATTTTAATTTTTTCCCAGGGTCAGGTCGGATCTGAAAAGCAGCGCTTTAATTATTATCAAACTTTTATCATTTGAAAATATCAGTGGAAAAGAAAGAGAGAAATACGTTTTTTATAGTGGATGAACTGAATCTCATATATGGCTAAAATAAAAATACTACTAATAAAAATATTTAATGGAAAAGGAGTTTTTTCCACCAAAGTCTATCTGATTACCGCGAAAAAGATGGCCTAAAAATTATAAAATAAATATTAAAAGTTTGAATTTGTTTTTTAAAACATAAATTAAAATTAAATATTTTAGCTAACGATAATAACAACATTTCCCAAATTTTGTCCCAGTGCAATTTTCCTACCAAGCAAGTAGAGATGTCTAATAATTTTAATCAAAATATATCAATGACCGATCCTAAAAAAGGTGTAGCTTATGTGTCACCATCTATCCTTCAATGCCCTTCCTATAATAGCTTCTTCGCAACCCTAGTTAGCCTGGAAATTTCTAATGAGTCTGCCATTAAAAAATCGATTCCCATCGGTTATTTGCGAATCGCAAATAATACGCCATGGGATCTCTTAACGCGGTGTTTAAAGACACTGTTTAGAGAATACCTTTTAGCCTTAACATCTTATTCAAACGACCAAGAAAATACAAATAATGAAGTATCTAATAGAAATGATGGTCAGGACGTGAATGGCATATCGTTTTATGCAGCTTTCGGTCGCTATTTTCCATCTAGTGGCAGGAATATATCTTTTTATAATCGTCGTTCGAGCGTAAACTCACCAACAGACTACAATCTAGACCTGAGTCCCGAAGAGAGTCTTATTAAATTTAGCCCAGGGCACTCTCAGAATAATACTAATTTCAGATATTTTAATGACGCTAATCAATTGGAAAATAATGAAAATGACATTACACCTTATGATTGGTTAAACGATTCCACTGAATATGATGAAGGAGTAAATGAAAACAGAGTTCGCAGGATAGATTTACATCTCAAAGGTTTCTTTTTTATTTAATCGTAAATAATAAACATAATTTTTCAAACTATTTGCATATTTTATAAAAAATTCTATTAATATCAATATATTTATACAGATAGCAAGGTAAATGCGCTAGATTCATTCAGTGCAGAATTGCTTATACCTAAGAAAGTTCTACAGAGATATACTATTGATTTAGTTCAGTACAAATCTATGGCCTTTATAGGGCCCGTAGCTAGTAATAAGAGCAAACTAGCTTTTAGAATAGCCCAATACACTGTTAACAAGTAATATATTTTTATAATTAGATTATATAAAACCTAATTATATCAATATTGAAGGTTAAAAAATAAAGAAAATGGTGATTTAAATGTTAATCTTGAAGGCAAAGAAAATAATTTTGACGATGATATAGCGATAATTGACATGAGTCATCGAGATATTGATTATTTACATCGATATCTAAGTTCCGTGAAGGAGCACACATCTCCAAATTTAATTCCACGAATAATAATTGTCGACAATTTAAGCCATCTACAATTAGGAGCATTGAACGGTTGTCGTTTTGGGGTATCAACAAATAAATCACCCCTTTTACTATTTACAATTAATTTAAACGCCACGCAACAAGTAGACCCTTCCTTCGATACATTTTGGGAAAAATTAGAAGCGCTTCATTTGGATTTCAAGTTCAATTTTTTAATAATTTATTATTTGTAAATTAATTTCTTGCAGTGGTCGATCATTACAATAACCAGTTATTCTTATATGTAATAATTACTGGCGTATCCTGTATTTTCGTAAGGGAGGGGAAAGAACTTTTGGGTGGTATTGCAAAATTATTACTATAAACTTTATTTTTAAGATATGGTTTATAACAACGTATTGTATTCATTTTTTATCTTGGATTGGGGGAGGGGGGGGGGTATGTGTAAAGTTTTTACCTTCGCCAATAAATATAATACTATTAAATCTATCCTGCTACAAATGTTTACACTAAATTGTAATGTACATTATTTAAATATTGATAATATAAGTGATTTTTTTTAAAAATTAATTTAATAATCGAAATTATATAAAGTAATTAGAATAACATGATGACAACATATTTAGAAAAAGAAAAAAAATTATGTTAAAAATAGTAACCCTCCTCTGAAGATGGCCATGAATACTTAAATAATTTAAAATTATAACGTAATATTTCGAAACTGATTTTTTGTTCAATCAGAAGGGCCCCTGAAATTATTGTTTTATGGCTCTTATAGCTAATTAGTTTGATTAGGGATTTCGCCTCTTTCCCAAATGAGCAGCTTGTTGTAATCACAATGGGTATATATATAATTTTGCCGGCAAGAAAAAAATATTTTTGGAATTTCCTTTTTTTCGCTATACCTTCTGGATCCTAATTATTATTTGATGGGGCGAAAATGTCTATATATGTGAAGTCCCAATACATGTGTTTTCCTTTATCCCAGGAAATTTACGTAGGCCCCTCAGGGCATACCTTCTGGATCCTAATTATTATTTGATGGGGCGAAAATGTCTATATATGTGAAGTCCCAATACATGTGTTTTTCTTTATCCCAGAAATTTACGTAGGCCCATCAGGGCGCGAGTTATTAATAACAGAAGTATCCCGAGGTTCGAGGCGTAAAGGAATATCGGCTTTGAATAATGAATTATTATATTAATCCTTTCGTTTATGTCAAATGCTTTTATTTTTAAACAAACCTCATACATTAGAGATAAAAAATTTCTTTATAAAATAAAAATTTAAGAAATTTTTTAAATTATACTACATTACATAAATAGATGAAACCACTAATACAGGTATGAATTTGATATCATGGTGTTTCTAAGGCTTTCCATTTTAAAATAGTAATTTAATATAGTAATTTCAATTAATAAAAAAACGATTTTATTATTTTTTTCGACAATCAGACAAATTTTATCATGGATCACAGCTAATTTATATTTTATGTGATTTTTTTTATATTAAATCAAAAATAACTAAAAGAGTGGAGCTGAGAGCATCTTTTAAATTAGACGTGGGGGGGGGGGGCACAAACTCTCTATTTTCATCTTCCTGTATTAATAATTATATTGATGTAACTTTTCATTTATTTGGAATTTATCCAATATGCTGAAATTATCATAAGAAAGATAAGACTCTTATTATTAACAAATTGTAATATTGACCCTAAGTTTATTTATATTTCGTGAATATATAAAATAATCAAACTTTTCCTTTGTTTGTCATGGTATTTATTTCTTTTACATAAAATAAATAATACATGGTCAAAGACAGGTTCAATTATTTATTTATAAATATATAATATTTGTTATTTAATAAATCAAATATAAAAATGTGTATCGAAAGAAACAGAATGAGGCTTTTAACTAAACCCTTTAAATACTTTTAAGACAGCACATTGAATGTTTTCCAGCATATGAATAATAATAATATGATAGACTAATCCAAAAAATATATAAGCCTTCGAGATTTCGATAATAGATGTAAACCTTTGTGCTATCTATGAGCTAAATTTTCGAGCCTGTGTATTTTTTTTTCTGGATAAAATATTGAATTAGACGTTTTTTAAAATCGGCTCAAATCTAGCCAACATTACACAAATGTTCGAGTAAAAGTTCTCAGAAAATTTAATTTTCGACAAAACAAAAAAAAATCAATAAATCAGATGCGTATCAAGCGGGGAAAATCCCCCATTCCATAGCAAGAATTTTTGAAAAAACATAAAAGGGCTTTATGAATTGTGAATGCAAAGCACTTTATTTCAAATAAGTTATATTCTATTCTAAATATTACCAAAAAGTTAAAATTAATTTAATATTTATTTCTTGTATATTAATATTTTAACTCACGAAAATTTATAGTTTATTTTCTTATATTTTGATGGATATAAGAAAATTTTATCAATCAAATTCTATTTAATTTATCTCTACCAATAATTATGATTTCTAGAGTGTATGAAATGCTCAGATATCCAAATAGACAAAATTTGCTGAATATAATTATTTCTGGAACTTCTTGTGCCACAGAAAAAAAGAAACTGCAAAAAGGCTACACGGCAATATGAAGCCTTCAACATCAAGCTGTTACAGCATTTTTTGAATCTAGAAGAGCCTATTTTGTATGTCCTTGGGAAGATATTAGAATAACCTGAAACACATAATGGATGATACATTATTAGATTTTATATAATTGTCGATTTTTTTCATTGGAAAATATTAATAAATTATTTCTTACACAACAATTTCAAAAAAATTGACTTGGCTAAGTTATGAGAATCGCGAATATTATTATACAATAACTTAGAAGATTAAGAGATAATATCGACCAGGAAATTATAGAGATTTATGTGATTGTTGAGTTGAAAGCGAAATTATATGATTTTGAGATTCACAAGCCTTGACTTTACCGGCATGCAAATTGTTTCAATATTAACGTGGACTCAATTGCGGATCATTATAAAATAACCATTTTTATTCCTTTTTGGAATTAATTTTGATTCAAGTCAATGAACGATCAAATGGCTATATCCAATTTACAAATTTATATCATAACTTCCTCTGGTCTGATGATATATCAAATCTTGTTATTGAAATTAAATATTCAGAATTTAAATGAGATGAAAAATTTATTTTTGTAAATAATCCTCCAAGAAATACAGTGAAAGCATTGCATCTTTTAAATATATTTTATAAGTTTTCCGAATATATTAAAATTATGTATATATGGCAATGATACCAAATTAGAACAAGCACAAATGAGAAGACCTTTTCTTCATTTATAGAAAAAAACCTTAATCAATACTCATCGAAATTTAATCCCCAACAAAAACAAATTATTAAAAAATTGGCGCAATCGCAAAGAAGATTTTCATTTATGAAAGATATTTTAATTTTTTTTTTAAATCATTATAAAATGTATAATTTTATATTTTATTGGTACATACCGGTTTATATAGCTATGATATTTTTTAATCGTATCATATTCGCTCCTAATATTTTGTTTTTTCCAATATTCATAATTAATAATTTAGATGGGTAATCCTCAAATCAAATGAAGAACCTTTGAAAGGAAGTCTTCATAGGCATTTAACTCGCAGAAGAATTATTTCACAGACCAAACTAAAATTCTTACAATATATTAAATCAATAAATGCGATCTCGTTAAACAGTAATGATGGAGGGAAACGAGATAAAGATTTAAGCATGGACACGACTCTATTTGATACACGAATATGTGAATGGGTTTGTACTGTTTGGTGCAAAATAAACGAGTGTTTAACCATTATTTATGGATCTATGGATTCCTGCATAGGTATTATCTTTTTTTCAAAAGAATAATTTTAAAATATTATATGAAATGAATGGTTATCCAATTTTACAATTATAATATATACAAAGGTCCCAAGTATTTTATGAATTGCCCATTGCATGAAGGCACCAATGATTACAATTATCGCGAGGCGACTTATGAAAAAGGAATGATTTGGTTTATCACATTGTGGGATAATACACTTCACCCTCATATATCTACCACAGTAATAATTTACATTTAAAAATAATATTGGAGAATGGAGTTGCTAAAAAAAATTCGATAAAATTTGTAAATATAAAATTATTTTTATCAAATATTTTGGTAAAATAATCTTTTAAATTCTTATTTCAAATATAAATCCGAATTACATAAATATTAAAGATTTTATCGAGTAGCCTTGACGATCTACCTGATTCCTTTGATATGAAAAAAGCGTTGGCCAAGGAACTTATTTTGTGGATTATACAAACAAACCCTTGGGACTCTAATCATGAAATGGAACAAACGTATGACTTAAAATATTCGTTGAACAATTTAAAGAATTTTGAAGCTTTGGTAAATAGACATGATAATAAGAAAACAACGTTTGCTCAATCTTCGATTAACTCACTAGTCATGGATAATGAAGCCCATTCTGAAAATGATCCCTTGGTATAATATTAATGTTTAATTATAGAATTTCAGTAATTTTAAATTTGCTTTAGAGATTAAATATCATTTTCACTCAAGAGTGTTGATACTTAATTCAGATTTAATTTTTAAAAAATTAATCTTGAGAATTTTTATTAAATATAGTTTATCGTATTCATTTTTGTAAAAATATTTCAACAAAAAAACGATGTCGATAATATTAACAAATTTTAGCCTATATAACGTTCTGTTTAAGTTTTTAATTTATATATATTTCGATATCCTAGAAGTAGTATTAATTCCGTCTTATCTTATTGTATTTTTTACCTTATGGAGTATCATCTTAAAAATTGTACTAATTCTACCCTATCTTATTGAGATTTACCTGATCTAGTATCATCCTTGAAGTCATAGTACTAATTTTGTTCTTACTTATTGTTTTCTTTTACCTGATAGTCGTACAATTTCTGCCTTATCCTTTAACTGGTATAGTATTTTATTTGAAATCATTACTCGCTGTCTGATCTCTTAGAGAAAATCTTACTTAAAATCGTCTCGGCATATGATAACTAGAGAAAATCTTACTTAAAATCGTCTCGGCATATGATAACTAGAAACCACTTGATCCACTCACTTTTTGACATGAAAATAATTATTTTATAATAGTGAACACATTTCTTATAAACCTAGTAGTAAAAAAATTTCCTTTTTTTTATATTTTGTAAAAATTTACAATACAAATAAAAGTTAAACATGCTACTCCATCTTAAAATGGCGACCAAGTACAATCAATCCCATTCAGATGGATCAAAAAAAATCGACCGAATAGATGAAAAATCATATACAATTAAAGATGAGCCTTATAACAAAAACGACAATAGTCAAGAACATGATATGGCAAACTTTGTCGTTTTGCAATCTGACATAAGCGATTAACTATTCTATTTTTAAAACCTACACCTTATCGATACCGACAATCTTAGCATCAAAATGATAAAATATTTAATTTGAAAATTGATTTATTGAAAAGAAACATTTGTAGTGCCTTTAATTATATATCTTTAATTTTATTTGATATATTATTTAATAAATATTTTTATAATATACATTATGGGAGTAACGATGGGCAAATTTAGGTGTATGGGAGCCCGGGAGTAGTTGATGCATGCTCTTACCAAGGGTTGGAAAATTTTCCACCTCATCGGAATCTGCTTGTTCTTGTAAATAGAATTTTAAGCTAATAAAAAATTCCCCCGAACACCTCTCCCCCCCCCTCTAGCTCCTTTTCAATGTATAAAATAACACCTCACCCTTCAAATTTTTTAAATATCATTTTAAACATAAAAAAGCTCTTCGCCTTTTTTTGCTATGTGTTTTTTATAAATAAATATTAAATAAAATGTGATATTAAAAAGCTCTCAACGATAAAAAAAAATTCACGTCTCTTTATATTGGTTATCAATATCCAACAGGAAAATAAAAAAATCAAGAAATTTTACTTATACTGTTATTGAAGTCGATGTTGAGAAAGAGATGGAAAATAGAAGGTTACTTATTATTTATTTATGATTATTTCTAGTTATAACTATTATAATAATTTTATTGTATTGAACCATAACAATATATAAAACAGATATTTGGCATCTGAAATTTAAAAAAATGGGTCCTACATGTGGGTCTTACGTCATGATTCAGTTTTTAAAGAATCGGAAGAGATAATTCGTAGTTTTATATGAAATAACTATTGGCAAAATAAAAATGTGTCTATTAAGTTCAATAGATCAATCGGTGTTTATCTTTGCTATGAATTGTATTAACAAATTATTTACTTATACCTATTATGAAGAATTCTACAAAAACCAAATTTAGGGTTCAGGTGATTCATATATTTGAAAATAGTGTTGTTAAACGGCTCGTTTTGAGCTGATTATCGGCTAACTCATTACTTCATCCATAAAAATATTACGCAAGCCTGAAGATTTTGCTCATAGAAGGAACAAAGGTTTAGACATTATTATCGAAACGAGGCTTAGGCAATATTTTCCTGGCTATAATATTGAGTTAGCCGTTTTAAAAAATCGGCTCAAAATGAGCTGTTTAACATAGCTATTTGAAAACAATTAAAATAGGGTGATACCAACGGTTGGTTCAAACCTAAATTTTTTAAAAATATGATATATAACCATATGTAACTCCCTGTCATTTGTGAATTGTGACCTGCTACCTGTCATTATATGTAAAAACAAATGTGAACATGCATTTAAAATAATATGACAGGTTTTATTTTTTGAAAAATGATTGAACTTAAATTTAGGGCTTATGTAATTTTTCGAATATTGATGACGATGATTTACAGAGAGCCTTTGACGTTTCAATTGTTAGGGACGCTGCATAAATTTCATATGCTTTTTAAAAAGAGGAAGAAAATAATGAGAATGACCTTATGGAACTAGATTAGAACGTCTCTTACAGGACCAATTTTAAAATCCTAGTATTTTGGATTAAAAATGGCTTGGAACTATAAAATAAAATTTTGTCAAATAGTTTATTATATTTATAAGTCAGTTATAATGCTTTAAAATGGCAAAAAAAGTATACATTATTCGCGATATTTTTTGAGAAAATCAAGCAGCCGCGCTTATTAATTAAATTATTAGAAAAATATTAAAAGATTTTTTTTTAAATTAGCTCCAAGTCATTTTATCTACTATTGACTGAGTTATAAATATAAAATTTGATATTCAAATTGATTTAGTTTTTAATTAATAGCTAATTATTCAAAAATGGATAAAAATCAATTTTTGTACCTTAAATCCCCATTATCTAAAAAATATAATTAAGGTAAGATTTCGTTTTTAATCTTACTAGAATTTAAAATGTGCGTACAAATATTTATCGAAATTGACATCGCATCAAATGTTTAGTTAAATTCTTTTATAGGGTCTACCAATACAGAACTAAAATATATTAGTTAAGCATTAAAATTGGCAGGTTTCAGTATGAATTGATTTTTTAAGGTGAAGTTACCCATTGTTTGGTTTTTTTTAAAGTAAATAGATTTTATTTAAATCAATCAATTTCATTTTTTAAAAATGACTAAAGCTTTGAATTTCCAAATATAAGAAAATTAATCAAGTTCGCAATTTGATGATAGATAATTATATATATAAAGAATTTTAGTTGCATGGTTAGAATCATTTACGAACAATGCACAAAGAGTATTAAAAATGAGGCATACTAGAATATGTATAAATTGTAATTTTTGAAACTTTTTAAACTCGACTTTTCATATGTTTAATCTACTTTAATGTTTAAGGTAAAAGGTGAAGTAGAAATAATTATGCTATTGCTCTATTAAAAAGGCTCGTGGTAGAAGAAAACTAAAAAAAAATGTGGATAGTTTTATAAAAAGTTATAAATATCAGCTTAAAATGTTTAGTTGTTAATATTTTAAGGCTGTGCCTATAATAAATATCGGATCGGTCCGATACCTGTAAAAACCGATACTATCTTTTTACTTTTCTTTTTTTGTTATGTATATTTATTTTACATTGTTATAATATTTTTTTTTATCTATTATAATATGATTTATTTTTATTTATAGTCTTAATTATAGAAATAAAAAAATTCAATTCATAATTCAATTTTTTGCATAAAAAATATAAATTTCTTAATTACATTTGGTTCAAAGGGGGGTGGTGAAAAATTAGTATAAGTATCGGATCGGTTTAGAACCAATATCGGATAGGAGAAAAATATGCGGATAGGCATAGCTCTAATAATTTTAATCATGAATTGTAAGAAAAAAAATCACCAAACATATCAGATTGCATTAATCAATGAAATAAATGATTGGCTCATCCTTTAATAATTTAATAATAAATCTGAAACGTTTAGTAAAATATTGCTTTTGCCCCATATTAAATAATGTCTTGAACCTTTAATGTTATGGAATGCAAAATAATATTTGTTACTTAGTGCTGTTAATGTTACTTAAAAATAAGTGAGCTATAACATGATTTCCAAAAGACTAGAATCATTACATTAAAGCTTTCTCAAAAATAGGGCGATCAGTACTAATTTTTTAAATGTAAAGTTAATACTTAAGTAGCTACTCGAAAATGATGACTATATTATTTTCCTTAAGACCTGGTAAGATATTGCAGTGCCAATTATAAATATTTTTTAATAATCGTAAATGAAATCTTTATTAAAATTTAAAAATAAAATATGAATTTTATAAAAAATAAGATTTTCATAATAAAATAATAAATACAAAATTTTAACTAAGAGAAGATATCTAGCAAATCTTTTAATCCACAAAAAAAACATTATTTTCCTTTCCAAAACATCCTTTGCTAAACTAAATAGTTTATCAAGATGGGAATTTGGTAAGATAAGGATTTTACAAAAATAATTTTGGGTTTTCACTTTTTTGTTAATGTAAATAAAATATTTTATAAATTCTTAAATTGTTATATTTCAAACTACACAAATCTAGATTCCCCTTTTGACATAGCACAAGCCTTATTAGACTTAAATTCAAATATTTATGGAAAAAATAATTATAATAAATTGCATTAATATTATTTTTAATTAACTAGAGGCTCGTTTTGTCAAGAGCCAAAAGAGGAAAATGTTACTCTTCTTTCAGAACTATCTTTCACTGTCAAAATATGGATATTATAAAATATCGTTGTAGAGTAGCTGATTGTCATGCTAAATGTTTATTTGATGGTGCTTATATTGCCTCGGGTATTCATGATCACCCTTTTGAAATAGGGACATTCGAGATGCTTAAAACTAAAGTAGCACTCGAAAACATAGTAGCTCAGAATCACCTTGAGACACGCTTAAACATTTATCAACTAACTATGGATAAGAGATGTTTGTAGGATCCAGAAATAGAAAACTATTCTGAGGCGATACCATCATTTATATCTTTGAGGAGTCACATAGACAGACTCCTTATGAAATATCGGTCCCCTATGCCTCAACGATTTTGGATATTGAGTTATCAGCAGAATATGCTATGACAACTCGCAATGAACGTTTTCTAATCCATGGAATAGGTAACTTATACGTTTTTGGTACTGATTCCATGTTGCGTTTGACCGAGGGTTCTGAAATGATCTACATGGATGGAACTTTTCATGTAGCTCCTACCTTATTTTATCAACTTTATACCTTGCATGTTATGTATGAAGGTGTTATGATACCTATCATTTACGCTGTCCTTCCGGATAAGACAAAAGAAACATATATCCGGCTTTTTCAAATTATTACTAATTTTTGCGCCGAACGCCAGAAAGCCTTTAATCCTTGATTTGGCCAAACAGACTATGAGGCAGCTGCTATATCAGCTCTCAAGTTTGTATTTCCTTGCATGATTATAAATGGTTAAATTTATGATTTATATTCTAATATAATTTTGTTTAGGATGTTTTTCCCATTATTCCCAAGCGTTATGGCGAAGATGTCAATCTTTAGGGTTGGTAAGCTTGTACCTGAACCACTCCAATGTTCACAAAGTTGTTAGGCGCATGACAACTTTGCCTTTTTGTAAGGAGGAAGATGTATCTAGGGTAAGGCAAAATTGTTATATTATGGCGTCTGAAAATCCCATGCTCATGGGTTTTATGGAGTATATAGATACGACATGGCTAGGCCTTAATGCCATATTTCCTCATGGCATATGGACAAGGTATTTAAAATATAAGTCATTAATTTTAAAAATTTTCATATAATTTAGATATAAAGTCGATGGTCCCAGCACCAATAATCAATTAGAGGGGTTTCATCATGCCTTAAAGAGAAAAACGGCACACGCTCACCCAAATGTTTATATTCTTATCATCAACATTCTAACGACCTCAAAATTATCCAGATCAATAATGGATCTAGAGGGCGGCGAAGAAATAGAAAATATGAAAGAATAGATGAGCATATTACAAATTTAACAGCCATCTATGAAAGAACGTCGCAAATTTCTGAACTTTTGGATAAAATATCTTTTTTAGTAAATTTTAAATATTAAAATTATATTTTATTTTACAATAATAAATTTATAAGTGTTGATTTTTTTATACACAAATAAAATATATTATCAAAAAATATCTGATTTATTAGTGAATTTTTTTTAAAATCACTTTGATAGGTTAAAGACAAAAAGTTAAGAAGATAACAATGATAAATTTATAAACGAATCACTGTGCAATCTTTTAATAACATTGAACGTTTTTACTTTACTCCAAACTTTATATTTAAACATTCCGCTTATTTGATTGTATACAAATTTTTGCCGAAAATACATTTAAGAATAGTGAAGGTCACGGTCCGGTCTTTGGTTCGGACCGATACCCTCGGACCGGACCACGGTCCTTAAAAAAGATCTATCCAGACCGTGGTCCTAAATAAAAAACATTTTTTTTAACCTAATTTAATTTGTTTTATCATTTTATTAAATATAAGAGTATTATATAAACAATATAAAATTAATTATGAATAATATAATAATTAATACAAATATTTAATTTAAATAAATGCTAATGTCTTTGTTTGTAGAGCTTCCTTGGAAGGAATTAGAAGAGGGACTTAATGGAGGCGGTAGATCTATTCCATTCTTTAACCAAGAGTCCATACACATCAAAGCTTGTATTGTTTTGTTTGAAAGCCTATTCCTTTTTTTAGTGACAAGATCTCCTGCTTTCGAAAATATTTGTTCACAGGGGACAGATGTTGCTTGAATTGTTAAAAAATTTCTAGCTGCTAATGAGAGGACTGGAAATCTATATAATAAACTATATTGACTATTTAAAAAATATAAAAGACCTTTCACTATTGACTTTCCACCATACTAATGTCATCCTTTAATGAAACAAGAGGTTCATTCAAATAGGTGTGAAGTTCTGATATATTTTCTTCAATGATTTCTGCCGATATATAATCCCCTTCTGAATTTCTTTTTTGGTATAAAATTCTTTCTAAAAAACTAAATTCATTGATTTCCTCCTGGCACAAATGTTTGAAAATTAGGATTTAATAAATAAATATTAAAAATATATCTGAGAATCCGTTATTCCTGTATTTTTTTTATTTCTATTTTCCTTAAATATTTTAAAAATTTGGTCATATACTCTATTAAGAGTATTAGGCATGTAAACTTTAATCTAGGATCCAATAATGTTGAGACATATGATTCATACAGTGGCGTAGCTACGGGGGTGGTTTTCGGGTTTGGACCCCTCCCAGAGCAAATTTTTTTTTAGATTAAACGTTCAAAAGACTTAAAAGTGACTTTATATCAAATAAATACCATTAATATTTATATTTTTCTGGTTTTGATGTTTGTGGAAGGATATTATATTACTATTGAAATTATTCTGGGTAGTGTTATTATAAAGAATAACATATTATTCATGCATTTTAAAAATATATTTATTATATATTGTCGAAGATGTGGTTATGATTTTTAAGATAAACCCGGCCGAAGGCCGAGCAAAAGAGCCGAAGGCCCGTCAAAGGAGCTCTGGGGGCGAAGCTCCCAGGATTTTATATGTATGGACCCCCTCTAAGAAAAATTCCTAGCTACGCCACTGGATTCATAGCAAAATAATTCTTTGAGATATTTCTGCATTTTAACCAGATTAAGAATTTCTTTTCTTGTATTGTTATTATCCTTTTTTATATTATTTAAACATTATTTATATTCTCCATATATAACATGGAAATCCCAACTGTAGGATATTTGGATCCTGATAAATCAGGGTGGTTTTATAGAAGGGCCTTAGTAAATCTATACCTCTTTAAGGTCTTCTTTTTCACAATCAGTAAAGAAAACCCCTTTAAATTGTTTGTAATTCAAAAAAAGTACTTCTTCTATAGCATCCATGTTCTAAAAATTAAATATTTTTTAAAAATAATTGGATAAAAATGTAAATACCTCATAAATTGTATTCATCATTAAATAGGAGCTATTCCATCTAATAGGGATATCAGAAGGGATTTTAAATTTTGTAATACCCTTATTTTCACATATTTGTACATATGCTTGATTTATTTTGGGTGATTTATTTATAGAAAATTGTCTCTACACTTTTCTAGGATAGTTATAATATATGATAAACCTTCCTGAGATATTAGGTTTAGAATATGGGCACAGCATCTAAAGCCTTTAAATTTTTGTTCCTTATAAATATTCTGCAAAATATCCATGCTTTTTAATGTTATTAGCATTATCTGTAGTACAGGCCAGTATATCCTCCTCCAATTGATATACATCAATCACTTCTTTTATAGCTAAGGATATTTCTTCAGAAGAATGAGGAAATGGGATATGATTTATATCAAGTAAAATATTTTTTAATGTAAAAGAAGAATCAATATAGTGTGCAGTAATGGCTATAAATGAAATTTTATTTATATTGCTCCACATACCTGTGGTAAAGCTTATTAAAGAATTTATTTTATTTAAAATATCTTTTAGAGAATTTCTTAGTTTCTCAAAATTAGCTGCATAAAAATTTTTAACTTTGTTTTTTGACCAAATTGTAGCAGTTGAGTTTAAATATTTGATTAAATTATGAAGACCTGAACTTTTAAAAGTCGTCATTTGCAGAGAGTTTATTATTACCCATTTTATAATGAGTTGGTTCATATGATCTGTTTGGAATTTATCCAATGGTATTGAAGAAAGTGATTTTGTACTTGTGGAGGGCATATTTAAATTAAGAGTAGATTGTGTTTTTGAGATATTTTCATTTTCATTATTAGAAGTATAAATTTTATGTTTTATCAAATGTCTGCTTAAGGTACCTAATTATTTTATTAAGAATAAGGTTAAATTATTTTGACAATGAATTATTCAGACAGTTTCTTAAGAAAAAATAGATATATAAATAATAACCAAAATATTTTAATAATATTACTGCTTATTTTGATTAATTTATTGCTTAAAAAATTATAAACAATTATTTTGTTACTTGTTGCTGACGATATGTTAAATTTGGTATTATAGTAAACACATATTCTATGTTTTTTATTAGGACTATAAGTAAAATGTTTCTTGGACAAACTTATGGTTTTCATATTGTAAAAAAAAATTAACAAAATCTAAAATAACTCCTCTAGATAAATATCATAAAATAAAATATACAAAATTATATTAATTGAATAGTAAAGTAAACTTAAATATTAATAAAAGACCGGTCCGGACCGTAAAAAATAAAAAGACCGGTCCGGACCACGGTCCTCAACAAAAAGATCGGTCCGACAATCGATCCGGTTCCGGTCTAAGACCGATAGGACCGGACCGTTGACCTTCACTATTTAAGAACGACTTTAGAAAAAAATTAAGAAATGCGGCTTTTTTATCCATAGGAGGACGCCGTTTTAGTCGTCTCACGAATAGGAATAAAAATATATAATGTTTATCCGGCTACAATTATTTCCCCTAGAATAAATAGAATATATTTTTTAATATTTCATCATAATGTTCTCCAATTCGAAAACAGAATATAATATAAAAAATTTATACCCAAAATTTTCATCCACATCTCTATTATTATCGGTAAATCATTTACTATATTTCCAAAATTTCGAATATGATTTCCTAAAAATTATTTAGATATCCTGGAATAATTCCTAATATATTCTCGAATAATTTTATATAAGGATTTTATTTCTTTTTAGCGAATACTAGTAAATATAACATACAATTTCTAGTTACTAAAAATGATTTTTATAGGAAATTTAATTTTCTTTTCTTAATATTTTTAGCTAAATTGACATTTAATTTCTTACATAGTCAATGAAGAATATCATGGATAATATAATAGATTAGGAAAATGATTTCGAATAATTTGATGCATATTTTTTTTGCTATTACTTTAATATTCACTTCAAAGCCTCCTCTCAACAAAACAAATATCGAATAAGATCTTTTATGAAATTTCTTTTTTTAATATTTATTATTTTATTTTACTTTAATAATCTTAATTCCCAATTTTGGAGCATTTTTTTTAATGCTACCTTTATAATATATTAATTCCCAATTTTGGAATATTTAACTTTCTTTATTATACCTTTATATTATGTCAATTCCCAATTTTGGATATTTATCTTTTTTTATTTTACCTTTATAATATATTTTCAATTTTAGAATATTCATCTTTTATTTTACCTTTATAAATTAACTCCCAAATTTGGAATAATTTGCCTGGCTTTCTCTCAGTCCTTTTAATATAAAGAAGAATATACCACACCTGAAAAAGTGATCATTATGCTGCATTGATGATAAAGTAGTAATTACATTGCGAATTGCATAACGTATTTCTACTTTCTTTATTATAATTTAAAACGTTCAGCAACATTTATTACAAAGAAATAATCATCATTTTCTTTATTTAATGTTAAATATATTGATGTTATAGTTCGAACTTGTTTAACTCTGGTATATTTAGGGCTCCTAATATATTTTCAAAGTATTTTTTTTTATCATTTGATTCAATCCATAGGTTCTTAAATGCCAAAACATTCTTATCATGGGAAAATATTTTGCGTAAACCATCTTATTAAAAAGATACAAAATTATTTTCAGAATAAAGGATCTTAGATAAAGATACTAGTATCCAATTAAAAATGTCAAAAAGATACTGAGTACAAGATACAAAAGGATCTTGTATCTTAGATACAAGTATTCGCGGTACTGCCCAACTCTGGCAATAACCATTATGGAACATTTGGATATGTATATGTAGGTAAATTATATAATTTATTATACTTGTAATAAATAGAAATTTATATGTATGAATATGAAATATTTATTACCCATAATTTAAATAATTTATATATATATTTTATCTATTAATCCTTCTAAATATATATTCAATATGTATTATTTATTTAATATGTAATATTTATTAGACATATATATTTAATTATATATTTTTTTTTATCTATTCATCCTTCTAAACATATATTTTATCTATTCACCCTTCTAAATATATATTTAATATGTAATATTAATTACACACTATATATTTAATTAATTTATATATTTATTATATCTATTAATCTTTCTAAATATATATTTTTTATTTTTCTAGTGGTAACAAAAAGTGAGTATGTTTATGCTATTTTAATTAATGTGATTTAGACTTGAATCCATATTAACATTATTAAAATAATATTTATAAAACAGACATATCATACCTTCTTCCCTCACATATTAGTCATACCAATAGATGTTATTTTAATATAGCAAATTTGTGTTTTATTATATCTCATAATTAAATGAATTTATATAATATTTCTCTTTTTTAGTTATAAACATTTATAATCTATTTTTGTATAAGATGAAAATCTTTTGTATCACCCAGGAGGCCATCCCAATTGTTTACCTCCTATAACATGGATATGCAAGTGCATAACAGATTGACACCCATTTTTACCTTGATTTATAACTAAAATATAATAAAAATAAAATATTGAATAAGTATATTATTTATAAATTTAAATTTTTAACCAATAAAATATTTCATTTAAACCTATTCTGTAACCATCTTTGAAAATATTTTTATTCTTTGCTAGGTTTTTACCAACATTTATCAAATGTCCAACTAACTGTATTGATTTTTATTTAGTAATTAAATTATGATAAAAAGGAAGGCGTAATTTATTATCTTAGTAAACAAATTTCATTATAGATCATAATTATTTTTAAAAAAATATGAAAATTTACTGGTTCATCTTCTTCTGTCATATCATTTATCCCAGATAATTCCTTTTTTGGAATAACTAGAAAATGCACAGGTGCTGCAGGAAATTTATCCATTATAGCTATGCACTAATAAAATTATCTTTACATATTAAATAAATATAATAAAACTTTGTCATCTTCATGTATAATATCAGAGGGTATTTCACGATTAATAATTTTAGTAAAAAGGGAGGCTTCATTTTTATTTTTAGGTTGAGATGCAGCTATCTTGGCTTTTTCAACCTCCGAAGACATTTTATAATAGAAAATCTATAATATTAATTTATTTAACGCAATGTATTATTTTTTATAACTGGTCTGTTTAATATATTAAAATTTTTTGTAGCTGGAAATTTTAAAAAACGTGACATACATACATAATTCTTAGAATTTATGTAAGAAACACGACCAAACTTGAGTGAAAGTGCATGTTATGTCAGATGACATGTGTCATTTTCTGGCCCTACCTTTACCTTGTTTTGGTTAAATTGAAATAAATTATTCTATATTCATTAATATTCGCCCTAATATATTTGTCATATTTATACAACTAAATGACCATTAAATAAAGTTTTATCGAAATAGAAATATAAACATATAATTTGTACATAAAATACCAGGCACGGCTTCGCTAATCTCTGATTTCTCGTAAAATTTTAATTTATTTGAATTACAAACTTATATTTTGATTTTGATTAATACCATTTGAAAATATATTACAATATGCTTATTACATTGTATTTTAAGAGCTGTCTAGCTAATACTAAATCTATAAATAATAATATAGGAAATAATTTTATTTACAATGATGTGTGAATTATTACAATTATTTCAATATTTTGCAATTTTACCCCATCGTTGCGCTTGCAAGTTCATAGAAGAATTTTACATATTTACATTATTATAGCAAACAAACGTTAGCAATTTTTTAAGCAAAATGTGAAAGAAATATGTTAAGAACAAACAAAAGTTATCAAGTTTATTAAACAGATTTAGCCAAATGACAAAATATATCAAAAAATTCAGATAATTATAGACGCAATATGGACAAATGTAAAAAACATTCACGTTGATGCATTTTTAGTGTGCCAACTCAAGGCATATTTTACATGACTTATTCCTACCGGTTAGAAACCTATTTAAGAAATAGCACCGGTGAAAGCCATTAATATGGATTCGCAATATTAAATATTAAGGAGATTATTCTAGATAAAAATTTGATTCTAGATGAATTAGTCAAATCTCAGAGAAAAGTAGACCTCTCTTTATAAATTCAAATTATAAAATTGCTATATTATTATAATATGATCTTAGTCATAAGATTTTTATATCCACAACGTAATTATAATGAATTCTTAGTCATAATATTTATGTATTATATTATTTTTAATAAAAATATTGCATATACAATAAGAATTAGTGATCTGTATAAGCCCGCCCCTACCCAAAATTATTTTAAAAAAGTTTTGGCGGCCCTAACCCGAAATTTTTTTAAAAGTTTTATTATAGAAATTCATTTTTATAATTACTCAAAATAAAAGATATATGTTATATGGCGTCTAGTTTTTATAAATAAAATCATTTTAATTTTACATAAAAAATTTATCATAAAATTGATATATTTAAATATATTTAAAAAAAATTCCAAGGCCCGACCCAACCCGGCCCGAATTTTTTTAACAAATATTAGGCCAGACCCAGCCCGATCCCAATTTTTCTACTTTTTCGGATCTCTAATAAGAATTATTTATGTTTATTAATATATTAAGATTTTTTTAAATACCGCACAAGAATTGCTGATATTTTATTTTAATTCTATTTTTTTTAAATATAGTTATTTAGAATAAATTTTTAATATAATCTGTATAAAATTTATACATTTTGAATTTATTTTATTGTATAAATAATAAATAAAATCTATAATGAAATTATCTGCAAAATTTTGTTATATGCAAAAATTTAATTAAAATAATTATTTTTAACATAGTATAAGATATATTGAGTTAAAATTTTCAGAATAATGCTTTCAGTCGCGTATTAATCATAAATTTGGACAAGATTTTGTTACTAATATTTTTTTCATTTATGCTGGCTACTATAATGGTTAGACACCAATAAAGCACAAAATTGGCAAATTTTTAAAATGCGGTTTGGGGGCGAAGCCTCCCCAATAAATTTTAACCCCTCCCCCCATGGATCAATCCCGGCTACGCCACTGTCTATCGTATTTAACTTGAATAATTTAATAGTTGTAAATGCATAAATAAATATTTTGATTGATTAAAAAAATATATATTAAATTTTAATGAAATACATGTTTGTTTGTGCATTGAATAGATAGTAGGATATTAATAAGTATAAGGTGCGAAATCACACATTAAAGTTAGACTCGTTTAATCCAAGTTAAAGAGTTCGTTGGATCCTCATATCGATCAAAAAGGACTAAAAAAATGGATAAAATTCTAGCAAGTTTTCTAAAAAAAATAATGATTTAAAGTTAAGATTTTAAATACCCTGAAATTCAAATAAAATGTTTTAATAATAATAAAGATCCATCTGTTATAAACAAATTAAATTATTTTGAAAAATATATTTTCCTATTAAATAATCATTGGGATGGGTAGTGAAATAACCCTGCTGGGATGCGACCCATCCTACAAATTAACGACGGACGGTATCTGCAACGATCATCATTAAATACAACTTTAAAAAAAATTTATAAAAATCATTTATTTTTATTAAAATTTGTAAATAAAAAACCATTATAATTCATAATCTATAAGACTAAAAATCGATATAATATAATAGAATAATAGCTATTTTTCCAAAATTTAATTTAAAATTTTTTAACCATGTTTTTTAAAAAGGCACTTTTTTCGACGATCATAAAATAAATTTTAAAGAAGTCCATCACTACCACAAATGCAGAAAAGATTATCTATTCTTCATAAATTGAATCTAAAAATATTATAAAATTTTAAATATATTGAAGTTAATAAATAAAATTTTTGCAACGATTTCAGTTCTTATTTTTATTTAAGTGACCAGTTATGATAATTCACAAAAAGGTTACTGACTATTTTTATTAGTCAGGCTGTGTCCTGGTTCGAATTAATTCTGATGCATAATTGCTTTTTAGCCTCGACTAAACAGCTTTTGAACAAGGACACCCCATTTTAATTTGTTTCAAGGGTGCATTCAAGTCGAAAGCGTCAACGACACGACAAAATACACATGCGATTTGTATTTTGTCGTGTCGTTAACGCTCTCTAATAGTGCGCACAAATTGAGCGTTTCAAGCGCAAATAATGCATTTCAAATGACCTCGTGCAAATTGGTAAAATTAGAGTTTGGCGTTAGCAACCATTTTAAAAAACGCAAATAGGTTTGCTTTTTCATTACTTTTTATTATTATTCGCTGTGTAATATTATATAAAATGTAATATAAATATATTACTTATATCCTAAAAAGGAATATTTAGAAATTAAAGAAATAAAAACGCAGACGATAATATAATTTTCAAATGACAAATCCTTTATATCAATTAATATAGATACAGGAGAACAAATTAGTACATTTTTTATAATTTTATATTTATATCCATTAAAATACTAAAATAGAGTTTACAAATTACTACTTATATAGAAACACAGGAGAACATATTAGTACATTTAAATTATAATTATAAATTTATATCAATTAATATAGATACAGGAGAACAAATTAGTACATTTATTATAATTTTATATTTATATCCATTAAAATACTAAAATAGAGTTTACAAATTATTACTTATATAGAAACACAGGAGAACATATTAGTACATTTAAATTATAATTATAAATTTATATCAATTAATATAGATACAGGAGAACAAATTAGTACATTTATTATAATTTTATATTTATATCCATTAAAATACAAATGTTGCGTTTGCAAGGCAGCGTTTGAAACGCTCAATTTGTGCGCACTATAATGCACCTTAAGTGCTTGCTGGCATTGTTATTTTTTGTATTTTATTCTCGTTTTTTTTTTAAAAAAATACTACAGCCTGCTGTTTAGTAATAAGTTGACCCAGGACTGAAATTGGATAAAAATCTCAGTACAAAATAAAACCTTAAATTTATTTTTGCATGCAATAGAAATTTTTACCGTTCTCAATAATTTCCTAATTATCTTTTTATTATTCATGCTGTAAAAAATGTTTTCAAAAACTTTGAAAATGTCTTAATGTAAAAAGAAAATAAAAATGTTTAATTTTTGGATGAAAATCCCGAGTTTTTCAGGAAAACCCCTAATATTTTTCTGTTTTTTACAAAATTTTATTATTAATTATAAATTATGAATAATATAAATTAACAATATTGTAAGTTATTACTCATTATTTTAGAACACAATTAATATAATATAAATAATGTGTTTATCTGTCATTTTTAATCTAACAATATTTTGCTGGAAATTTTTCATTATCTAATCATTATATCTCTCATATTTTGTTAAATTTGAGTTTATTTTTTAAAAAAACTTTTAAGAAAATTAATTTTTTTGCTTAAAATTTGGCAAAATGATATTTAAGTGTGTTTTATTTCTTTAAGAAAATAAATTTTTTACTGTTTCAAAGTTAGTTATCTTTAAGCATGTTTTGTTTCTTTCCCCTTTTTTCATGTTTGAAAGACAGTTTTTTATTATTTTGTTTTTACATCTCACAAATTTAAGGTTATTTTGCAAGTATTATATAATTTCTTTAATGTAACTGATAATAAGGATTTAGGCCCTAAAAAATTGGTTACTTATTGAATTGTTTCAATGGATTGTATGATATCGAGTAGAGGACTGCCCCGCCCACGTCCGCCCATCCAAGTGGGCAGGCGGATGGGCGGGTAAAAAATTTTTCGAGAATGGGCAGGCGGGCGGGCGGGTTAAAAAAAATTTAAAACTATGGGCGAGCGGGTTAGAAAAAATTTAAACTATGGGCGGGCGGGTTAAGGAAATTTAAAATTTTTGTTCAAAAACAAATTAAAAAAATAATTGTTTAAAAATGATCTATAACAATATTTCTTTTTTTATTGTACCAATCGTTTTTTTTAAGTGAAGAACATTCACCTAACTATTATGTAATAAACACAATAATAAAACTTTTTTCTTAGAATAAATAAAAAAAATTATCTTTTATGGGAATGTAATAAAACTTTTCTAGTGCTTCTTCCGAACGCGGATTTAGCATTGCTGGAAGATTTTTAGAACAAAGAAGAACATGTTTAAATCCAGAAAATGTCGATTTATTATTATTTTTGCATTATAATTACATATAATATTAATTTTACATTTATATTTTTTCATAAATATTCAATTTGATCAAATAAATTGTCCATAATTTACATTGATTTTTTTTATACTTATATTAATTTCCTAAATTATAAACTTTTTGTAGAGGTGTAATGCTGAAATATTTTTATTAGATGCTTAAAAAAATGAAAGAATGACCATATTTAAATTTTATAAGCGGGCTTGGGTTAAAAATTTTTTATAAATAATAGGTGGGCGGGTAAGGAATTTTAGACAATATATTTCTTTGAAGACTATGGACGGGCTGGGCGGGAGGGTTAATTTTTTTTTAAACATTGGATACCCGCCCAATGCAGACCTTTAATATCGAGTTCCAATCTATTTTAAATTATGGTTAAAAAATCTATTCGTAAATATCGAATCGAAAAATCTGAATATAATTATGATTGAAAAAGTGGAGCAGAAAGAACGAACCATAAACCTGGAATGAACCGTTATCATTTCATGAACCATACAAAACCATTAAGCCAAAATTGCAAAAAGAGCGAAATGAACCGTTAATTCTTTGAACCAGTTCAAAATGGTATGTTGAGTTAATTAAAGTGATTTTTCTTTAATTTTTTTTTAGTAAATCATTTTAGAGATTAATCAGGTCATCATCTTATACCATTTTTAAATTGTTTTAATTAATCATAATTGAATTTGACCTATGTTATTTTATACTTTTTTAAATACTCGTTAATTTAATTTAAATATAATCAAACCGAAGCGAGACGAACAGGAATGTTATTAACAACCAAGTCAGACCCCTTTTTAAATTATACCAGCCGGCAGATCTCTGAAATATATAGATAAAGTTGAATTTAAAAAAATAATATTTATGCACATTTATAAAAGAATCATTCAAACTATAGAATAATGTGGGTCTTCTTCTTAAAATCTGTTACTACATGTCGATATTAATTTTAACACTTTTATAAACATTGCTTTTCTAATTACAATAAAATTCTGAAAATTTTTTAAAGTAATTTTAATTAAGAATGTACACGAAATCGGGTAATCGCAGTTGAAATTGAGCTTAGAATTTCAAAATGGTCTTTGTCAAATTTTTAAAATTCTTGTAAAATTAGTTTGAAAATATAATAATTATTAGTTGTCTCGAGAATTTTAAGTCAAAAGATAATACATGCCCAAAAGCATTTCTTATAATTGAGATCCAATTATTTTATAAGGTTCAATTATTTAATTTTTACTTTAAAAAAGTCCAGAACCTTTTCGTATGCTAAAATTTGTTGTAATTCGGTTACTCTCCGGTTATTGCAAACCCAGGTAGGGTCTAAAATAATTTTTCCCTACAAGGTTCGGGTCAGGTCGATTTTACCAATAATATTATATCAGTTAATCCTTTAAAAAATTATACAATGGATCATTTTTTCAAAACATTTCACAAAATGCATCCAAAATTATTTTGAATAATGAAATTAAAAAATTCGGGCCGTGCAACAAAATGATAAAATATATGGACCGGGTTTAGCCATATTTTAAAAAAATCCAGCTCCATTAGATTTTTTTTATATCCAGGCCGTTTACCGTAGTGATAATTTATGATCGAACCTTAACTATTACTAATGAATATATATTTTAAAAATTTAATGGCCACCAATATTTTTGAAGCGATGAAAAATATATGACTAAATATTTCACAAATTAAATGGCCGCCAATATATTTGAAGCAGTGAAAAAAAATATATAATGAATAAATATTTTACAAATCTCTTAAAATTCAATATGGTATTGATTCTACAATAGCAAAATATCACTATGGTATTGATCTACAATGATAATATAACTATAATATTGAAGCTACAATGAGTATTGATTTCACAGCCTAAACCGGGCTTAAAATATGTTTTATTTACGTCTTTGATATATTTCATATAAATTATAATTTAAAACAAATATATGAACACATAGTTATATATATATAATGTATGTCTAAATTATTTATTAAATTTCTTCGATAGGAATGAAAAAAAGAAAGATATTATTCTAAAATATTTGTATTAAATAATATATCTATATATTTGAAACATGATTAAAGTAAGTTTTCTTTAAAAATCATTATATTAATATTCAATATGAAATAACCTCAAAATTTGTAATAAATAAATTTAATACCCAGAAATTTTAAAGGACTATATAGGTGATTTTCTTAGAGCACCAACCAAATTTATTTAAAAAAACTAATAAAAGAGAGAATTATAATGTTTTGATTGAAGCCATTTCGTTGATCAGATGGTGGTTAAAATAATGTTGTTTAAGTGTGATCGTGAAATATTTTTTATAATAAATAATGGAAATTATATTTAAAAAAAACTGATATAATATTAATTGACCTTTAAATAATTATGTTCCAAAAAAGATACTCAGGAAAAAGGGAGAATTGCATGATTTATTCATTGGACTGCTCTTCTTGTTTAGAGGGAGGAATGTAATTTTTGGGATGATGTTGAATATGATTGACGGTTCGTTGATTGTGAATATTATTGGTCAAGTTAGTTACGACTCTTCTCACGTTCCCAGATGGGTCAGGTCTTCAAAAATAGATAATAATTTTCAGCCAGTAGTTAATATTATTGTAAAATTTAAGAATATAAGTTTAAAAAATTAAATATATTTTTAGATACTTTCATTATATATTTTTTAAAACGTATTTATATAATCTCTATAATCAAAATATGATCGTTTTCGTATCATCTTAACGTTAAAATAATCATTTTCGTATCATCTTAACGTTATTCAAATTTAAGAAGACTATATAGTGGTAATGTTAATTTTTTGCCATCTACCACATCGAACCACAAACCTTCCGGTTAATGATGCTTACTACCAAGTGAATGTATGGAAATATTCTAAATACCAACCTAATTTGCTAAATACCGACCAAAATTTATTAAAATGTAATAAGACCCTTATTATTTAATATATTATAATGGAATCAAGTGATCGAGTCCGGCCTCCTATATATCATCCCCCCACGGATGGAACCACCAAGTTAGAATAAGAAAAAAAACATGATCATTACCGGGATTCGAACCCGTGACCATGGGATCAGTAAGCGAAGCTCTTGCCGACTAGGCCATAGAGGCTTTTCAAAAATCAGGATTTTTCAAATATATATTATAAATATATTTGATAGTGCCTATCCAAATGAAAAATAAACAAAATTCAAATTTGATAGATAGTACCTTAAGGTAGTATCATTAACCAAACCTTCCCGTTTCAAAAGTACACACTTTACGCATGCATCAACTTGAAATATAATTAAATTTATAATATTAATTATATATATATTAATACAACTACTCAATTGCCGTTAGTATAGCTGGTATTTTTAAAATTTTGCCATTTGTCTTAAATTTAATTTTATATTTATAATAAAATTTAAATTTGTGATAGAAATCATATTAGATAAAATTTAAAATAGAGATGCTTGAAAATATTTTAATTATGAATATGGGCTAGACATTGACTGAAAATATTTTTGCAGACATGGCCAGCCTGATCAAAAAACCAAGCCCCATGCAACTTTCATAAAAAAATTTCCATTAGAATAAAATTTAAATTTGTGATAGAAATCATATTGGGTAAAATTTAAAATGGGATGCTTGAAAATTTTTTAATTATAAATATGGGCTAGACATTGGCCTGAAATTTTTTTTACAGACATGGCCACGCCTGATCAAAAAATCAAGGCCCATGCAACTTTCATATTCTGATTGTATTTTTAAATGAATTATGATTTTCATATATTATTTCAGTTCTCAACTATTAAAATTATTATGGTCTTTAGCGGGCTTGAGAAAATTCCCAACCTTATTAGTGCATGAATCTGGCTTAGGAATATTTTTAATATTAGATATTAGGCATAATATTTAACACAGAATTTATATGGGTCTCAGGTAAAAGCTAATTTAAATATATTTTTACTCAAAAAATAGTCTAAAGCATATTTAGTACCATATACAAAAACTAACTAATTAACCCTTAACCCCGTCATTTTTGACGGGTTATTGCTAGTTATAATATATTTAACAATCATTCAACAATTTTTAATGGTGAAGTATTCATTAAGAGCTTGATACACCCGATAGAGGGTTTGGCAAGCCGATTAATTGACAAATAGAATAAATGACCAGTCAAATACTCTAGAATGTATAAATGTGTTTTTAAAATATGATTATCAATTCAATTAAGTTGTAATTTATTTTAAAATAAACTTGCATAACTAAATGGCAACGATTTAAGTATAATTTTACCATTAATTAAAATATAAAAAACAAAAATTTTATTGATCTCAAAAAATAAGTTTAAAAATATATATAATTAATAGTTATGGCTTGGTTTAAAAAAAATTACCAATTGTTAATTAATATATTGCTATCTACTTTTAGTTATTACCAAATTAAGTGCATACCAGGGTGTAATTTAAATCATTAATTTTTTACAAAAAAAATCAAAAATAAAATTTTAAAAATTCAAATCAGATTTTTTTTAAAGTGGAATTTTAGATGGCCAAAAATAATAATTGGGTATTATCTTACAACTTTTGATTATGATAAAAAAAAATTCTATATCCCTTAAAATTTATGCATATAATTAGTTACTTAGTTTGATTATTACTTTAAATGAATTTATAAGATTTCGCGCTAAAAATTTACCAACATCTTCCCCTTGAAAAAATTAAGGTTCTATTTTTGGTTATAATAAGACAATTTCAGTGATAAATTTTATAACAAATTTAATTTTTGGCGCAAGGTAATTCCTATTCATTTCTAATGGCGGGTCGTAAAGAGAATTTTATTTTAATTATTTTAAAAATGAGGTTAAATTAACAGTGGGTAAAAAATAAAAGTAGTGTGCAAAAAAAAATGAATAATCAAAATAGCTGCTAAAAATAAGGAATCCGAATGGTAATTAAAATAATAAATAATCAAATATGAGCTGATTCTCCTTTACGTTCGATTTTAAGTTTAGGTGAATAGTTAAGATTTCCAAAATTATAATAATTACATGTTCATGCTCACTCCAAACATTGATAAAGTTTAAATCATTTTCTTACCTATGCTAGGTCCAAAATATTTTTTTAAAAAATTCGAAAAGTTTTAAAACTTACAGAGGTTTTAAATTTTAAATAAATCGTATGTTAAATTTTTAAATTTTTCTAGAATTATATCTTAGATAAGTCTTTATTTTTATACTTAAAAAAAAGCTTATTTCTTCTTTTTTCGATGTTTGCGAATCAAATTTTTAGATATTTTGGGCATGCAGCTTCAATAAAACATTAAAAAATTATAGGATAAACTTTACGATTGCTTAAATACAATCGAACTAGGATATGAAAATAAAAATTAATTTGATTTAAATCATGATTTAAAATAAGTGATTTTAAAATAATAATCAAAGTTCGTCACCACAAATCGCTTGCATTTTAATACAAATACCTTTTGATTATTATTATTATTTAAATTATTTCTTAAACTTAAATATTATATCATATAAAATTTTTTCATAAATTAAGTAATTATCAGCTTTGACCTTCATTCTGTCAATTTCTGTTTGCCCTTTTAAAATATTTATCTATGATTTTTGGCTCCTCCCCAATGATCTTTTCGTAGTTTAATACATTCCTTTTTGTTTATTTATTAAATCCTTCCATCCGTAGACCTGCAGAGGTACCATTTGAACGACCCGGCCCGGATTTTTTTTAAATTATTACATTTATTGTTTATTTTTATAGCTATTAATGGCGATTTAAAATATTTGGTTTTAAAATATCCGGCCCAGCCCGGGCATATTTAAATTAAAATACGGCCAGGCCTGCAGGTCTCTGTATTATCTAATATTATACCGATGATTTTCGGCAATTTCCCCTTTCGACCTCCCCTTTCCGCCCTTGTGGGCAGCGAACATCTCCTGACGTGCGTCAAGTTCAGCTAATGGATCATTTTGATAAATTTCTTTTTCTTCTAGATACTGGGAAACGCCATAAGGGTGTTCGAGTCTTTCCACGACCAACATTGGTAGAGCATCCCCTTATATATTTTTTTGGTATGTATTTATCTAATCCATAATATAATTAAATTTCCTTGTTATTTTTTATACTTAAAGTTCATAATCTAGGGTAGAGCTTTGCATATTATAATTTTAACCTATAGGGTGTCTTAATGTATGTAGAGGTGAAAATATTACAAATGGTATATAGTAATAAAACTTTTTTTTAATCTTAAAATGCCAATTCCATATTCTCGTATGAATTTTCCAGGGCTAAGCCGATATATTTAATATTGGCCTAATATGTACCCCTTTTTTAAAAACGGTTCGTGTCTATATTTAAAAAAAATGATTATTTTATAATTTTAAATATATTTAAATATTTTTCATTTTATAAATAATTTCCTAAAACCAAAATTCAATTTATTTATATATTTAATAAAATTGGATTATTTTAAAAAGAAAATATGGCTAAAAATGTGATATTATTTTTTGTCATCTTATTTGCAATGGGAAAATCATTTCAAAACATTTGGAGTCACATTTAGTCATAAGCATCATTCATATTTATAATGAGATGATTATTGGGAAATAAAAAATAAAATAAATTTAACAATTTGTGCCAATGTCCCAAGCATTGCCTTGGATAGGAAATGAAATTTTAAGTTTCGTGTTTTATGCATATTTTAGAGTTAGTTATTTTTTGTGTAGAAAATCATTGACATTAGTTTAAGAATAAATGGTAAATAAAAATCAAACTAAATATCAAAAAATAATGGATCGGATCCATGAGAAATTTTACAAACACTAAAATTTTCTTTAGCAAAATATAATAGTATAAATTTTATTGCTTAAAATATGGAAAAAATTCTTTAAACCTTCTTTGAGCAACGTTTTATCTTGCGGGAGTAAGACCTCTTCCTTTCTATAAGTATCTGCCGCCACATCAGTTGTTCCAATATAGACTGGGATCGTATGTTTATGAATATTGCTTTTATCTTTTGGAGATGACATATGAAATCTCCTATTTATCAAATATTCATTTAAGATAGGGATGAATCAGAACCAGGCACATAGCTGGGAATTTTCTATGGGGACGGGGAATATTTTTAGAGATTGAAATAATTTTTTTGGAACATAAAATCATTATATTTACAAATGACAATTTTGAACAGAAATAATAAAATATTATTAAATACGAAATATTTAAGAGCGAATAAAACATTGTTAAAAAATATTATAACTACATAACCCAGTAAGTAAATCACAATAAAATATAGTATTAAGCATTTATATGATTATTTAAAAATTAATAAAAAAATCATTCATAAATTGAAATTTAATTTTCATTGCAATGGGATCCAATTTTTCAATATGTTTTATAATTGAGGATTAAATCTTTATCTATATGAAGTAAGCTACTTCATTCAATCGATTTTCTGATGCCATCCTTCTGATATAGGTTTAGATTCTCAGTAATGAAAAAATGGTCCTCTCATTCATACTTGTTTGCTGCCAAAATATACACTAATTTTAATAGATTTGGAATTACAAAATATATTTTAAAGTAAACAATGCTTCCATGGCATTACTTAGTTGATTATTTAAATTCTGAAATTAATTGGTCATCAGAAATGGCATTCAGATACATTTATATGTTTACCTAAGACGTATTTCTAGGCAATAGTATTTTTATAAACAGCCATTTGATAAATCACAAATTGTTCATTGATTTGAGTCAAAAATATATACATAAGTGGAATAAAAATGGTTATTTTACTGTAATCTCCTTGATTGTTTGCCTAGGTGCAAGTCAAGGCTTACGAATCTCAAAATAATATAACCACTCTTTTGCTTTATATTGACATAAATCTCTTAAAATTATTGTCAATATTATCTGTTAGTCTTCTAAGATGTGATATAATAATATTCTAGTATCCATAGAAAAATCTAATTATATAATTTATTAATGAATTCCAATGAGAAAATAACATTGACTGTCCTATTGAATCTAATAATGTATCTTCAGAAGTAATGTCTGGTTGCTATTCTGATATTTCTCCAGAGGAAGTAAAAAAGTCTAGCTTCTAGATTCAAAAATATTGTAACAGATTGATTTCAATGGCTCCATTATGTCAGGCATGCTTTTTGCAGTTTTCTTCCTGTAGCATAAAAAGTCTTATAAATTATTCTATTCAACAAATTCTATAACCTCCTGAAGACCATATTTCTTCATTATCTATCTTTTTAGACTCTTCATTTTGTTTAACAATTTTTGGGGAAAAATATTAATATACAAAAAAGAAATATAAAAATTAATAATACTTTTTGCTAAAATTAAAAATAGAATATAATCTATATGAAATATAATATTTATTTAAAATAAATCACTTTACATTTTACACTTCTTAAAACCTTTTATATTTTTTCAAAAGTTTTGCTAAGGTGGGGGGGGGGGGGGGGGGAGTTGGCTATGCGCCTGATCAGAACTATAATAAATATTGGTTTGGCAAAGTAAAAATAATAGTTCATAGCTCAGATTTTGTTTTTAAAAATAATATTGATTAAATTTGAACCTAGAAAAACTGGTTCAACAAAGCATTAGAATTATGTAAAGAAAAGCATATATTTTTATATTTTATCACTATTCACTAGAAAATAAACTTGAGCTGTATGTATGCAATTAAAATGTTATGAAAATTCTATATTTAAACTTTATATGTAGTTAATTGTTTCTATTAGGTCTTTTTTAAAAGTTAACATCATAAAATACATATTAGTTAAAAAGTGGTTAAGTTTAGAAATTAATATATAATTATAACAAAATTAAATTATCATTAAGAATGCATAAATAATTATTATAAACTATAAGAAATTTAAAGAACAATGAATAATTTTTTTTTAACAAAATAAAATTAATGATTATATTTTAAGATGGTAATATTGGTAAGTGACAAATAATAATAAAATGAATTTTTTTTATTAATTCATAAAGAAAATTTTTTAAAAAGTAAACAACTATATTATACTTCATTTTTAGTGTATAAGAGTATATACCACAAATAACAAATAGTAATCTCCTATAAATACAATTCCTAAAGTAAAGATATAGATATAACCTATTACTTTTATAAAAGAAAAATGTTCCAATAAACAAGATGGAAATGGTTATCTAAACATAATTATTAGATCCAAACTATAAAAAAAAATTCTAAAACAAAATTTATAAATTATTATAAGTTTTATTTAAAAAACATTGTATTATTATCTATAATTACATTGGAATACCAAATTTGTTAATAAAATGCAAAATTAACTTACTAATTTTTCGAAAACAGTGCCAAGGTTTTTAAAAATTTGTAAAGAAATATTCCACTAAAAAAATCTTATAATAATGTTAGTAAATAAGATTAAAATCAGTTATAAATTATAGAATAACTAATATTAGACTATACAACTCATTGAAAATTATTGAAATAAGGTTGGTAAAATAAGAATTATTATTTATATGGTATTATTCTCCATCTATAGCAACTGACACCCTCTTATTGATTAATATATGATTAAAACTGCCAATTAGTCAACTTAAAATCAGTTCGAGTTATCTTTAGTTTTGATCAGCGTCTACATGAGCTGGAGGGGTAGGAACAGTTTGCATCCTATTTTTTAGAAGGGGGTAGGCTGCTCTAATGGGGGTAGGATAAATTTTTTGGGGGGTTATCTATTAAATTTTGAGATGAAATAGGACAAAATTTATTGCTGTAAAAATTAATACTTTTATTATAGTATTATTATAAAACAATCTATCGACCAAATATATTTCAAACAATCATACACATTGTTTTCCAAATAAACTTTCCTTTTAAATTATTTAAAAGGTTTAGATATTTTAGCAAGCTCATAATGCCATCAATGGAGGTTTTAATTAAATTTATTATCTAAAAAATAAATTCTTTATATTCACAAAATATCGATAGTTGGTAGTAGAGATAAATTAATTTAAGTTATCCTTTATAAATTCTTTGAAAAGAGTATCAATAAATAAGTGAAAATAATGATAAAGAGACACCCCCGCCGAAGGCGGTGATTTTTTTGAGGGGTGGCTAAGGTTTTTGAAGGGGGTTTGCATCCAGTGAAAATCCTGTCATGTAGACGCTGGTAAGAGGGAAAATAGGGGTATAGACGTAGCTAGGATTCTTTGCCTCCCCCCAGTAAATTACATTGGAGGCCTTTAGAAATTATTGAAGGTTTTTATATAAATAATTTTGGTTTGCCATTTTTTTTATATGAATTTTTTCTATAATTTTACTCTTCGTTTTTATCATTATTTTAAAAAGATTTTTATTTAATTCCTTTTCTTATAAATTATTGTTTATAGTGATATATTATTATGTAAAACAAGATTTTTACCTAAAAATAAAATAGAAGAAAATTAAAATTAAATATATATTCTAATTTCTTTGTTAAATTATATATATATTAATAAATTATAAATTAACATAAAAGGAAAAATTAATCAAAATTAAAAGAAAATAATATAAGAAAAGTAAAAAGATTTAAAAATTATTTGTGAGATAGTAAAAAGTGAATAACTCCAATTGTTAAACATTTAAAGTATGAAAAATCTACAATTATCACGCGTTTTCATCTCATTTACATAGACTGTATCTAAATAATAACTTAATAATTTTAATAAAACATTTTATTTGTTTTAATATTATCATAATTTGAATAATGCATTTTTTTGTAACGCAATAATACAACAGTGGTAATATAAAATAGGATGGAGGTAGTAATGATGTAGGATATAAATTACAGAGCTTAAACCATTTGATCTAATTTTTAAAGACACCATGATATTAAGATCTTACCTAATATAGATTTTACTATTATGCATTTATACATAAAACTATTTTGGATAACTAACTATTAAATTTTATAAAATATTATTTACTGTTCAATTTGATAAATTTTTGTAAGACAAGATAGATATTATATTTAAAAAATATTATAATTAGAATACGGTCTAATTTTTATAGGAATGTTTGAAAGATTTTTTATTAATCCATGAAGTTTTATACGCATATAATATATATATATAATGAGGACCATTTAGCGAGTATTGTTAAATCAAGATACTTTAAGCCCATTTCTGATATAAATTTACTGCCCAGAAGAACTTGTATCTTGGATAAAAGACATTTGGCAAAAATATTTCCGGACAGAAATAACTATGATAGTTAAAAAAAAAATACTAGGCAAAATATCCATATTTATATATTATATACTTAGAAAATGTAGAATTTATTTTAAAAAAATTTCCCCACACTTAGATCTCCAGCATATTATATTTAGCTTTAAACTCTCTAACCCTTAGCTAACTCCTCGTGCTCGCTAGCTCTAGAAAAGTAAATTTTTAGTTACGAGTGACACTATGTGAGGATGACAAATTAATAATTTTTTTAAGAACTGCATTTATTTTAATTTTCTGTTAACAAATAGATATTTCGCTTGTTTTCGTTCGAGGGTATATCTGTCCAGAGTTATTTTGTCTTGTGCCAATTCGGGGTAAACTTCAACTTATCTTTTTGATTCGTATTTTAATATATTAATTGGCAGTCTGATTTATATAATATTATCAGCATACTATAGAGACATTTTGAAAAACTCTAATACTAGTCTATATATGGTTTCATGGTATCATTCGAAATTTTAAAAATAGATGTCCAAGCTTTGGCAAACAAAATCTCCAGGCATACATAATAGTATTTTGGCTAAAATCTTAATCGGGCCGTTTTTAAAATCGACCTTAAATCGGGCTTTTTAATAACACTAGTAAAAAGTAACGGAAAAATATATTTAAAATAGTTAAAAACATTAAAATTGAATACCTAAAAAAGAAAGGATAAAAGACTAATAAATAAGAATGACTATATGATTATATTTATCTTTAATAATAACTGATCGAACAAGAAAAAATTAAAAGAATATTGCATTTTCTAAAAATATCATTCATTCTTAATCATATGGAAATAATATGAAAATTTTAAAAGAATATTACTTCTAAAAAAATTATCCATCCTTAATCATATGGAAATAATAAAATTTTATAAGAATATTACATTTTCTAAAATTATCATCCATCCTTAATCATATGGAAATAATATGAAAATTTTTAAAATTTTAAATATTTAAAAATTTAATTCGATGACGTTAGATAATATCATAACTACATTAGGGTTTGGTCCATACCAACTCAAGAATTATATTTTAGCTTCTTCTTTAATGCTATTCCAACCATTGCAGATGTTTGTGATAATATTTATTGCCAAAAAAATGCCTTATCATTGCAATATTCCTGTAAATGCTTCAATTAATGATTGGATCCCTCATAAAACCCATGATTCTGATCCTGCCAATTATGAAAGCAATGGAATTATTTATTCTTCCTGTGATATGTTTTCAACTAATAAAACCGTTGTTCCTTGCTCCAATGGATGGTATTATGTTAGAAGGGAGGAATCTATAATAGCTGAGGTAAATTCTTATAATATGATATATTTTTTATTATATCTTGTTCAATTTTTTCTCTTAGGCACTAAATACAACTAAATTTAAAAGAAGAAAGAGAATAATAAATGGAATAATTAGAAAGGGGTATAGATTTTTGAAATTGTCTACCTGTAAATTAATTTTGTACAGGTTGTCTAGCTAGCTCAACCCATGATAATTATTGTGAAGGAGAAAGACCTAAGTGCCTAATTGGAAGCTTTATTTAAGAAATTATTGAGCCATAAAGATATATCACGAGTTACCTGGCCCATCCTGAAAATTTTTTTTTGCCCATTGCACCATAATAATTATCATATAAATTTAAGTATGATATCTTAAAAAAAATAATATAAAGAAACAGAAATAAATATAGACACAAATATTTATATTCTATCCTATAATGGCCATATTTTTTTTAAATTGTCATGAAAAAAACAAGAAGACATTTATACCCTCCATTTGTTTTTTGAAATCTATATTAATATTATATTCATTATTATTCAAGTTATTACTTTTTGTTGTAAGAGCAAATAAGACCATGTTAATGCCAATAATTTTTTCCCCATTATGATCTTACTTTTTATAAGAATATTAATCATTGAACAACAGATGTTTTAAGTATTATATAAATCATTTCTATAAAAATGATTTTTCTATTTTTAAAAATCTTTACCTTAAAAAATCATATTATTTTTGTTTTATAATTTTTATTTATTTTAGAAAAGTCTCCTTTCTCTTAAAGATGTTGATTTTATAATATGTCATTCATTTTTTTTAACTTTCTTCTTTTAAATAATTTATTGATTTAATAAATCAAAACATAATTCATGCTTTAAGCAAAGCTAAAAATATTTTTTGAAGACCTTCATTTTATGTTACCATTATTGTAAGTAGTTATGAACTATTAAAAGTGCTAGATGCCAAATTTTGATGCAATAATTTAGGTCATTTAAGCTTTCAAATATCTATTGAGGCATTGAAAAGCTTTGAACAGTCTTTTAAGTACTCTTATAAAAAAATTTATTTATTAGATGAAATGGCTAAATGTCCAATGTAAATTAGACTGAAAATTTAATTTTTGATATATATTTTTCATCATTTTTTAATCAGTATGCACCATATTTATTTATTTTTGAGTTATTTCTTATGATTTTTATATGCAATATGCTTTTTTTTGTACAATTCTAATTTTTTTGATCCACTATATTTTTAGCTTTGCATTATTTATGCAGTAATTTTTTTTATACAATTCAATTTTTAAATTGTATCACGATATTTAAACATTTTTTTTATTATTCGCGATTTACTTCTTAATATAGTTCAGCATTATTTTTAGTCCTTTTCGCATATTTTTAGGAGTGTAGAATTAACTACTAAATCTAGTTATTTACCGGAAACTACACTTCAGCCTGGATTTAAAATTTCTTTTATAGCTGATTAAAAAAAAAGCGATATAAATTAGTTCTGCCCTAAATGATTTTCTTAAGGACATACCTGTAAATAAACCGAATTAGTCATTTTTCAGCCATTACGAAGTTTATTGATTAATTATTGCAATATAATATCTATTTTTTTTAAATAAAACTCGATTAAAATTATATTTTTTTTGTTGAATCTGTGATTTTTGCATTTAGATTGAATAGATATTCAATTATTAATTTCTTTATTATATTTTAAGTGCGCAAAAACTCATGACTGAAGGCGCGAATAAACATTGGACCTCTGCACAAAAATTCTGGTCACGCCACTAAGATCAATCGAATTTAGATTATTTAAAATTTTAATCAACTCTTATAAAAATAGTAACATTGAGAATTAATAGATAATTTTTCGTTTTTTATACAAATTTATATTTTTAAAATCCAAATGGTGTGGCAAACATCAATATAAAATAAAAAAAATAAAAAAACGGCAGCACCTATGATCGTGAACTTCTATTACACAAATTATGATTATTATGAAAATTCATAAAAAGTGATTTTAATTTTTTCCGATTTTGAAATCGTTTTGAGTAGTACTTTACTAAAAAGTGACTATTTCATGAGTGGTGCATTTTTTTGATAAATAAGCAAATTTGAGTAACTTGAAATTTAAAAAGTTACAACTATATTTTAGAAAAGTCACATTTAGACCACCTAAAAATAATTAGTTTGAATTAAATTTCCTCCCAAAAAGTAGGTAGTCATGGGTAATTTAGTTCAGAGACCATCATGGGCCGGCCCGCAGGCTCATACCCGGCCCATCTAGCAGGTCTGGGCCGGGCCTGGATTTTTTAACTTTTTTTAATGGGCTGGGCTTGGGCCTAAAATTATTAAATTTAGATTATTTAAAACAGTTGCTAACTTTAAAGAAATATTGCCTTTTTTTCTTCTAATAATAATAAATTTCAGTATTGTAAACAAAATGTTGCCTAAATATATTTAAATATAGTTTATTTTCATTAAATAAAAAAAAATTAAACTTTTGGATGTGGGCTTGGGCCGGGTTGGGAAATTTTTTTGAAACTTATCATGGGCTCCGGGCTTGGGAATTTTTTTTAACATTAGACCGGGCTTGGGCCTAAAAACAATTTCTACTGTCGGCCTGGGCCGGGCTTGGTCAAAAAAATTAAGGCCCATGAAGGTCTCTGATTTAGTAATCTGTTAATAGTTAATTTAACAACACTACAGTTAAAGTTATAATATTTCTAAAATTTCACTAGTAACATTAACTAATCTAGTTGAGCAATAAACTGACGTTGCATTATTACGAGTAATATTGTTAAATAATCAAACTGATGGAAATAAGATTTTTAAAAGTTTTAAATTTTAGAATAAGTAGTAAAGAATGCGAAATATATTTTTTATTATCCAACAATATCGGCGATACTTTTGAAATTTCAATGTATTGTCGTTATACCTCATATGCATTTTAATATCGGTATCAAAAATAGTCATTATTTATTTTTTTATCTTAAAATTAGTTAATTCTATTATTTAAAAATAGTTTATATAATACAATCTCTTCCATTTACCGACTAAACTACAAAGTAAGATATTTGATAGGCTTGCTGACAAGCGCATCTTTCCATTTACCTCTCCCAGTCCATAGCATCATCATATCTCTATTAAATTTTATTCTGTTTTTTAAAAGGAACATTTATATTATTAGCTCAGCATCCGGCCTGTTATAATTTTGAGATAGTTTTAACTGTCTGGAGCGTATTTTTTGCCCTGCTCATAAAAAAAAATTGGACCAAATTTCCCTAGCCCATGATCATTTTTTTTTCTAAAGGTAGAAATCATATATTTGCATTCTAAGTTTTAACAAAAAAAAGCGAATTTCTGGGTTAGCCGGGCCTGCAAAAATATCTAATACAAGTTCAGCCCTGAAAAACATTTTACGTAAGTTACCCTGACCGATTTTTTTTTAGTTCAGTCCAGGCAATCTTTAATTTTTTTTATAGATTATTATCTCATCATGGCATGGCTTTCAAAATGTTATCTAAATTTAAGCGCACTAAAGGAATAATTAATTTGTAGTCAAATTAAGAGCTTATTCACACGTATTAGTAAAATTATAACAATTGAATGTTTAAATAATTTAAATTCCGGTTACAAAACTCGAAATGGTTGCAGATGTTTCGATATATAATATTTTTTGAGTGTCAAACAAGCTGAGTAAATATCTATTTTATTTTTTATGGTTTTATTCTGAATTCATTTTTTATATAGAAAAAAAGAAAAAGAAAGAAAGAAGGAAAAATAAGAAATATTAACAATCATAGGCGTATCCAGGATTTTTTTAGGTGGGGGGGGGGGCTATTAAGTATGATTTGCACCATTCTATTGTAGACCTTTGGTTATATTAGATTTCATTAAAATAAATTTGGATTTTCCTTTTTTTTTTATAAAAATGCTTTTTTTCTAAAAATTTCATAGTCTTAATTTTAATAAGTTACTAATTTTTCTTTAATTCTTCTTTAAAGGGAAAAAAACATTGTTAAAAATGGCGATACTCTTTAATTTAAAATAAAATATTTGATCATTTTAAATATTTAAATTAAATTATCCCGTCTCTCGTTTACTGAATGAATTAATTCTATAAGCGGTTTTCTTTTTCATCTTACTTTCTTTTTTATCTTAATAGGTAGCTTATAAAGTGGGAACTTTTTTGTGTGTTGGATTTAATTAACGGTCATATATATATTTCTATTTTCTATTAATTAATATCAATTCACATCTGAAAAATTATGAAATAATTGGATTGGGGTAGGAGGGGGGGGGGGGGGTATTTTTTAAAATTTTTCCAAGTTTTATCTTTTGTATAGATAATTCTAATTGGATTTCCAAAATCCGGTCCGATCGGATCGGGCTTGATATTTCTTAAAAAAATTTTGGTCGGGTACCGGACTTAAATTTTTAAATATAATATTCAATTTTGTGAAATAAATTTATACATTTTATTTTTTTTGCAAGAAATAAGACGCCATTATTTTTTATTTGTAGAATATTATTTATAATTGTAAAAATTTTATACATTTAAATAAAATCGGGCCTAGTGGGCAAATAATTTTAATTTCGGACCGGGATTTTCTGGATAAATAAAAAATAGATTCATTCGATATTGGCCGGACAAATTTTTTTTTAAATTTCGAGCTGGGCTTGAAAAATTGAGCCCAATGCAGATCACTAATTCTAGTTTATAACTATAAATATTTTTAAATTTTTTTAAAGCCAAAATAAACATTGTATTTTTTTATACCATATAATTAATTTTAATTTAATATTGCAATATCACAGGTATAACATTTTTTTCTCGTTAACTAAATTTTGTCTTGTAATTATTACCTTTTTTTTATCTGATAAAATTTTTACAAATATTATAAAATAGCAATTTCGACTTAAAATTAAATAAATATATAAAATATTTTGTTTGAACTATTCAAAATAAACAATTAATGAAATAGCTACCAAATATATATGTTGTTTAACAACACTACTTTAAAAAGGTAATGCGTTATAGTTATAACTATTTCCTCAATAAAATAGCTTTCTCCTGATGCACTATATCTGCATTTCTTAATGTAATGTCGCTACTTAAAATATGTCTTATTTTTTTCTTAAGAAATAATATTTCAGCCCCAATTATTGTATGAATAATCGCTAATGAAATTCTTTTATTAAATTTGAAATATAAACAATTCTAATACAGAATAAAAAATTTCCAGATTTTTATAATACATTATTAATTATATATGATTCTATTTAAATACCTGCTAATTTGACTTTATCAACTTGCATGTTATTTTTATATAACCACTAAAGAACGCTTAATGATCTAATTTGACATTACAATATAATTATATAATAAATTCAATTTAATTTTCAGGTTAATATATGCTCTTGTATTATATTAGGTTTTAACTTTTCTCCATTTTTATGTTTCAATTTTGGCCATATAAACGTTCTATTTTTTTAAGTTTTTATGATATACTTTCTATTAGTAGTGAATTGCAGAGTTGTTAATCAGTAGCGCGCTACCGCTATCGCTATTTGTCAAAAAATGTAGCGCGCTATTAGCTACTTTTTATCAAAAAAAAATTTAGAAACAAATTTGTATTATTTTTTGCTTATAATGATATTGTAAAGTAAATATATAAAAATCAACATTTATAAATATTAAAATAAAGTTAGTTTTGATTATAAAAAAATTTATGTAAAAAAAATGGTAATTTGTTGCATTTTATAAGTTTTTACCTTGTGTTATGTGTCCAACTATTTGCCATATCTCTGATAACTCTACTATTAGAGCATCTTTCATCACTTTAAAGTTATCTGCTATTTTATTCATTAGTGTCTGGCGGCATAAAATTGTTGTACCAGGGGATAGAGTTTTAATTATCATGGTAAATGATGAATTATCAACTAAGGACATTGGCTGAACTGTATAAATTATAAAATCAACAATAACTTTATCAGCCAATTTCTGAGAAATATTGGCATTTGTATTATTAATTAATTTGGTTTGAAATGAATTAGTCTTTTTGGATGTAGAGTCGCCTATACCAAAATTATTTAGATGTTTCTCAATTTCCTTAAAATTATTGGCATGAACAGTCTTATAAAATAAATACTATTAGAATGTAAAAATGACAATTTACCTTTAGGTGTTTCTTGAGGTTATACTGGATTGATTTGAGGAAATATTTTTTTTACATTTTAAACAAATAAATTTGAAGCTAGTTTTGGTTTTTATATTTATTTTAAAAAAATTTTTAAATCTAGGGAATGGGAGATTTGTATTATAGCTATTATGAACATTTTCTTCCCTGGTATCTTCCATTTCATTAATATCATTGTCTGAATCACTTTCAACGATTTGGATATCCATAGGTGATGACATTTTAAATTATTAACACGTGATTTAGGTTCATAATACAAATGAAAATATAAATTACAAATTGAAAATATATTTCAATTTCAAAATTAAATAATAAATCATAAAAATTATATTTAATTATGATATTATATTAAAATTTTCATGTTTATACTTACCTCGCTAAAAAATTAAATAATTACAAAAAAAGTAGCCGCTATTAGCTATAGCTACCAAAAAAGATAGCACGCTAAGTAGCGTGCTACAAGTAGCCCGCTACTTTAACAACTCTGGTGAATTGCATATAGAATCTGACAAATTTATTATAATGCTAGCATTTTTAGTTCTAGTTTTTGAATGTAGGCGCCCATAGATGTAAAATAGAATCTGCTGTGTTTACAACATATTTAATTCCTAAATTTTAATTGCCCCCCCCCTTTTTTGTTATCGCAAATGACTAGCCATACAAAATTCGAAAGTGAAAAACAAGTATCATTGTCAAGCAAAGGCTGTTATTTTATACAACCACATTTTCTACCATATTAATATATATGCGTAGCTAAGGGAGTTGTATCAATTCTAAAGCACCGGATTCGTTGATTAAAAATGACACATTTTCGATGTTATTATTGGCTTGGAATATTAGCACACATAATCGATAAAAAAACATATAACGGAATTAATTGTAGATAAGGATCTTTTTTACTTTCCACTTACAGGCCATGCTTGACTTTTCGTAAAATTTTAACCGGTCCCCCAGGCAAGAGTGCAATTTTTAAAAAAATGGATAATAATTTAAAACATATATATTTTCATTCCAGAAATTCATTTAAAAATTGTAAAAAATTTTCAGTGGGATTTAGTGTGCCGCCTAGACTATTTGGTTCCGTTAGCCGCTTCCGTATTCATGGGTGGTAGTGTTCCGGGAGCTATCATATTCTCTATCCTTTCTGACAAGTTTATATTTTAACTTATTCTTTATTGAATTGAGGAAAATGAATTTAATATTCGAGTGAACTATTAAATACTAGTGTTGTTATAACTGTTAGAAGTTAATATAATTTAGATTTTAAGAAATACTAAATGGCTGCTACTTTTAAAACTAAGTCCCATTGATTTATTTTTATTAAAACATTTAGTTCTCTCAAAGTTGTATTGAAATGATTGTTAAAAATAAATTTTTACTATTCGAATATATTTGATCCCTGAGACCAATCTGAGCCTGATTCTGGCTCCGATTTGAGCCTTTGAAATCGGATTAGATCTATCGGACTACATTTCTTGTTCTGAAAGAAAAAAATAGGTTGAATGCAAGACTCAGCGTTATATATCTTCTTTTTTTTGTAAGAACTTACTTTTCTCATTTATTTATAGCTTATTATTTTTAGTAATTAAGAACTTTTCATTTAAAATTATTTGTAAAAATGACATGTACAAAAACTATAATAAAATAAAGTTAAAAATCCTAAAATTTTTATTTATTTATGGATTTAACAATTGTGTTCCCAAATAGGAACCATAATTATATTCAAAAATTTTGATTTGTATTTTTTGTCTTAATACATAAAAATTCTTTCGCTTCCTTGGTTAAATGTCTAATTTTACTAAGACTTTTTAAAAACTTAAATGTTATAGGCGGAAAAGAGCCGCAAGTGATATGACTATTTAGAATGAAAATAAAATTGTTGAGATCCTTATGTTTTTTTGGTTTTAGCTTTGGTAAGCGGGTTGATATTAGTGTTTGAGGGGAATTAAGAGACTCAAGTATAGTCTCTTATTAAAGATTACCGAGGACTTATGAGATTTGGCAACCCATCAGCTTTTAATTTTTAACTGTAAAATCAAAATTAAAGGTTTCATATTTAAACTTTTTTTTAAGATTTAATAAATCAAAAATAATATAAATATTGACTTTCCTAGAAATTGAATTTTAACCAATTATCAATTTTAGATGATGTCTGAATTCACAGTTTGCATGAATATGCGGCGAAGTATACAAAATTCGCGGCTAATAATACAAAAATACAACATATTTTATATACATCACCCCGGGTCATACTAACTGTGAATTCAGGGTAAAGCTGAATTTTTAAGATCCACTTTTATCAAATGATTACAATATTAATTATAGATGATTGTGACTAGGGATGTCAATACCAATAAATCAGATATTGTATTGATTTTTAGAACCAATACCAATAGCTGATAAATTAATCAAATAGTAGTAATATATATTAGTCTAAAATATAACACGATTTATTCGATATTCGATTCGTATTTTACAAATACGAATAACGAAATTATTCAATTGAAATGACTTGAATACGAAAAATATATTATTTGTTCGAAATTATTCTTATTACTCATAAATATTCGTAAAAATTTGATTATTCATACATATATTTAAACATTCGAAATTATCACTAAATATTTGAAATTATTTAAATGTTCATAAATATTTAAAATTATTCTTAAGAGATTTAACATATTCCTTGCGAAACTTTTTTTTAAATTTTGTTCGCATTTTTGAATTTTAACAATCCATTTTTTCATTTTTCCAAATATTTTTAAAGAATTTAATTTTCAAATCTAATCGAATATTCAATCAATCAAATGAAACAATGTTTTCATTATTCGAAACAAACAACACAATTATTTTATTCGAATATATGAATCTAATAATGCAGGTATTAGTTTCGTATTTTTGTTGATTAATTAATACAAATAATATCTTATATTTTTAGATTTATTTACTGAATTTTTTAGTTTTATTTTTTGGATAACGATATAAATATTTCCTTGTATATGTCTAATTTACCAAGTGATATTCTTTAGTTTTTAATTTACCGAAAAATATTTTGGTGAAATTATTGATGCAATAATTATTACTTTAAAATGAGTAAAGAAATATCGATCTCGCTTAGCCTATTTATTAGCAATTGTTTTTGTGTATTTGGAAATACATTAATACCAATTATTTATTTAGGATATTTTAAGTGAAATCAAAGATATAGAGAATCAAAGCAAATAATACTTACTATGCAAACATTCCGATTAAACAAGGAATCATCCATCTTTCGGTCGTTTTGAAAATGACCATGTTTATTTTAAGCACAATCAAGAGTTTTAATTATAATAAAAAAATAAACAATGAATATGGATAATAATCATTAAAACCAATACCTAATTAACCAATACCAATAGCATTACAATAAGGGCTGTGAACCAAAACCCTAACTCTGAACCAGAACCTTAAGAACCCTCAATATTTTACTGAAACCCGAACCCTTTTTTAAAATGTAGGGTTCGAGTTCAATAACTTTTTTTTAAAAATATTAAATTTTTATTTATTTTAAAGGATTAATAAAAAACACATATAAAACACAATTTTTTTTGGTTAAAATTATTGGAATTCTTTTATTATATTTTACGCTCCATTTTATGTGAAAATTTTACCTAGATATTTTGTAACATTTTTTTTATAATAGATAATGTTTAATATAATAATATATATTTTGGAAATATTTGTTTTTGTTTGTTGGATTATTAAATTAAATGTAAGACCAAAGAAAAGAACATAATAACAAAGTAAAATAGCTATATTAAATGCAAGTTGCAATGCACTGTCAAAGTTAAGCAAAAAATATCGAAATTTTATTTTTAGCATCTTGATTTTAGAAGATATCATGATAATCCGCTTATATTCTAATTATACTGGTAAATTAATTTTATGGTAAGGGTTAAATATAGTAAAAATAAAGTTTATAAATAAATTTACTAAAGAAACCCAATTTTTTTTAAACCCCGTTGATATATTATGTTATATTTTTTGTATTCAATTATAAATGTACTAATATACCGATTTATAGTATTTGTTTGAATATTCAAATGGGGCTGCTATAGTTTATATATTTACTAATGCTATATATTTTTTAAAAATAAAACAGATACGGAAGGAGATACATGCTATTTTATTCTACTTCCTTTTACTCTATTTCCACCATTTTATCTTCTTTCGCTCCGAGATATTTTATCTTCGTGACACTCCGCTTTATTCAGGGAATAATGCATGCCGTAATTTTTTGATTTATACTAAAGGGGAAAAAAATAAGAAGGTAAAAGGAAAGTGATAAGATAAAAATTAAGAAAAAAAATAATGAAATGAATTATTTAAAATTGAATTAAAATGTTATAAATTTAATGTTTAAAGGGAACGTTCGTTATTCACATTGTAATACTCACGGAACTGCTGCCCAAAGAGAAAAGATATTTGATCCCGATCTTAGCCACATTATGTATGAGTATTGGTTGTCCACTACTCGCTCTCGTATCTTTTATGATTCCGGCTTGGAGAAATTTGCAATTAGTAGCTGGGCTTATGTTGGCCCTCTATGTATTAAGCACTTTGTAAGTTTTTATTTTTTTTTGTATTTCCTTTGATTTTTTTAAAAAACCTATCCTATTTAAAATAAGCTTTTTAGACGAATCTATATATTGGTTAGCAGACAATGGCTACTCTCATCGCGCCAAATCTCTCATCATAAAAGCTGCCAAATGGAACAAATGCCAGTTGCCTCCTGATTTTGAACGGGTTTCAATAGAAGTATATTCGAAAAATCACGAAAAAGATGGTGGATTGACTGGATATAAACCGAAAATAGAGTTATTTTATTCTACTTGTTATTTTATCTCTCCTATGTTAAAAATAAGTAAATATAGTTAACGTGATCAAACACGTGGCATTTTTTGCTTGCTTAATTATAAAAGAAAATCAACACGCCCACAGATTTTTTTATATAAAAAGAACACATTTAGATTGGTTTGTAAATCAGTCTGTAATCACTTTATACAACATAAAAGTAAAAATACAATTGTTATTTTTATGTAGATTTTTTATGATCATTGTAAGGAGGAAGTTATTTTAAATATTTTTCGCCATTTTGAAAAGAAATAAAAAAGAATGACATAAGGAAATAGTTAAAGTAAGAAGGACAATAAAAAAAACAATTATAAATAAATATATTAAAATAAAGGTATGAAGACAGCGAATTAAAAAGCGAGCCTAGAATAGCGGTCTTTAAAGATTTATTTACCCATCCCGAACTTAGGAGGAGGAATCTTCTTATCGCCTTTGGAACGTAAAAAAATAGCATTATATAATATTGAAGTGAAAAATATCTATTCAGGGTAGTTTTAAAAAATATCAGGAGATTTATTAACTTTTTACGTTTTTATTCTTTTTTTTTTACTAATTTGAGGTCAATTTTTATCTACTAGGAACATATGAGATTTTTTAGTACATTTTATTTTATTTTTTGTTATAGGTTTTTCATGTCGCAAGTATATATGGGGTTGACCTTTACTACTAATGTACTTCCGGGAAGTATTTATGTCAATTTCACTCTTATCGGATTGACGGAACTTCCTGGAAAATTGCTTTCATTATTTGCCATCAAGTATACTTTGTATTCCATTCTTCTTTCTAATGTCAATTTTCTTTCAATTCTATTCTTATTTTTGTTCTCTAAATTTTCCCTTTTATTTTATATATTCTTATATATTTTATAATTATACTCTTAAAAAGTGAAAAAGCCTTCTTTGATTTGAGGCATTGACCCATATTAAAGAACTGCTTAATATTAAATCTCTATCTCAGCTTTATGGGCAAAATTGGGTTAATGGGATTAAAATCTTTCAAATATTCAGGCTCATACGCAGGAATTTGCTATGGGGACTGGGGGGGGGGACTGTTTTTTAGTAACTTTAGGAGTTATTTAGGAATATTTTAAGTTTCAGAAATTTAACAGGACTAAGTATTATAAAATATTAACCGTTTCTAATACACAAATTCAAATATTCAGGGTTCTCCATTCAAAAAAAAAAAAATCTCAGTCATAAAAGGAAAAGATTCAATCAAAAAAGGAAAAGGTCCGATCAAAAAAAAGGAAAAGTATCAATAAAAAAGGTAGTCAAACAAAAAAGGAAAAGGTTCAATCAAAAAAGGAAAAGTGTCATTCAAAGGAAAAGTGTCTATCAAAGGAAACGTCCCAAAAGAAAAGGAAAAGGGAATTCCCATTTTTTTGAAAAATCTATGAAATTTTTTTCTTGTTAATTTTTCTTAAATTTTTAGATTTCTTGTTTTATTTTATTTCTAACTTTTTGAAACTCTTTAAGTTCTTTTTAATCTTTATTTTTCTTAATTATTTCTCTTCTTATTTTTGATCATTCTTTTTTGTCTTTTTAAAAAGGATTTAATTTTATTTTATTTCTCATTGGCACATAATTTTTTTTATTGGTATTTTTTGCATATCAAATTATTTAATTACAATTAAGATGTATAATATCGAAACAATAATTTCCCACTTCTATATTTTGGAATATAGGTCTCCATATTGCTAAAATAATTCTTTGCATTCTCCTCAGATATTCCTTCACCCTATTAAACGAATTAATTCCTACTCGTTATTAGGATTTTGATTTCTGACAAAATCCTTCTATTAAAAAAACACATTTTTAATGGGATTAATATAAGGACTTTTTGGTGGTAAATATTTTAATGTATATTCTCTTCTTTACATCGATTCTCTAATTGTATGGTTATGGTGAAATGGAACATTATCCATCACAAAGATCATATTAATCATGTTATCTTCTTCAAAATGATTTAGTATTTCATTCACAAAGTTGCTAAAGTATATAGAGTTACAGGGGCTATCAAGAACCTCGAATCTGAATATTCCCGCAATCGTGATAGCAGGCATGATAGTAATTCATTGTCATTATCCCTTGAACATGGCTTTTTATTTTTTTGTAAATATCCATATAACCGTTTTATCGATATTGAAAACCCGCTCTCATCGATAAAGATTTTTTCTTTCATATAGGCTACATCTTCAAACTAATTCGTGTATTCTTTGCGAATCTCGATATTTGATTCTGTATTTTCTTTCACTGAACATAGTGATACCCTTTTAAAACTATACCTAGATCTAGACCTGTGCGCCGCTGGTCAAATAAGCTGCCGCCTGTGATTTTTGACCACGCCGCCGTCCAAAAGGCTTTTGCGCTCAACACGCCACCGCCGTGACGGCATGTCGGCGGTATACATATTTTTTATTAAAAATAATATTTATTTTATATATTATTTATGAAGAAGAAAAGTAATATTAAATATTTTTTAAATTTTTAAATTCGATTCTATTTTTAAAATAAATAACATTGTTGCTATTAAAACATTTGATTTGTAACAAGTTGATATGCTATTATTTATTAATTTACAGAAAAGGTATTGATATATTATTATATATTTTATTCTTTATTTTTGTTGTTTCAAATCCTTTGTATAAGACCATCACATCAATTATTATAAAGTAGTAATACAATATTTTCTTGATGCAATCTACAACTCATCATATAAAATTTATTTTTTATCATAAAAGGGAATTTTAATTATTGATAAAGATGGTGAGGATAAAACTAATTATTCATTTTCAGAGTAAATTTTTAAAATATTTTTGAATTTTTTAATTAGTTATCCAATCAAATCTTTTTCAAAAATTATCAGCATCAAACATAATAAAAAAAAACTTGACAAATATGACTTATCATGTAAAGAAGAAATATCTAAACAAAATTTAAAATTATTTATCAAACCCATGTAAAAGATGCAACTAACCCAATAAAAAAAAAGTATCTGGTAAGGAATTATGTTCTCATGTGTTGCAAGGATTTAATGCCATTCTCTTCTATAAATATTACTGGAATGCAAGATTTTCTAAAGGTTATTTGTAAAATAATTATAATTTTTTTTAGTGCAATCTTAATTTTTATTTTAATTGTTAAAATATCTAATTATTTTATTATAGAATATTTAAATAAAACTGATCTCATCCCACATTTATTTTTAAGTCATCATGTTTTTATTATTAACTTTTTATAATGTAGAAATATGGCATCTCAGATACAAACTTGGCCGGAGTGGATTGATGATGTGTATTTATCAATGAAAGCATACACATGTCAACAATCCAAAATTTTATGCTATAACTTTTGATACGTGGGCCGACAAATATAGACGACGAAATTATATTATCTTTACATTTCACGAAATAGATAATAATTTTATTTTTTACATTGACTACACATTATGTCACTCAAAAACATACCGCTGAAACTATTCTTTCCGAGATAGAAAAATTTGATAATGAATTTGATTTAGGGTCCAAGAAAATTCAAATGGTTACGGATACAAGACCCAATGTAAAGAAAAGTGTTCACCTAGGAGATTATGATCATCATTTAGGTATAGGATATGGATTACATAATCTAGTGATAGTCGTTGTAATAAAAATAGTTAATAAAATAGAAAATCTCATTTAAAAAGTGATTGCCTTAAAATTCAAAACATCGGATTTTGAAAATGTAAAAGATATCGAAAATAGGAAATGTTATGAATCGATATCATTTACATCGGATATTTTAGATTTGGATGATAATGATCCTTTTTATGGAGATCGTTTTGGGTTTGATGATGATATGCAAATCAAATATCATATGAGAAAAAACAAAACCTTAAAATTAAATATGCCTACACGTTGGCTCCAGTATTTTAAAAATACTGAAAGGTTTGATTAATAACAAAAATCCTATAAATATTCTATTAATTGGAATGGAGAAACCGGACCTCAAATTATTTAACTCCGATTGGGACTTGGTACATGAACTTTTAAATTTCTTAAACTGTTGAATTTTTATCCGCCCAAAAAGGGTTTACTATAAATTTATTCTTATTATTTCGTAGTGAAATTAAAAATCATTTAATCGTAAAAGAATATGATAATCCTCACATAGCATCCCTTAAACAAAATATCCTTACTAAATTTGATAATTTTATCATAGATTTCCAATAACCGATCTTCAAATAGTATTTTAAAATACATAAATTAGTTTTTTTATATTATTTCTCTTTGTTTTATTTTTTACTTAGGTCTTTGGAGCACCTTTGGATTCTCGTTTTCAATATATAAACATAGTAAATGAATATTTAAAGGAAGAAAATATTACTCCGGTGCAATTTTTATGTAAACACTCTACCTCTCTGTTGCCTTGGACAAATTAACCGAATGTGAAACGACGGAAGTTGTTTCAGAATTCGATTATCTTAAGTTATTGGCTACCAAACATTCATATATTCATAACAATAATCTGGAACAACAAGAATATTTAAATAGTCTAGAAAATGAGTGTTATTCATATTTTCGCCTTATAATTTAGAGATAAATGATATCTATATTTTTGGAAGATAAGAGCATTTCCTAAACTTTCAATATTAATTAGAAAAGTCCTGTGCATTCCAGCTATGAGCACACCCAGCGAGCGTGTATTTTTCATAGCTGGGTACAATCTGAACTCTCATTATGTCTTATAAATCTAATTAAAGTAATATTTATACATGATAATTATAACTTAATGAAATCGTTAAATTATAATTATAAACATAATAAAGGATAAATTTTATTTTAAAAGTGTTTCCAAAGAGTTTATAATTTTAATTAAAAAATTTAAGTTAGAAAAATATTCGATTTTTGTGACGTCGTCTAAGTATTCGCCGCCGCCAGCCGGTCGTTTTAAAAAAGGAAACGCCGCCGTCGATAATGCAGCCGGCGCGCAGGTCTACCTAAATCCTGATAGTAACCTTAATACCGTATTTTTTTATATTTCTACATCATATCTTTCATTAATCATTTTACATAACTTTTTTAAGGATAAAGTGCAATCCAAATTTATACAATTTAATATATATTCTTCCTGTTTTTGATTTAATTTCTTGCGTGCACGTGTTGGGTAAACTACCATTTTTAAATGGGAGTATTTAATATTTGTCTATAGCTTACTTTAAAACATGATATTATCTTTTTTTTAATGCGCCAATTATTAGTTTGTTGCACTGTTAATGTTTTTTCCCTTATTGCTATCATATCTTCATGTTTTTATTTTTTAATCAAAAATAAATTCTTTTTAAAATATATACTCATCAAATGAAATGAATGGCAAAAAAGGCTATATTTATTTAGATTATAACATTTATCTCATTTTTACGTTTAATTTTTTGTAAATCAAAGAATATAGTATTAAAAATAATTACAAAAAAATTATTTACTTGCTCAAAAGTAGTGAATGCTTCTTGTATAAATATTAAAATTTTAAAAATTATTATATATGATTACATTTTATTAATTCACATGTCGTTTAGTATTATAGTTCAAACTTATTCAATTTTAAAAAGGTACATTATAACCTAACGATTAATTGAAATTCAGCAATTGGAGTTTAATAATTTAATATGCAAAACTAATTTTAAAAAAATTATCTGTCAATGAGAAATAAAAATTAAATGAAAATTATAATAGATAATTTTCAAAAAGACAATAAAGTATGATCAAAAATGAGAAGAAAAAAAAATTGAAAAAACTTAGAGTTGCAAAAAGTTAGAAATAAAATAAGAACAAAAAATAAAAAATCTAAAAATTTATAAATTTTTTTTAAATATTGAAAAAAATAACGATTTTCTTTTTCGAGTGGTAATTTTTCTTTTTTGATTGATACTTTTCTTTTTTTGATCGGTCCTTTTCCATTTTTGTTTGGATCTTTTCTTTTTATGATTGACCCTTCTCCTTTTTTGATCATACATTTTCCTTTTATATTGATACTTTTACTTTTTAAATTGGGATTTTTCTTTTTTATATGGGAAACCCTTATAAGGGTCAGTTGATATTTTAAAATAAAATTCTCAATCTCCCTCTTGGTTTTTTTTATTATTTAAATCAAGGTTCTTGATTCAGCATAGTACTAATCTATAAATATTTTTACCGCAGAATCCTTCCTAATCTATTTCAAATCTGGATAGAGAAAAAAATTAACATTTGGCAGATTTTCATTGTGAGGATATTAAAGTATCCCATGAAGCATACTAGCTAAATGCAAACTATGGTATAAAAGGTTAACAACAATTGATAAGTTCTTAAAAGGTTAACAACAATTGATAATGTTCTAAAAAAATTTGTAGAATCTTTGCATAATTTCAAACATATTTTATATTATTTTCCTATAACAAAATCTTTACTCATCAGTACTTCCACCCATGAAATAATTTTATTTTCTTTAAGAGGAATAAAAACATGCTTGAGAAATACTACACCTGAAGATAGATTAAATGGGTTAGTTCTTCTTAATATACATGGGGAGTTTGCACAAAGCGCTGATTAAATCATTAAAAAATTAGCTCAGTCACAGAGAAGATTGAATTTCGTATAAATTTATATTTTGCTTTTTAATTATATTTTTTCCCAATTTTTTTGATGAATACTGTGTAAGTTTAAATATATAAAATAATTCTTAGTATTTTTTTGCCTTTAATCTATATTTACAACATTTTTTTAATATATATATAATTTAAATTTATACATAAAACTTTAAATGTTTAAAAAAATTTATATTTTTTGCAAAGTTATTTTTCGAGACATTTATTTAATAGATAGTCACTTGTGCTAGTCCAATTATTTCCCCTTCCCTCATCCAAAGCAAATTTATATGCACGTGCCTCTTATCTTAATATAAATAATAAATTATTATTGTACTATGAATTTTATCAATATTTTTAAAATATAACAACAGGAAGAAAATGAAATTAATATAAAATTCATCAAAAAATAAAGTTAAATGAGTTTTTTTTAAACAAAATTTTAAAAAAAAATTCTGTAATTGTCAAGAAAATGAAAAAGATACAAGATTTTTTTTGCAAATAAAGTGATTTAGTTAAAGATATAAACCTTATTAAAAAGTGTCTAAAATATACTGAGTACAAGATACAAATGATCTTATCAATTATTCGCAGTACTTACTGCACAACTCCGAGTATTGTATAAATCTTTTTACTACTAAAATGATTGCAACGCTTATATCTTAATTCAATTTGAGAGCCCCTTATTTCGCTTAGTGACAGGGGTTTGAACCGAACCCGAAGAAGAAAACCTTGGTTTTTGGGAAAATAATTTGAAACCGAACTTGAACCCGGAGAAGAAACCCTGGTTTTTGGGAAAATAATTTTAAACCGAATCGAACCTGAACCCTGTTTATAAAATTTTCAAAACCCCCCGGGAATTTTATTTGAACTCGGGTTCAACCGGGTTCAGTGTAGTGTTTAAATTAATATAAGATATTTGTATAATTGAACAAATATTAATAATTTACTTGACATTTTATAATATTTTCAAATTTCCAATTAAATGAATTGTCAAAAAATTTTAAACAACCTAATTCATTTACTTTATTTGTAAATTTTTTTAAATTTATTTTCAAAGATTCCTTTTGGATTGTAATAAATTTTAAACAATTAAATTCATTTACGCCATTTATTTTTAGTTTTTAACTTTTTCTCAAACATTATTAATTAGAGGAAAATGAAAGTGAACAAGTCAAAGTAAAAATTATTATATTGGATATTGTTAATTTAAAGAAATACGACTAAATAAAATTTTTTAAATCTATACATGACTATGCTTTGTATTTTTAACTATATTTTATTTTATAAATAAAATAAAAAATTTATTTTTTATACCAAATTTATGTCTGGTTTTTTAATTATGATTTAAATATAGAATATTTTTTTTATCAATTAAAAAATTATTAACCCCGAGCTGAACCCGAAACCAAACCCGGGTCGAACCCGAACCGAACCCACTTATTTTTTAACCTTGAACCGAACCCAAGCTTAACCCGGGGAAAAGTTTTGCCGGGTTCGCATCCCTGGTTAGTGATATTGATGCGTATATTATGGAGTTACCATATTTATTGTTGTATCAAGGTTTGTAAAATGAAAGTGGTAGATTATGACATTTTCAATTATATATATATATTTTCTAAATATTGCAGGATTGGCAGAAGAAAACCTATATTTTTGCTTAATTCACTTTCCGCTCTTTTTCTGTGCTGTCAAATTTTTCTGCCGCTCTTTGAGGGTAACACTTATATACTATTAACATTTTCCTATTTTATTCACAAATATGCCCATTATTTCTTAATTTTTCGTTTTCGGCTGGTTTTCTTTTAGTCATTACGAGTTATTTATGAAATCCAGAAGAAATCCCGCCCATCATAACGATTTTCATTTTAAACAGCTATTCGTTTGGTTTAGATTTATAAAAATTAATTTTAAAACATATCTCTTCTACAGTATTTTCTTTCTCCTGTAGGAATGATAAAAAAAATGGAACGTTTAAGGCAAAGCTTACATATTTGGACAATAGTTATATCTTAATTTCAATCTTTATCTATCTTTCTTACTTTTCCTTACATCTTTCATACTTTAAAATATTGCAAAAAGAAAGCAATGGCAAAGACATATTAAACATAATCTTATTCATGACTAGTCGAAGTCTTATAGGAGGTTCAATCGCCATCATTTTCGTGCTCATCTCGGAAGTATTTCCAACCTCTGTCAGGTACTGTGCTTAATTTTTAAATGACTAAGGAGAGGAAATAAAAATTTCTTTTTTAAATGTCCCTAATTATCAATTTTACAGAGTGGGTGGAACTTTTTTATATTAAGTTTAAGGAGCTTAATTAACAATAAACGCAGTTATTAAATAAGGGGCAATAGTTAAATTAAGTCAAATTATTAATGAATTTTGGAATGAACGTTATATTACGTTCTCCGTGTCTATTTTATTAGTGCAAAATTGTTTTTAAAAAAATTTATATAAAAATCTATAACATTCGTTATTCTCATACGTTGGAAAACTTGGAGTCAGAACTATCTAATATTGTAGTTAACACTTTAGTAGACTCTGGTGGAATTTATAGGACTCCAGGCGTATAAAAATTAATATTAATTTAAAACGCATTCATTATGAACTCAGATTCATTAAATTTATCCTACAATAATATTTATCGGTAGTGGTGTACCCATAAAGCTTTTAAGCAAATAAGCTATTTCCAATATAAAGAGCCAAGATTCAATTTATTTTGGTTTATTAATTTTTAAAATAACTTAAGGAATGAGACCTAATCAAACTCACAAAGGGTAAATACGCAGGTTTTTTTTTTATCAAAATAGATATGTTAGGAATTTTGTTTTTAAATAAATGAACATTAAATCTATGAAATGTTTTTAATTTTATTATTGGACAATTTTTTTTAAAATACGATTTTATTGTTTAAAGAAAAATTAAGTATTTTTGCAGATTTGACGTAAATTATACTCAACATTTTATTTTTGTCTAAGCTGATTAAATTTTTTGGAAAAGTGATTAGGCCACTACGGCCAATATTTTAAACTAGAGTTTAAAGAAAATCTTTTTTTCGCCCAAAATTTTAGGCAAAAAATCTTTGTAAATCACAAAATTAAAGATTTTTTAAAAAAAATTTTGATTTCACCATGAAGGATTTTTTATACATAAAAATCACAAAAGATACTTTAAAAAATTTGGAATTTTAAATCTAAATTTGATTAAAAATGCTATTTTCTCATAAACCATTGAATTTCTATTTTGAAGAGGATCTACCTCTGTTTTAAGCAATATCACAGTTATTGTGTGGTATCGCCTTGATCTAAAATAAATGTTTTACAAAGTTCAAGATTTAATTTATGATATATATATGATCAATTTGAAATTGCGTTTACGTCTCTATTTCTTCATCAGAGTACTGAAGAGTTAATTTCCAGTTCGTATAATAATCATAAAAAATATATTAAAGAAAGATAGAATCAAAACAAATTAAATATTAATATATTTTTAAAAAGATATTATTTTTTATAATATGATTTTTATATATTAGAAAATTTAAAAAAATTAATTGCGAACAGAAATACCGGATATGGGCTTAACAATTCACTCACTCGTTTGGGATTTTTGATTTCCCCTTTCGTTTTTTACCTCGTGGGTACCTTATAAATAATATTTTCAATAGTCAAATCTTACTAAAGGTAATTTTAAATGAGAAAAACAGAAATTTATCTAGATTATCGAATGCTAATGAGAATGGCGCAATATACGTTAAATGAATAATTGAATACTAATGAATCACCAAATCAAAATTTAGACTAATACTTTTAAATTTTTAAACCCTTATTTTTTGGGAAAAAATAAGTGTAGCAAATTATTATTAGGGCCTTTAATGTAAACACAGACGAGAATATTATAACCTAAATGTAAATTAAATATTTTATTTTAACTTACAGCAAAACATTAATGTCGTATTGTTACCTTTAGTAATGGCCGGGTTAAACATGTTATCGGCTGTTTTAATTTCGTTGCTTCCGCCTACAAAAGGCATCCCACTTCCGGAATCATTAGATGATTTAGACAAGGACACATATAGGCTACAACCAACTTGCTGTACGAAACAATATATATATAAGTGATAAGGGGCAGAAAGGAATCAAATATAAACAAAAATAATTGAACCTATTTTGTTATAATTAAAAAAAATTTAAAGGATAGAAAAAGTTTAGAGTTTGGAATTTTAAGAATTAAATTTTTGGGAAACGAAGAAGAAAGCATGATAGATATTTTTTCATTGAAGCCTCTAATCTAACCCCCTCAACTTAGTTAATAAGAAAACCATTGTATCTTTCTACCTTCAAATAAAAATTTCGAAATGAAAGAAAAAGTGAGTAGAAAAAAAATATATTCATATAGGCATTAAAACGGTACCATATATGACGACTTGTGATCCAAAAAGGCCGACTTGTATTTGAGAATTTGAAAAATAGTATTCCTTAAAAAATTTGTTGAAGTAAAGTAATCAAGTTTAATTATTATTTATTTTTTTATATAAAACCCCGAAAAGGTTACTTGTTTCCTAAATATGGTGACCAACATTCCCTACCTAACACTCCTAATCAATCTCGACGACCGTTTATCGAGGATGAGAAACCTAAGCAAGTCACATCATTTAGTAGCGAAGAAATTAATAATTCTTTAAGGCAGGGTCAAAATTCAATTTCAGACAATTCTAGACAACCAGTATCATATACTGGTGCCGATGGTTTTGAAGAAGGGGAAAGAGATGAACCAGGAAATAATAAAGAGACTAATATTTAGAGTGTTAACAACACAAATATCCATAATATAAAAGTGAAGGGCTAATATTCACCGTTTTCCAAATATTTTCTGTAGTTCTTTCTAGTCAATGGCCTTTAAATAAAATGTACAAATTTATAATTATTTTTAAAATGATATGAATCGGGGCAATATAAAGTTCGCATTTTAATATTATTTAGTTTTTAATATATATATTCTAAAGAGTGCATAATTAAAACTGTAATTGTTGGGTATTACTCATTCATTCCTTCGCCAAAAATAAATGATAATTTCCTTAAATTGTTTTTTTGTCTCCAAACTTATTATATTTATTTATTATATAAAGCATTCTGGGGACGCTAATATATTTAAATACTCACTTTATTTAATAACGATATTTTACTATGAAAAATAGTATATAACAGAGTTGGGTAGTACCGCGAATACTTGCATCTAAGATACAAGATCCTTTTGTATCTTGTACTCAGTATCTTATTGACATTTTTAATAAGATACTAGTATCTGTATCTAAGATCCTTTATTTTGAAAAGAATCTTTTTCATTTTCTTTAAAAAGATACAGATACAGATTCTTTTTAATATTCTTGTTTAAAACATTTACATATCACACAATGTAACTTTATTTTCTTCGTGAAATCTTGTATTATTTTCTTTATATTTTCCCGCTATATTTTAAATATATTGATAGCCAAAATTAGTTGGAAATGTTATAGGTCACAAAGATAGATAGATTAAAAATAACAACACCAAAACTAAATAAGAGAAGGATATATTTTATATGTAATATTTTTTAATTTGTAAAACGTTTAACAATCATAGTAGTGAAGATGAAATTATGGAGATGGGTTCTCCTGAATCAAATCTGAATCTTAAAATTCTAGATGGAAAATTTTATAAAGTAATTCATGTGAAAAAGAACAAGGTACAAGCTGAATGTCAAAATTGCACAAATAAAAAAGTTATTAACGGTTCAACAAACTCCTTTACAAACTTTGTTAAACATATTAATGTATATTATATTTTTATTTTATAATTATCAACATAATAATACCTCTACTTAAGTCCCTCTTAGATAATTGTTATTAAAAATTTTTATAGAAGATGGTTGATTACAAATTAAAATCATTTTGGATATATATTTTTTAGGGGTGTGTCGATACCACTTTTTTGAGGCCGATCCGATATTCCCGATATTAAATTTATATCGGCCGATTACCGATCCGATATCATATCTAATTTTGTATTCTGTAAATATACCAATGGTTTTAAATTTTAATATACTTTTTATTAGTATAACATCTATAATTTAACTATACCATAACTTATGTCTTTTAAATATATTATAATGATGAGTTATAGTTTATATACAATTCAATTGCAATTCTAAAAGTATATAAAATATTTTTATTATTAAATCACTTTTATATAATAAATAATAACATTAATCTATATACATAATAAGTAATAAACAATTATATTATGAAATTTGAAATAAATATTTAAAATAATATTTAACATTAATATAACGAAGATTTCTTTTTAGAAATACCAATATTTCCAATTTATCAGAGGTCAGCTTGCGGCAATAATAACTGTCAATATCACCAGCTTCACTAAAAACAGATTCTGAAGAGAATCTCGCACACCTTTATTAAATGCGCAAAAAAAATAACAATATGGCAGAATATTTATTAATTAATTAATTATTAAACATAATAATTTTCTTTAATGCATTTTAAATTGATTAAATTTTGTAAATAAACACTGTAATGTAATTTTACTTATATCATAAATAAATAAAAGTAACTAATTAAGTTAAATTATAATTATTTTATTAAGCGCCTTTTAAAATTATCTAATATTTTTATATATCAATTGTAGCTTAAATATTTTCTCTAATAAGAACTTGCTAAAATAATTATATATAAAATATATTAGGGATGTGCCAATTTTTTTATCGGATCGGGCCGGTTTCACTCATTTTAAATTATCGGTTATTCGACAATATTATAAAATTTGATCCGATATAAAATGGCTTCTTTAACAAAAATAAAATGTTATAAAATTTTAAAAAAAATTATATATAAAATCATTTATTTTTATAAATAAAATCGAAATCCATTTTTATGTATATTTTTTTAATAATATATGTATTTAATAATTATAATATAAAGTTGTACATTATTATGATATTTTTTATATATAATTAATGATTTTGCAAGAAATATATAAAAAAAATTTGAAAAGAGATTTAAATGATATTTATATAAATGATATTACAAACGCAAGAATTAATAAGTCATATTGTATATTTTTTTAGAGATGCCATTTAGCCATATACTCCGAATATAAACTATATTTAAAACAACACAGAAAATAACCTGCACATTCTTATAAATCATTTTATTTTATTTTTTTCTTATTTGCAAATTTTCAACTCCCATTAAATATACTACTCTCCCCTGTTTAAGCTATTAATGGGCAAAAACTAAAATTAAAATCCCTGATTATTATAATTAATTTATTAATAAATATTTTATTAATTATTGCAAATAATTCTTATATGTGTATGCTATGTTCTTCACAAATAAATAATAAAAACTGTATTTTATAAACTATTCTAATATAATTGGTATTTATAATTTAAAAATATCTTGTATTTAAGATACTCTAATTTAGTAAAAGATACAAGTATCTTTTATCTTGTATCTTTTTGATATTTTGAAAATGATACTAATATCTGTATCTAAGATTCATTTTTTTATAAAGAATCTGTATCTGTATCTAGATTCTTTTTCTGGAGGACCTGCCCAACTCTGGTATTATACAATTTATATTAATCTTTGATAGTAAATCAAATGGATAAGATACATTTTTTTATAAATAATTAAAAATAGATCGCAAAATTTTTCTAAGCTTTTATTTTTAACAAATTTTTTCAAATAATATTCTGTTTTTAGATTAGTTTTATCTACTTTTACTATTAATCAATGACTTCTATGTAGAAAAATTATTTCAAAATTAGCAAAAAAAAAGGAAGAAATAACGTATCAAAAAAAAATCAAAGTTGCTATAATAATAGCGTCATCTCAAAATTTGATTTTCTTTTTAACAGAAAGTGCGTTAAACGTGATTTCTATATATATCCGAAGGATCCTAACATATTTTTTTTGTAATTTATCTATTTTCACCCAGAGATTATCCATATATTTTTTTATAAATTAAATATATTTATATTTATCTATTATAAATTTTAATACTATTATATATTAATAATTTGCAAATGAAAGAAAATAACAAAAGTGAAAATATGTTACATATTACAAAACAAGAGCGATTAATAAATACTAGGGGTGGGCGCGCAGTGACCCCTACAACGGGGGGGGGGGGGGTCCGAAGCAACTGCTTCTATAAATTTCTATGGGAATACTTTTTTTTTTAAATTTTTTTAAAAATTTTTATGGTCGATGTTTAGCAAATTAGTTTGTTATCCGATATTTCTTATCATAAAATTATTTTTCCACTTTCAAGATTTGGCGCAAAATTAAAATTTTATCAAAGGGAATAGTAAAAATTTAAATATTTAATCTTATATATAATCATTTATAATTTCTAGATCATTGTCAAATTATGCCCAAAAATATTAACCAAAAAAAATATAAATGCTTGATTAAAAATTAAGATGGCAATATGATGAGCCTTATTAAACTTATTGCAGATTCTAGCCTGTTCTTAAAATGTATATACAAGATAATGAAGAAAGAAGAAGTGAGAAAAAAATTAAGGGATTAAAATCTAAATTATATTCAAATCTGTTATCATATAATAACATAAATATTCTTATTGAAACCATGAAAAATATGGTTATAAAAAAATTCAAAAGGAGATTGAATTCAACAGGTGCTATTCAATTATAGATGATGGCACATATGATGTATCGAAATCAGAAGCAATAGCTTTGATAGTGAGATATGTTGAAAATAGCGAGACACCTAAGCCCGTTGAAAGGCTGATTAGACATTTATTGTACGGGAAATACAACGGGCCTCGATATTAAAAAGAATATAATATCCAAGCTTGGCTCCATTAATCTACCCCTTGAATTCCTAGTGGGGCAAAGCTATGATAGCACCTCAAACATGAGTGGAAGAATTAATGGAGTGCAGGCTTTGATTAGAGTGGAGGCGCCAAAGGCAGCTTTTATTTGGTGCTATATCGATTAAATTTAATAGTTGTTCAATTATGCCAATCAGTAAAAGAGCTGCGAAATGTCTTGGGAATATTAGACGAAATTTACGTATATTTTAATGGTGTTAAAAGATATGAAGTGCTCAAAACATGTCAGAGTGATTTACTGACAAAATCACATAGATTTTTACGCATCAAGAATACCACTCGGTAATATTATCTTAATTGTTTCGCTATATAATGTTTATTTTATATTTATAGAAGCTGGCTAACATCATATAAGGCCATTGTAAATTTTTTCCTACTTTATGATGCTTTGAGGGCAGCTTTGGCAAATTTAAAGGATTCTGAAGATCCTGCCACTTCCACTATGGCCAGTGCTCTAGTCTATAGAATAGAAAAATTTTATTTTATTTTATCACTATGTGTTTTGGATAAAATATTGTTGATAACAAGCTTGGCTTGTACAAAATTGCAAACCATTTCGAAGGATATAGGGTTTGCAATAAATCAAATTCAATTGGCAAAAGATTGCCTGATTAATATAAGAAGTATAATTTACATTATTATCTTTTATTATTTTATAATCCTAAAATTGATAATAACACTGAATTTTTGGATGTCTTTTCAAAGGCCCAAGATTTTATGAAGAAGAGAAATTTACCTTTTGATTTTGAAAGTTCAAGACTTCAAACATTACAATCCAAAAAGGAGAGGTATATATATACTTTCATCATTAAATATAATATTTTATTTTAGCTTTAAAATCAGTGTGTTTTATGCTGCACTTGATTTAATTATTATGCAGTTTAGTGAAAGATTTAACGATGAATCGATAAAATTTTTGAGTCAAACATCATTTTTTACTCCAGAGGGAATGGCGGAAAAGGCAATTGTTAAAGATGATATCAAGGATATCTGTGAATTTTATCAATTAAATACAAGTCAAGTTTTTGAGGAAATGTTGA